CCTCATTGAGAAGCAAAGATATTGTGTTCCACAAAAAATGTGACAAAATGGACATAGCCATTTCAATAGTCCCCTGCTTTCTCCAATAGCAATAAGTAAGACTCTGAATGCTCACAAGAAATGTAAATAGAATGGGTATATGCATCTTCATGGGACAACAGTTAAAGTTGCCCAATTCATCCATCAACCTAATCATGTGAATGGATGTGCAGGTTTCTTTCAAACTAACCTCTCGCCAATTTGGAGTCATATGAATTGAAAGCAAAAATGAAATGGATAGTAATACATTATCAGACGAAGAATTAATTCCTTTTAGCCAACAGATTGAAGGTGAAATAATGTGAACTCAAATTCTGCCAAGGATCTACTAGTTGCTAGTCAAAAAGCTGAATAAAATTAAATTTTGATCAGAAGACCATGTGATCTGATTTTTCTGACTGGGACTGTTGGGCTATAAATACTTTCAAGTCTTGGAGTGTGTGGAGAATAATTCTACATGTTGACGAAGAGAGAATTCTGAAAGATATTTTAGACATGGATAATCGAAGTGTTGAAGGTAAGTTGAAAGTTTCCTTCAGGTATTTTTATAAGCCTATAGTTGTTTTGTACATATCAAATTATGGAGGGTAAATTGAATTTTTCTTCTGATACTTTTGATAAACTTTTGTAACCTATAATTACTGTGTGCATACCTTTCAGGTGTCATTGAGGTGTTGTTCATTGAGGTAAACAGTAGAGTTGTACATTTGAATTGGTATGTGAATATATTTATGCATGGTACATTGGTACATCAGACATGTATGTAGAAGGTTGGCCACCTATTATGTAAGCAAATGTCATGATCCTTCTTACCATACTGAGCAAGTAGGATTGCGTGTTTAACAAATAAGTACAGTTGGACGTTACAGTCAAAATATAAAGTCAAAGCTTTCCTTCAGTGACCTATTTCAACCGTCAAATTCCATCATATGAAATCCTTATAAAGTATGTGATTCTAAATCCATCTGTCTCATAAGTTTAAGCATTATTTGGAACTATAAAGATGGTCCACGAGAATTCGGATATATCAATCTATGGCCACTGGGTATGCCATGAATCAACCACATATGGTATGTAACTGGTGCAATTCAGCGCGCAGTCGGGTTAAACCAAATGTTACGACAAACCTTATGTGAATTAAAGACAGAAGCAAACAAATATATTCAAACCAATATTAATTTCTACTTCAGCTAAGCCTCTATGCTTGATCACATGATGACACGCATAGAAATAGAATTATAACAAGTTATTTACATGTTGATGTAACTTATTTTCACGCTTGGTGTCATGTAGCAATTCTAGAACCTGTTGTTTTGATTTATAAGGTTCGTGCAAAATACACAGGAAACAATTCTATAGAATACAATTACTGTTTATTACTCATAGAATTGTATCCTGTTTATGTGATTTATGATGTGATTTATGATGTGGTGGAGACATAATGTAGAGCTGCACGTTATTGTATAATACATGTACCTATATCACAAAAGCACATTTCCTTTTATAAAAAGAATATCAGCTATGATCATCTAAATCACCTGCCGGATGGCATACAATTACTTTTTATTACTCATAGAATTGTCTCCTATATGATTAGATAAAAAACCTCATCTCTAAACCCTCCTTGTTTCGAAATTAGAGATGGTGCTATAGTTTCTTCTTGCAAACCCCAACACTAATCACATCGGGCTTCAAATAAGCCAAATTGACCATTTTTTCTTTAAAACAACAATTTATTATTGTTATTTATAACATTTCTGCCACATCCAACTACAATTAAGCATAAAATCCTACCTGACAAGGGTACAAAACCCATCTTTTTAAATCGAAGTGATAATAGATTGCGCAGGAGTAATACACCGTAATTATATGAATGTCCATATTAATTTTTATAAAAACAACGCTTGATTTACTTTATTGACACTATTTGCTGATATGAAAGTTGTTTAAGAAATTAAGTTTGCCAGGTGAAAATAAAGGCACCCAATCGAAACTAAAAACAAGCACGTCAGTATATCTCAACGTTTTTAGCTAAGTTCTCGTTCTCGTAGCTACTGTTACCTGAAAGTTGTAAGTATTATGATGTGCTGCACGTCGTTATTCACTTAATTATGTTATTGTATAATAATACCTACTACAAAGGCACGTACATTTCCTTTCATAAAAAAAAAACATCAGCATATGGTCATCCAAATCACCTCTAACAAGCTTTGGTCAATCCAAACATAGATTAAATTCATCACTTGCTCTATTCTGTGTAGTCTGTTTCTCTCCCTTAATTAAAAGATCGTCCCTGCTAAAACCCACCATTTTGTCGGTCACATGATCAGTCATGTGAAATTATGTTTACTGTAATTCGGAACTCTTCGTTTAGAGAGTACAAAGACGTCATTGGATAGTAATAAAGATAAGACAAAATAAGATTTTATTGTATCGAAACATCAACTAGGACAGCATACTATATAAACATAATATGTACATTTCATAAATAACAATATGTGATATTTGGCAAATAACAAAAAAAAAAAAAAAAAAAAAAAAAAAACAACCGCAGGTGCATTTTCAAGAACGAAACAAAAGTAGGATCTGATAAGATGATGAATTATTGATGAAACGGTTGATTGAATTATGATGCGAGAGCGAATTATTGAAATAAAATTGAACCAGGGATTGAACTACGACATCAGCTATACTAGAGCTCGAGCGTGACACTCTAGACCACCCCGCAATGCAGTTTTAACAGCTCTGGGTGCCAGGGCCTAATATTGCATGGCTTGCTTCAAATTCGTATAGTTTTATTGGATAGGACATCTCTGACGTAAGGAAAGTAGGTTTCAAAGTGGACATGTCTTTGAAACCTAATTTCCTTACGTCAGAGATGCCCTATCCAATAAAACTTTATATACAAATTTGAAGCATGCCAATATTAGGCCCTGGCCAAAATATTATTTGTAGCCATTGCTACCACGTGTGCGTGTTCAGTTTAAGCAAACTTGCATCGATTGACCTCACGAGTTTGTGTTTGCACGTGTTTTTCAGGTTTTTCATCTTTATATGCTCAAAAGTCACGTGATCCACGTGACTTTACAATTTTATGAAATTAAAGGCTTCTTACTACTTACTATCGTTAGAAACACTTTAAAATTTATTTGACTTACCTGAAAAAAAAATTTGAAATTCATCAGTGTCAAGTTTTTAATTTGGCTGAGTATATATGTAATTTAAATACTGTAAGGTAAAATTGTAGGATTGTATAGCCAATAGAATTATTGGTTACGGATTGTATAATGGCAATTATTATATTTTCAGGGCCATCACTTGCCAAGCATAAATATATTATATGTTCTAGTTATGTGTAATATCAACAGAACTGGTGTTTAACGGTCATGGTCATGGTTTTGATATACATGTAGAGTAACCAGCATCGACTACGCGTTTTATTTAATTGTTTTAACTGTAACATGTGTTAGTTGTGGAATATATAAACTTATTTAAAACCTATCTGGTGTTATAAATCAAGAAATCTATTTCCCCGAACTAAGCAGGTTTAATCTACCAACTATACCACACCATTGCAGGTGATGGGAAGGGTAGGTCTGCAATACACATTACCCCGATCGGCGCGGTAGCACGTAGAAGTTACCACACCCATAGCTGTTAAGTTAAAACACCACACCAATGCCACCAATAAATGTTGCCGGCCATGGTTCTAAAATGTCCATTGTTTGTAGACAGCAGTCAGGGATCACCCTGAGGTATCGATTTGGAGACTTAATATATTTGGCACCTACCAGTACCCCTTCTCACCCGGGGACGGTTAAGTCAGTTCAGTGGCGGCACTAAAAGAACTATGGCGGCACCAGCCATCGATGGCTGGAGGGACATGCAGGGCAAAGTCCAAGGTTGGGGGCAAAGGTTAGAGCTTCAACTAGATGTATAGGGGGCCTCCCCTCCGAAATATTTGAAAAGCAGACTGCCGGAAATGCAGTCTGACAGTATTTCAGGCAATGATCGTCGAGAAAAATAGATGTGACCAGATACCGCCTGTCGCCTGACCTCTAGTTTATCAGACCAGAGTGGAAAGTGTCAAACGAACGGAATTGCGATCTCAACGAAGCCCTCTCACCGAACATTTTGAAAAAATGACTGCCAGAAATACAGTCTGGCAGTGATCAGATAAATAGAGCTGACCAGTTACCGCGCCTGTCGCCTGATCACTATATAGTTGATCCGACCAGAGACGAAAGTGTCAAACGGAGTGAGTAAATCAAAGTGAATGAATATTTTCGTCTCGACATTTTAAGAAATAGACTGCCGGAAATGCAGCCTGGCAGTATTTCAGATACTGGTCGTCGAGATAAATAGATTTGACCAGATACTGTCTGTCGCCAAATATTATTATAAAACACGAACTATTATTTAGATGCACTGAACTTATTGACCCCAGCTGGTTTTGATAATATATATGGGCTTTTCAAATATACACTTTGTTCTAAATAATTAATCAATTCCACGTGTGTGGACAATTATATCAGTCAGCGAAATTAAGATAACTTGTAAATTCCATATATTGTGATGACCTTGTGTGTAGACCCAGTTGAAAGGGTATAGGCCTAACCATCAGTTTGCTGACAGAGAGAAATCGAGGGAAAGACGAGAGGAGAGAGATCGGCGAATGGACTCACCCGAGTTCAGCCACTGCCGTGGCAGATGGACGGAATGGTTGAAATATACGTTATTGTTTATATTCCTGATGTAGTTTAGTTTCTGTTTAATTGATGTAGCTGTTTCATATTCTTGTTCCTAACCGAACAGAGAGGGAGGTGTCCAACGATAGGCCTACGGAGTCAGCGAATCAAACTCTAGTCAATTTGTAGTACACTCACTCCGAAAGTTTTAATATCCCGATCGGTACAGGAAAGTGGGGAGTTAAACTCGATTTCATAGTTAATATGTAAACTCGCTCCGAAAGTTTCGGTACGACGTGGGCCTACCTTTCCATGTTTCATCATAGATCGTAATACAGTTCTGTGGTTCCATAATGGTAATGTTGTTTCTGTCGGACCGCACGGGATAGACACAAAGTAAATATATATATATAGTTTCGGAATTGCCAATTGGATATTCAGAGCGTGTTTCTCTCTTTAAAGGCTGCATACATACGTGTAATGTTATTGAACAGGATTACCTGTTTTATGTCATGATATAAATAGAATGCTGTACAATTATAGGATAGGGCGGTATTTGTCGCCGAATGGACGCTGTGAAAGATTTTAATCGAATGGCTCTATTTCCAGACTTAAACTCAACATTATTCCATTTAAGGCTACATGTATAGATGAACAGTGAGTATGTCGTGTGTTTTATGTCGTGCTTTCTACAGGAATTAGACACCAGCATTAAGTATGTCGTATTTCACAAATGTTGCAGAAATGACGGTCACAATGGCTGACATGACTGTTTTCCTTGTACTACGTTGTAGTATATTATGTATGTATTTGCAATTTAAATTACATAGACCTGTCAGCACCAGTTTCGGGAATTTAGCTCACTGTCAAACATCTTAACTACACCCAAGTTTGAATAGTTTGATGTCTTTGAGGAGTTTTGATACGTCAGGGTGACACAAAGCAATCCAGTGGAAATTGACAACTCAAGGTCACCAATCATTTTCAATGTTTTCTCTCCAAATCTCGAATATTGAATAATCAATATAGTCCTACTTTAAAAATCACCTATGCTCAACGTTATACCTTACAATCACAGGCACTTGAAACGATTAAAATAAAATTTCTTACTACTGCTTGACTATATATATTTTATTTTAATCCCTTCAAGTGCCTGTGCTTACAATACCTTACAATCTAAGTGCAATTACACCCTTTGAATAATTACATTACGTGTAAAATTATAAATATAGTTGGCCTACATAATATAGCCTGGAGGTTCAGTGCTGGTTTTTTTGTGGGGGGGGGGGTATGGGGGTCCATCAAATGGACACACAAGCACACCCAACTTTGCTATAGCAAAATTTTCCATAGAATACGTTGCTGTGTAGTAATCAGTCTGCCGTTGGGGCGTTTTCGACATATTTGGAGTCAAATGAGGTCATTTGCACTGAAAGTGAATGCGAAATCATTCTTTGTATCATGAAAACATGCTAAAAATGATGAAAAGTAGTCACCCTTTCAAAAAAAATGTAAACTTTCTAAATTCAACTTTGTTCTTTGTGACCCCGGAGGTCAAAGGGTCAAATTTTCCATTTTTGCACGAGGAAGATTTAAAGCAACAAATGTCAGCGTAAAATAGAAAAACTAAAGCGAAACCTGTTCTAATTAATAATAAGAACATTTAAAATTTATCATTAGGTGGTCTTAGCACTGTATATTTATTTTGGAACGTCGAAAAAGATCATGCATAACAGAACCAAAACGATTGCTATACATAATGAAACTAGTTGTACGAAAAACAACTGATTCGCCGCTGAAACCGTTTGGATATCAACTGTGTTTTCAGTTATTTACTTTTACAATTGTGAACTGATTTTAATAATTGAAAACAGGGGCGTAAATGTGTGTGTGGGGGGGGGGGGGGGGGTACACCCCCCCAGGAAAAAAATAGTCGGTCGCAAAATAAGAGCAGTCGGTATCAAAATAAGTGCTCACTGCACACGTCACGCTACTCACGCAAAACTTTAGTATAAAATAACCTTGTCTTGTCAACTTATCATGTTTGAAAAAATGATGTGTTTCACTCATATTCTGTTGTGAGTATGTAGTTCTAAGAACAAAATTTCCCCCAGGTAGAAAAATAGTCGGTCTCAAAATAAGTGCAGTCACTGCAGTCGGTCTCAAAATTATGCATCGCCGTCTTAATGAATTAATGAGGTAAACAAATAATGCCTTGCAATAGATCCCAAATACTAGTCGGTCGCAAAATCAGTGCAGTCGGTCGTAAGATATGAGCAGTCGGTATCAAAATAAGTGCTCACTGCACACGTTACTCTACTCACGCAAAACTTTAGTATAAAATAACCTTGTCAACTTTATCATGTTTGAAAAAAATGTTTTTCACCCCATGGCAAAAAAATAGTCGGTCTCAAAAAAAAGTGCTCACCGCAGTCGGTCTCAGACTAAATGAATTAATGAGGTGTTTTCTGAACATCAGAATTCTGCAAAATCTCTCCCCAAAGTCCAGGGCATTTCAGAGACCAAGTAAGCGCCCCATTGAGGTAAAGTGCCCTCAGGCCCAGTCCTCAAAAATTAAAAGCTCAGTTACATATCGGCGCTCAATTCCATTATGCCATCATTCTTCAACTCCTTCTCTGTCTTATACTATCTCATCACTATCATATTCACAGTTACAGTGAATCGCCCAGTTAGTAGTACCACTAGTGAGTGAGTCGTGGTTCAAAAGACTGTAGAATTGTTAGTTCTACTCTCACAAAACAGGCGACATTGACAGATAGGCCACAAGATTCTGTCCCATTTCTCAATATCTCGTTAACGAGAATTTGGATCCATTTGCCATGACATTGAATAAAATTGTCAGGCCCAGTCCCAAAAATTAAAAGCTCTGTTACACATCTGAATTTTTTTCGCGCTGATGTCTTATACTGTCTCAGAACTATCATATTCACGGTTATACTGATCTGCCTAGTTATGTTAGTAGTACCACTGGCACTAGTGTGTGGGTCGTGGGGCGTCAGGCTATACAAAAGTTCTGTCAACTCTTGCAAAACAGGCGGAATTGACAGGGACAGATCTCGAGATTTTGTCTACTGCACGGGGCTACTGCACAGGGCCCCTACAAAACTCGCACCTGTGGTGCTCGGCTCCTGACTGCGTCACTCGTACTAGGGGTATGGGCATCAGTCGGTCGCATTTTGGCTAAACACCCCCCCCCCCCCCAAGCAAAATCGTTATGTACGCCCCTGATTGAAAAAGCACCATATTCTCAAATATCAGGGGATTCAGAAAATATATTATTATGAGCTATTATAAATGTTAATCTATAGTCAGTAGTACTAAGAATCTAGCTAATTTTATCAATAATCATACCCTTCGAAATAAAACTGTGAACGTCACTTTTTGGTATATTTAGCTAAATCGGTGTCTGATGACATTCGGGTAAAATGTCTCCACCCCAAATCAATGTGCGAACATAATAAGAGGAAACCGTATTTATAAATCATTAAACTAAAAAAGAACTTGAGGTATATTAGAAACATCTTCAATAACTTCATATAAGCTTCATTATAAAGGGTGGTAATATTATATCTTTAATATAAGAGATTATTAAAAGGTGTTTAGTAGCCTAAATAATTTGGATCTAAAAATGTTTCCAAGACAAAATTATTTTGGCCCAGTACCGGAAGCAGGAGGGGGTATCTCCTCAGAGTAAAAGTTGTTTCATCTGAGTGACAAAAACATTGGCCTTGCATGCCCCCGTTTACTTGATAGATATTCTTGCAATAATGAAGAATGACTGTTTTAAAACTTAGATCCCGGCGGTCTTTGCTGACAGAAAGCCTATATATCATGTTAACATGAATAGGGTGTACGTCAGAATTAAGATCCATTTTGCCTCTAAAACATATCACTGTGACTCTAAAATACATATTATTGACTGTCTTGTTGCATAAAAACCAGGGGTGGCAAAACGTCATTCTTAAAAACGTTTGTTTGCCAGTCAACTTTTGACTGTCATGGATATGATAGTCGGGCGACCCTCTATTTTTGAGGTATTTTGAACTCCCAAAAACTTCCCAGTTTAAACAAAAGTGGATCACACAATTATATAACACCTAGTAATTATAGACTATGCAAATTGGTTATTTAAGCACTATCGATAGAGGGATAACTATGCTGCTTGCTGGGGAATTGGGGGGGGGGGGCTTTATATTGTAAAATATTTTGACCAAATTGCAACAATATTCACATGACATCCATACATATTTATTTTTCAGACAATAATTATGTCGGTTCCAAATAGAGGAAACTGTGTAAGTAAAGGCCAACTACCAGGAACATTTTTGGCACTCATACAAAGACAGGAAAACGCAGCAACTTCATTTTATTTTACTTGTGATAAATGGCTTTATGTTAGAAATAAATCTATTAAAGACCTTACTGCACTGGCCGATGACCTGGACCAACACCATTCCAATGTAAACGTAGCATCACTTGCCGGCACCACAGTTAGTGCATTCGGTGGCGTGGCTTTTATTGCTGGCATGTTAGCACCATTTACAGCCGGTCTCTCTGCTATCTTAGCGATGGGCGGAACTGCGGCTAGTGTTGCTGGAGGTGTAACGGCGTTTGGGGCATCTCTTACAGAATATGGTATAACATATTCAAGGTGCAAGGAAATTCAAAATCATTTGGAAATCGATCAAAAATACACAGATAAGCTTATCCAAGATATGAATAAATTTATAGCAATGTCAGGAAAACTGGAAAAGTTTATTGAAACCACATACTTTTCAGACCATGACTGGCTTGTTATCGCAAATCAGTCCAACATACTATTTAAGAAGGCTAAATTAGGAAAATGTGCCATCCAGAATATCCTGTTTCTAATGAACAGTGTTTTAAAAGCAACCAAAAGCCCCGAGGCTATCATGGCCTACAATCTACTCATGAGTTTGGTGGAAACTTGTGGAATTTCCATGCCGAATTTTGGAAACATACGCATGCATGATCTTAAGAAACTAATGCTGGGGCGAATAGCCAAGTTAGGCGAAAAGGAACTATTAGGGTCACTTAAGGGTGTTTTCCTGACTCCTGGTAAATTAACCCAAACAGCAAGACTTGGACTTAGTATGACGAGCGCCGTGTTTGTTGTTATTGATATTTGGAGCATTGTTACTACAATAGACGACATGGAAAAGGGCTCAAAGACAGAAGCAGGAACAAGAATTAGAGAACTAGTTACTGGCTTTGAAGAAGGAAGGGATATTGTGGAGGGGACTGTGGCTGATAGAAAAGAAGGTTTAACGGTTAACTAAAATCCACACATATTCAAAATAAATACAGGAAATATTTCATTAAATATATGATAATAATAATAACCAAATACTTACCTAAATGAATATACCTACTAACATCGTAACATTTAATACTATAATTTGTAAATACCTACTAACATCGTAACATTTAATACTATAATTTGTAAATTAGCATATATGTACTTAAACCAGGCACTCCATCTATCATATTGACTTAACCACTCTCCTCTCCATTATTTAAAACAAAATGATGACTCTCAATCGTGCTCCTCCGTCACATTCAATAGATAATGAATATAAATAGTTCATAATTATTATTGTCCGTACATTGTCAGGCATAATGTAATTGCGATATTCATCTCCCAAATAGATTAGAACAGTTCTTTTGCAAAGTTTGTGTATCTGCGATGTTCTTGAAAACCTTGTTAAAACATAAATTGCCAGTTCAAAATTAATTTAATATGTATGAAATGTTATAACAATTTTTTAATGTAAAAGATAATGATAATAATATATATACTTAGCCTTTATTAGATCTGTGATAACAGTGATTAATTTTCTTAAATGCTTGTCCAAAGGAACTATCTGCAGTAGAAACACCAACTAATTTTTTATATGATGAAGGTTTAATAAAATTGGTCATTTGTAATATAATTTTCAGTTTCACTAAAGTAAAAACTTCATCTATCTTTGGATATGTAGTGGGTTCCGATCATATCGGTTGACAGTATGGAAGAGATCTCTGCAGTAATTCCTATAAACGTAGGCCAGTCGTGACAAAACTCGGAACTGGGTCTGTATTTACCCATATTACGACTGTGGAATGATTTTCATCAAATTCCAGCTTAAGACCTTGAAGCATTACGAAGAAAGGCCGGGCAAGTCCACGTCATAACTAAAAGGGGAGATAAACATCAAAATTTGTATGCAGATATTCAACAATTAGTATGATAAAAGACTGATTTAATGACGACAGCTTATTCTGACTTAAATTAGTCTTATTGCATTGACATTTTAAAGGCAAAACTATAGGGCTACAAACAAATACTAGATATATTAACAATTTTATAAAATTGAATAGCCAATCTAAGTATACTATCGGAATAGGCTAGGATCAAAGTTTACATATTCTTTGCAAAATAGGTTTCCTCTTGAAACTGAACCTTAAAATACATAATAAATTTTATTTAATATAACTTCGCATATATAACAGACAAAGAAATACATGTAATACACAATTAGCCTGCATTTGGATGATTCTTTTTTCAAAATAGGTCCACATTTGTGAAATTTTGATTTAGCTTTCTCCCTTAGCATTCATCTGTGTTCCATTTACATCCACTACTTTTCTCTTCGACAACTGATCACCTCCGAATGAATTTCTATTAATTTTACTAAAATCCTTTTAACAATGTTTTGAGTTACAGACAGCTACACATTAACTGTTACGACATTCTAATTCAGGTGTAAAAAGGGTCGTTTTTAAATGAGCCCAACTTCTTCCTGTGCTGACCGTAACAGCAATTGGTACACTTAATGTGGCAATATCTTGACACAATTCTTGTCCATCTTCCATTATTCTCTTCACAATTTCTACAAACATTACACAAATATGTATTCCGGGTTAAAATAAAAATATATGATTTCCCAATACGCCTGGCTTGTTCGAATTGTGATGCACATTCTTAACATGTTTTAGGCGTTAACACAATATAGTCAACAAGTCAGAGAGAGAGAGAGAAATGGGTTTAACGTTCACTCGACACAAACTAGGTCATTTCGGGACTAACATATGGTTCAATTTTATTTCCATAATTCGCTTGCGCGTAGGGGTCTTTAGCAGTGGGAGGAAACCAGAGGACCCGGAGAAAGCCCACGAGGTTGGACAGGCGACCGTACTCCTTGTCACGTACAACTGGGGAATCGAAACCACGCCAGTTGACTCAATGACAGACTTTATGATACAGCGCGCACGTGCTAGCCATTCAGCCATCCAACCCCCCAAGTCAGAGACAAAAATAGTTTAGTGAATAAAACTTTTTAGCTCTTTGCAACCGTTATCTTAGCCCGGTTTAGGTATCATAAGGATTTGATACTTTTTCTAACAAATACAAATGGTTAATATCCATATGTCCATTGAACTAACTTTTCTCTTAACTAACTCTGGCTAAAACATGCCTACAATAACACATGCGGTGGTAGAGGTTAATAATAATAAAGCTTTCTGATGGTCAGATTTTATGGTCAAACGATGAACTAATGAAGGAAACGTTGTGTTGCCTGGTAACAAATATACCCCTCCCAGCAGCATTTAACAGCAATGTTGAAAAAATAAATATTAAAACCCCTGACTGACCGGAGATTTTTTATTTTTTACAAGTTTTTAGTGACAGGGGCATTAATTCAACATAAAATGACCACGCCGCCTTCATTTGCTTGCTTTATTTAGAACAATACTACGTTACATCCCATTTGATTTTTTTATATTTTGCATTTCACAACCCACAAAGATCTCAACTAATTATTACCTGTAACTTCTGCTATCTGGGATTCGGGCACTTCCCAGACTAACTCATCGTGAATTTGAACCAGCAATCTGTACAAAAATTATAATAACGATATAAGTCATGATATGATGAGTAGTATATGATATAATTATATACTATTCAAAAAGAGTAGGGGATATTTGATTTTGGGGGCATAATACTAAAATATGCAAATGACTACGAAAAAAGTCACTATAGAACCTAACAGAAGAAACATTTCCAGTTACATGTGACGCCCAAACGCACCAATAGCTACCGCATGGAATGCAGGTGATGCTTGGGATCATCATGGGGGTCCAACCCAAGATTTGCACGACTCTGACTTTGAATGTTACAGTCATTGTGGCATTGAATTCCAGGGTGGAAACATCAGTTTAATTGTTTTAGTGACCAGAAAACAAATTTTGATATGCGTCGGCTTACCCAAAATGAAAGGTTACGTGCCCTTGGCATGCTACAGATCGGCACAACACAGGCGGTTGTGGCGCGGACGATGAATGTTTCTCAGTCTGTCATAAGCAGGCTATGGTCCAGATACCGTGATACACAATCTGTACAGGACAGACCACGCTCAGGTCGACCAAGGGCGACAACTCAAGCCCAGGATCGATTTATCCGTACCTTGGCCTTGAGAAATCGTGTCATCACAGCAAATCAGATCAGCGCTCGTCTTCAAACAGACACTGGTGTGAGAGTGAGTGGCCAGACGATTCGGAATCGACTGCATAGGGGTCACCTTTGCGCCCGACGTCCTCGCGTGATCCCTTGTTTGAGAGATCATCACATTCAGGCAAGACGTCGTTGGTGTAGGGATCGTCAACACTGGGATAATCGACGCTGGAGCAATGTGATGTTTTCAGATGAGTCAAGGTTCACTGTTGATTTTTTGGACAGACGTAGGAGGGTGTGGCGTCGTCGAAACGAGCGCTTCCAAGACGTTAACGTCATCAGACATGATCGATTTGGGGGTGGTTCTGTTATGGTGTGGGGAGGCATCACTGTTGCTGGAAGAACGGCTTTACATGTTGTTGCAGGGCGTGTTACAGGCCAGTACTACCGGGACAACATCTTGGCAGTCCATGTTGTGCCGTTCGCACGACGTCATGGCCGCCGTTTCATCTTCCAGGATGACAACGCAAGATGTCACAGGGCCAGGATCGTTACAGGTTACCTCCAACAACAGAACATCACCACATTACCTTGGCCAGCACTGAGTCCCGACCTCTCCCCCATCGAGCATGTCAGGGACATGCTTGGACAGAGGTTACGTCAACGTCAACAACGTCCTGCCAATGTCCAAGAACTTGCTGCTGCGTTGCAACAGGAATGGGACAATCTGGACCAAAATGACCTTAGACGTCTCATTAGGAGTATGCCACGTCGGATCAATGCTTGTTTGGCAAACAGAGGAGTATTTACCCGTTACTGACTTGGTTGTGATGCTGTGGTAACTTTGCTGTTTGACCCCGGGTATCATTTTACCCTTATAATGGTCAGTCTGTGCCTTACTTAGTCTAACGATCATTTGGAATAAATCGATGAATGTGAAATTCATTTCATTTTGTCATTTGTTTCTTCGTCAGTTTCATTAGGTGACTTTAATAACACTTAAAAATCAAATATCCCCTACTTTTTTTGAATAGTATATATCAATAACATATATCTATTTTTGTCGGTCACTTATTGATCAAACAGTCTAGCTGGACATCGGGATACCGTACGACGTACACGTTAGTTCATTAACAAAAGAAATCCTCTCATTGGTGATTTGTAGGACCAGCCCGACTTAAGACAAAACCATGGACCACAACACAAGTTTTATACAGAGCGGAGCGCAGTTATCTCCCCCCCCCCCCCTCGCAAAAAAAAGAAATCTTTTAATACATCCTACGCATAACAAGTCTGCTACAATACAGTCAAGATATGAAACATTTCAAGTTGCAAGACAGTTGTCCCAGATTTTAAGTCCTTATCAACTAATTGTCTGACCTAGGTGCCTACAAACGTCATATAAATCAATAGTTAGCAGTAGATTTATACGCTTCGAGCGATTGTCCCTATAGGTGCGCAACGGTTCCAAGCGTCATCTCTGACCAACCCGGACCGTCCAAATTGATAAATCCATTTTGCTATTGTGTATATTGCGTGTTTTGTTAGACTACTGTCAAGAACTGTTGATCAAACAGTCTAAACTTCGACATTAATTTTGCTCGGATATCGCAGTGCGTTTAGGTACCGTACAACGTAAACATTTGATTCATGGTGTATACGTACCTGGAATTAAAATTTTGGAGTGCAAATTCTACTTTAATCATTGCAGACTTACATAAATCAGCTGCTGATCCTGAAATTTAAAAATAGAACGAATGAAAATATCTGTATTATACACCAAATAGGTCTATATACAGTATCTACGTTATATTGGTAAACTTAATCAAATGGATGAAAACGTCACTTCTTTTGGATCGCTAAATTTCTGCTTTCATTCTTCATAAAAACAAAATGTAAAAAATACAAGTTACCTTGAACACAGAAATTTACACATTGTCTTTCTGCTTGGGCTCGTAACACAGGGTTGAAACTACGTATATTTGGTACATATCGCCTCCTTCCAAATATTGTAGATGTAAAACCTGAAGATAACAAAAAAACAGTTAAAATATTAGTTATGATGCGACAAGATGCGACAGTGTGTAAACAGAAAACAATTGCACCCGTTTGGATAAATTTCGTTAACAACTAACTCTGCGATAAAACAGCAAAGTCTTATACCCAATTCGCCCTATCAAAGAGCCCCATCCACATCGCAACCAAACCAGGCTTTTCTTGACTACAAAAGAGCCCTACTCCATTAAGCCTAGATAAGAAAACCTCATCTCTCAACCCTCCGATATCTCAACGTTTTTAGTTACGTTCTCGTAGCTACGTTAAGCCTACCGGTAATCCCGCCTATCTATAAACCACCATGGTTTAGGTAACGTTAACGTCATCCCCTTTTTCAACTATTTCATGCTTTGTGCCAAAAAGAATCGCTCCCGTCCGATCAAGAAGGGAGATAAGAGACACCCTAGACAGCATTGAAGTGATATATAATAAGTTTAGATACTCTGCCTCACCCACCTCTGCAATATCAACAAGCCTCGAAGCGTTCCTAATCATTTAGCAATCATTCAAACATTTTTCAAATATATCTCAAATATAATTACCATTCTTTTTGCAGAATTCTACACATGTTTTAGTAAATCTGTTAACGGCAGGGAACTTGACTGAAAAAATAAACAGACTTGTAATCCCGCCGAAAATGTTATGGACAGATAATAAAATACAGGCTATACATATATGTAATTAAAAAATTCCCATGTCTTTTAATAATACTACAAAGCATGGCCACACTCAATGGCAGACGGAATTCAAATAATTAATAAGGATAAGACGACTAAAAACTCTAGAGATTCCAGTAGGTATTTAGTTTTCTTGTCGTGTGATAAAAGTTCTTATAAATTTCATTTTGTTCTCAATGTCGGCCTGTAAATGTTCTGAATGTTCTAACAATTGTTCTTCCTACTAACTGAGAAAACTGTTCATGATAGCTTTGGCATTGTCTGGCGACACCTTGAGATAATCAGCTAATCTGTCTTTCCCTGTAATGACAAGGATTCAATAAAAGTGTAATGTAGTTTATATACAGTAAATTATAATTCAATAATTTAAAAGTAAAAAACAGTTTCTTTTTCATTAATTCGGACCTGTAAAGAATCGAATTGAACTGAATTGAATTGTTATTTATCACTTATTCTACAATATAATTGATTTATTATTGTGTAAAGTAATTCATACTAACCTACACCATACATTACAGAATAAACAATTCTTTTAGTTTGTTCTCTCTCTACTTGGCTTATTTTATCATAGGCTTTACATAACCTGCACAAAAAACAACATCTTTAATTTGTTTGTAACTATATGCAAATCTTCAACGCAATCCTCGAAAATCTGAATGATAAATTTACTATTAAACTAACATTTGAAATACTTACTATGTTCAAAAGTCCACAAATTTCATAAAAATTAATAAAAGGGTCTTAAAATGTAGGTAATAATTATGCAAATCTTCCCAGACAATCCATGAAAACAGTGTATTAAACAGTAAATTTTGATCTTCTATGGTATATAGCTTAGAAATATTATTTTTGCTCTTCTCCAATTACCCACACTCCCTTAAATTAACATCCAGCCTATTGCCTCTTAATGATCTTAATTGTATACTGGATGCTTACCACTGTGACGTTAATGTTCTAAATATATCTTTACAATTATCATCATCAAATATTGACAATAGTTGTTCATCTTTAGATAGGTGGGCCAATAACCTCAACTCAACCTGCTGAAAATCTTGAAAATAAGAAATAAACAAAATAAACTATCCATCCAGGCAAATAAAATCATATTCTCCTATAAACACAAATTTACATGAGATATGTCAATTTAGATTATTTAGATTAAGATAATACCTGCTGCTAGAAGAACCCACCCATCATGGCTTATAAATGGTTCTCTTGCATAAATATCCATTTTAGATTCATCATGTTTTCCTGCAATATAAAGAATATATATATATATATATACCAATATCCAGGATAACCACCAATACTTCGGTACTTTTAAAACTAACAACGACGCTCAGATTGATCTGACAGTGGACAGAAAAGTTTAACTGTTCTAGAGAAAAGTGGCTTAGTATTTGGGAATATCTTTCACGGCATATGATTTGAATAAACTAAACATTTTAAAGAGGATGTATTAACCTTCTATAAAATTGTCCATATAATTAGTTAAAGTAACTGATGTTTTAGGTATGGCCTGTATATTAGGATGATAAGATGATAATCTGCCTGTAGCAGCTGCTATTTGATCCCAGTGTGTTGATAAATAACCTTTCTCTATACATGACACCATTCCATCAACATAGGTAGATTTTAACTTTTGTAGCTACAAATAACACAAACGTACATAACATTTTGGCATATTGTGCACACAATTAGTTTAAGGAACATCTCAATTTTTTTAATTTAATATCATTAAAGATACATTATTAAAGAGCTAAATTTTCCTATTGCAGGTCTTTCTTTAGGTCTTAAATGTTATATAAATTATTAATTAGACATTTATTAACATTACAAGACCATAATTAACTCTCAATGCTATTTTACTCGAGATTTTAACTAAATTAGAACGGTTCGGCCATTTAATGATTTTATTTAATTTAACAATGCAGAAGCATGCCAGGATTCGAATATAACAGTACCGTGGTTACGATAATAAACAATCAAAGCACACCTTTTGTCAAAACTACAAACAGTGATAATTTGGCCAAGAATAAAGTAATCTGAATGAAATTTTCGAAATATTCGTTTTGTATTATATTTTTTGGAACCAATACGGCAAGAACGGCCAGTTCATTATCTAAATCTTACATAATGTATCTTTAAAGTATCCTTAACCCGTCTACGATTAGAGAAATTAGGCATTGTATCCTATATAATACACCTATTTAAGCACTGTGGACTACATTTTTCTTTCTTTCTAATTTGTTAAGAAAGCAAATTTCCAATAGGTTATGGTCTTCTTGTGTTACTTCATTCATGGCTTTAAAGTCTCGATGGGCATACTGACATTGTAGTTGTCTGCAGTTCTGGCAAAAGTGGACTTCTTAAATAACCAATCTTATTTTGATCTATTTTAAAAACGTAAAAACAGACTGTTACAATACCTGTCTATATTCAAGTATTATATTAGGTAATGGATGATACGCTGCCATCTGAGATAACATACTTTCTGATGTGGATTTTTGGTGAGCTACACTTGTTTTTACCATTTTACAATTTGATGGTAACTTTTTATCTAACTGCAATTCTTCGTACAACACCTAAAACATAATTTGACTCATCCCAAGTTAAAAATATTAATCATCCATTATAAACATACACTGATCAGACCACAAAATGAAAATATAAACAAGAAATGAAAGTAAATGTATATATACCTGACGAAGTTGAGGATGACTATTTATAGAGAAACTATGACCAGTGGCATGGAAAGCCTGGGTTTCCAATTTCAGTAATTTTTTCTGCAAATTATTTTAAAATATTGTAAAAAAAAACATTCTCAAAAAATGATACCATTGATAATCAATTGATGGTCAATTTGCTAGTTGGTCACAGATATTTCCTTTTGTTTTTTTGAAAATGGGCAACAAACCTAGGTATTAAATTCCACGAAAATTGTGTCTACAAATTATATGAATTATAGTTACCTTCAAAATATCAGAGAATTTAGCAACCGTGCTCATCTCTATTTTAAATCTGGCTGTTTCCATACAAGCCAATATTGGTATAAGTTTAGTCTCAACACATATATACAGATTATATATATTCTGTTCTTTTAATAAAGCGTTTATTTTTTTCACGGCCGCCATCATCAGCAATAGATTAGCTTTAATATACCAGCTTGTTTCTTTACCAACCACCTGTTGTATAAACAAATTCATCAATTAACACGGGTCAAGGGTTACCATAAAACAATGAACTCGCGAGATTTTATAAATGGTTTAAAGCCGTTATTATAATTTTAAACTAAAAGACGTGCATGTCAAGTCTCCTTTATACGTGCATCTGTTGTAAACTTGACAAAGATATAGCTTTAAAAATAATACATTGAAAAACTCCGGTAGGATATATACTCTGTTCCCAAGCTTTACAATTCAAAATGTAAAAGAGGGGATACCAGTTCCAAAATGTGTGTCCTTAATACAAAAACCTTAATGAAACCAAACGCAAAATTATGAATTTGGGACCCTATAACTGAAAAACCTCTGAAAGTTTAAAAATATAACCTGACAAGAAATTAAACGAGAAGGTAGAAAAACTGGATGCAGAGCTATGGATGTAGCCACACAAGTTAAAGATTCTGGGTGTTACACTTATTCTGAATTAGGAAACAACTTGTAACAATATTATTTAATATATATATTGACTATATACATACCCTGTGATTAATTGGTGTTAACTTGGCAAAACGTAAAACTTCCAGGAACGTTTTAGGAGATTTATTGGCATCCAGCAACCAAACACCTAATAACGGATCTTGAATATCCCAGTTTTCAGTCTCTAAATGATAAATTACAAATAACAACTTTCTAAAAGAAAATAGTACTGGCGGAGAAATCCTATCGCGACCATAAGGTCAAATACGATACATTCAAAAGTTATGAAAAATATCTTAAGAATGAGTATACATATAATTTGGCACCACTATACTACCTATTTACAATTTACTGATTTACCTTTCTTGTGGACATCTTGTAAGTGGAATACTTCAATAAGGGTTATGATTATTCTCTGGGCATCAAATATAATAACTTCTCTCTCCTTAAAAATTTTCAGCATCATCTCTCTGAAAATATAAACATATAGCATAAGCTTATATCTTATTTCAGTAATTTGTTTGCTGTCAACACTGATGAATCCACATTATAAAGACAGTAAGAAATCATAGTAAGTACAGGCCGTAGAAAAATTTCCTTTATTATAACACGATGCTTGGCGTGTGTCTGTTGATGTAGAAATGTAAGAAGTTAACCTCATTTAATTTCATATTTTCATATAAAACATGCCTGTCACTACTGAGCACATCTAAAAGACGAAACGTCAGACAGAATAATGCATTACAGACCAACGATTATCGTTGACGCAAAATCGCTTACAAATAATCTATTGCGTGCGCAGGACATAAAGCTAACCATCATTATTCAAGGAACAGATATTAGACCTATTCTAGAAAAATATAAAAATACGTTACTCCTATGTTCGACAAACGAAAATGTGTTTACCTAAACCAGCTAAAGTATTCTTTCTCTTCACTTTCATCTTCAAGGGGAAATACTAAAAGTTGATCTTTATATTCTTTAAAAGGGCCACCTCTTATTGCCCCACATATACACTTTGCCTATAAATCAGATTAAAATTCGATTCAAATAATTGCGAGCTTACATTAAAAATATTCTACTGAACATTAATCTCCTTGGAGGACTTCATTATCATAATCAACTTCAATGCAATTCATATAATTCTGTCGAAATAAGGACCCATGTATCTTACCCATTTGTCTATACTTTTACCAGAATTCTTCGTCAACTTTTTCTGCAAGTAATAATACAATGTCCTGATTGCATGTATCCTTAATTGTATAATATATGTACCTCAACCGGGGAGATGTAGATCTTGTACTTCTGTTACGTACAATATTTAATTTCATTGTTCGTAAACGGAACCGTTTAGTCATTGATAAGTGCAAACACAAATACAATCCGCAAATATCTAATAAATCCGATTCTTATCCTGTCAAATGATATATTTTTATTTCCATAAATGAATTTTTATCAAACTTGACATATGCTTTCATTATCACATTATTTCGTTCTCCCAAGTTAGAAAACCAACCCCGTCTGCGCATAATATTTCACAACCGGTATCTCGTTTGCCCGTCCGTACATATTCTACAGCAATATAACCAACCAACCCCGTCTGCGCATATGATTTCCGAACCGGTATCTCGTTGGCCTGTCCGTACATATTCAATAAGTCTACAGCAATATAACACGTTCATCAAACCATTACTTTAATATTTACTATTTTAACGATCTTGGAATATGTCCTCATAAAAGGAGTCAGGGACCACGGTGGTTCAGGGGGTAAGAGTTTGGCTCGCTAACCTGGCGGTTCGTGTTCGATCCATGTGTTGACCGAGAAAGTTCATCGGGATTTTCCGACGTGGCTCCCCCATGAAAGTGGTGCAGGACGGAGGGCCTGGCAAGGGACAACGTTTGGTCGTTTGGATGGGACGAAACACCGAGGTCCTGTGTACACATTGTCGTGCACGTAAAAGAACCCTTCGCAGTTGGAATTCAATATCAGCGCCATGTGAACAACTAAAGCATTAGTAAACCAATGTTCATGAAACGAATGCGAGTTTTTAATTTAATTTTATTATTAGCTTGTTCGGAAACAATAAAGACAATGTTACAAATACTTTATTATTTTCTTGTTGTTGGTGACCTGTTGTTATTAAAGTGCTGCCATCGTTATATATTATGGTGAATGACAAACTGTCAGCCTGTAATAGACATGTTTGAAGATTTATTCTACCATCTTTAGGCAGCTTAGAAACGTCTATAAATCTGGTATCATATAAAACTTCTGTCTCGTTTCTGTTGTCTACACCGACCTGTAGAGATATAATAATTACATTAAAAACTTACATATTTATCTATTATTCCCATTTTACAAAAAATCTTCTCATGAACGTGAATGAGTCGCTGAGTGGTTTTAACACCTGCGCTTTAGATCATAAAAAAATTAAAATATACCATGTTATTAGTCCAGAAATGACCTGGTTTGTGTTGAGTAGACGGGCTATATTAAGATTGGGCTCCCGTTTTACTCATATTTTGACTATTTTTATCTTAATAAATCGGACATTTTCATTTATAACCCTACTGAACTTATGTCGGTACCGGATAATAGTGTGGGCAACAACCTCTGACCAAGAAAACAATAGAAATATCCAAAAGTGAAATGGAAAGACAACATCGAATCCTGGGACACAACTTGACATGGCTCTCACGACAGACATCCCATCAGTCATCATTCGTTATGCACAGGCCACTACATAAATATTCACAAAAGGAGAAGGTCAGTTTCCTATTTTGATTTCTTCATTTTCTTTATCAGATCCATATGGTGTCTGATTGGTATCATGTCGTGATGTTTGTTTATCCCTTCATTAAAAATGTCGTAATGTCGCATAAATAATGTCGTATTTCGGGTTAAAATGTCGTGATTTCGGGTTGTCGGCCATCTTCCTCTAAATATATACAGTATGATTATGTAACGCTGATCCTGGTGTTCGTCAAGAAAGTTTCCCGGGATTTTGCAGCGTGATTTCTCCCTGTCGGTAGTGCAGGACTAACGGTCTGGAAAAGAATAGTGTCTAGCCGTGTAGATTGGACGGCATACTCTTATAATGAATTCCACTGTCAATTTTTCGACCCACCCGAACGACTATACGTTATGCCTTGCCAGACCCTCCGTCCTGGCACTGTCTATAGAAAATTTCCGTCATAGCACTTTTCATAGCGTATATGTCTATCTTCAATGGTCCGATTTCCGACTGGTGCAGAAAAGTAGGAAAATTAAATGAAATGCGGTTTAACGTCCTACTGTTCTGCTCCGAGTGGGCTTATGAAGAAGGGCATACACTATACAGTGTACTATGAGGGAAACTGTGCCCGGATAGCGGCACTACGGCATATATATTTAATTTTAACTGCCAAGGTGCACGACAATATGTACATGGGACCTTGAATTTTCGTCCCACTCAAACGACTATACATTATCCCTTTGCCAAACCCTCCGAGAAATACCACTGTCCCTAATAAATTTCCGTCATACCACTCTGCATAGCGTATGCCTATCTTCAATAGTCATTTCATATAATTTTCCTACTTTTTGGCGTCAATCGGACTATTGAAGATAGGCATACGACATGCAGTGTGCGTTGACGGAAATTTTCTAGGGGCAGTGACATTTCTCCATCGAATTCCAACTGTGAAGGGTTCTTTAATGTGCACGCCAATGAGTACACAGGGGTTTGTGTTTTTGTCCCATCTACACAACTAGACACTCTTCTTTGCCAGACCCTTCGTGATGCACTACCGACAGAGAGAAACCACGCTACAAAATCCCAGGGAATTTTCTTGACCAACACCAGGATCAATGCACATAATCATACTGTATATTGAGAGGACGATGGCCAACAACCCGACATCACGACATTTTAACCCGACGACATTTTTACGCAACATCGTACTGTCGGGTTAAAATGTCGTGATGCCGGGTTGTCGTGGTGTCGGGTTAAAATGTCGTAATGCCTTATGAAGGGCGACACAGCGACATCACGACATACCAATCAGACACCATAGATCCATGTGTAGCGCGCTGAATTCGGTCTCTTTAGCGATCTCCAGACATAGGCAACGAAGTCACTGGTTCCAGTTTGGATCTAGCTCATCTACAGGGAGTAAATTTTCAAAAGATTTTACGGTAGTCTCCCCGAAGCCCCGAGTTACTTGCAGTCTTGCACATAACTTTATGCTTCGTGAATCTTTTCCCGACACTGTCTTAAAATTTAAGATGTCCATATTGAGGGAGTCTGGTTAAACTGAAACGTTTGTGTAAGCCTCAGCTTTAATAGTGTGGTATTATAGCTTGTTCAAATAAGAGCAAACAACGGAACCGCTACTGCATAGTATAAACTACGGATAAGAATTTCGATATGGAAAGAGTTGAGAAAAAAAATATAAATACTTGTAACTGGACAGCTGTCGAAGGATGAGTTTTTAATTTCTTAAAATCGCTAACCGCATTTGAATTTCCAGTATATCTTTTGCTAGATTTCGCTGAAGTCCTGGACTTTTTCAATTCATTTCTGCTTGTTAATGTTTCACCCTTCATGAAATATTTCCTTTCTTCACTGTCTTTTTCTAGGGAAAAAACATACAGCATTGCTATACTTGCCTCCGGTCTTTTAATAATATTTGTTGTTCGGTTTTCTAAATCATAAGATTCTGTTTTCCTTAGCAACGAATAGGAATGGAGGCTCGTCTTCTGTCAGTCATTGTAGTATTTTGGTCCTTAAGACCGTAGTGTATCTTTAACTAATTATTGGTTAACACTTTCTATAGAGTCAAATCCCACGTACTAATGAAAGTAAATGACATATTAATATATAAAAAAACAATGATATTTTGGTAAAATTCTTACCATTGTCAAAATATTCATCAAATTGTATCTGTTTATGACATGTGTCTTATAGATCAAATAAGGTAATGTTCTCCCCCCTGGTCTTGGAAGAATGGGGTGTTTACTCCAAGGAAATTAACGCCAAGGTCAGTCTATAACGTGCAGAAATAAGGGGGTTATAAAAGAGGGTGTTAAGCGAAACTGATCAGAGCTCACCCAGATTTCCAAGCAGCCATCATTTATCCTATGCTTTATTGGGAACGAGGGACGTTGGAAGCCAACTAGTTTAACAATAAAGTTGTAGAAACCATCTAACCTGTAGTTTTATTATGATCACAAGGAACACAACAAGGAAGTCCGATATTACTACGGTGTGTTCCCACTTAGCCGGCAGATTGTTAATCCTTTGATTGATCTTAAAACTATAGTCTGTTTAAAAGTAGTCACTCAAGAACTGTTCACTAGTGTTCAGCGTTAATGAGCTCCTAATCCCTCTTACAAGTTCATTAACTTAATAAAACAAAAACAATCCTATGTCGAAATCACCATTTCACAGATATAATTTGGTGGTACCAAAAGGCCTCGAGTTAAGAAATATCGACAACTTGATACAAGAATTGAACATTTGAAAACACAGTTATTAAATGGCTCTTTAAGTGTAAATCGGTATGGAACAAATATTTCCTATTTAGTGGGGCTGTAAAATGATTGTTATGTTGTAAGACATTTATTTATAAATTATATAATGCTATTTAATAAAAGTTAAATGTGTAAATTGTAATGCATTTTTATATGTGTAAATCATTTAATGTTATTTAATAAATATTAAATTTGTTAAAATCAATATATTTTTATATGTGTAAGCTATTTTATGTTATTTAATAAAAGTTAAATTTGTTAAAATCAATACAGTTTTAGTCTTAAAAAAGATATGGACTATAGTTTATAACACCATTGTTCTAGGATTAACGGCGAAATTTGACATCAAAGCCTGCCGGCTAAGTGGGAACACCCCTACACCATTACATCATATATATCAACTTACCGAATGATTTCGACCAGAGCTCGACGGTAAAACCTATCGCTCTTCAATGTCGTTTCGCTTCCTGATTATAATGCAAGTGAGTGCTCGTTGATTCAGGAACTGGTGGAATACATTATGAAGCAGTGCAAAATAATATTGCAAACTATAGAGTCTTACCTTTCCCAGAACACTTTTTTTGGTGGGTGTGACTCTTCAACTGAAGTCTTTAAAGAAAAAGAATTTATTGAATTATCGCAAGATGCATTTCAAATCAATAAAATCCGTCAACTAAACTTAACAATACAACATGAAAAAAATAAAAATAAAATACCTTATTTGTTGGTGATCAATTAATTTTCTAGACAGAGAGGACATTGTTTTATTACTTTTGTCAATTGTAGGTGATGATCCCTTGGGTGATCGCATCATTGCATCGACGCTTAGAAATTCATTTTCCACCATCTGATTTTCGGTACTATTTTGGTTATTAAATGTCGGTATTACCCTATTATGACAGTAGTTACTGTCATACACAGTGTCCGACAATTCGTGTTTATATTCAGTTGCATCCAGATTATATTTTATGGGATTATCCTTCACTAACAATGGTAACATATTGCTTCTAGTTCTATCTAAATAGTCGGCACCGGGGCATATCAAACCTCTATAAATGTCATCATATCTTTTGTCCTCTGTTTCCGTTTGGTCGAAACAAGAATAGCTTGAGTTATCCTTAAGGGAGATCATACTTCGTGAATCTTCTAAATATGAATTGTGGTGATCTGCTATATCACTGTCTTTGTCGTTAATATGAATCGCATTGAAAACATTTTGGCCAAAAGGAGTGTCGCAGAATTCACTCCCATGTTCTGGTGAAGCTGTTGGCAAACTTCTTCGAGCTTCACAAGATGAATCTGATAAACTGCAATTGTCATACTGACTATGATTTTCGTGACATTCGTTTGGATTCCCATTGAAACATAAATCAATTGGTGTCATAAACTCTTCATAATACATGTAATCAATATTACTAAGCCGTTCATCTTTTTCTTCGTTGGGAAACAATTCTTTATGGATACGATTATACTTTCTCTGATCTTTATATATTTGAGTAGACACGGTTAGAGGGGTTGCATTTTGGCTAGCTTTAGTCCTTTCAGTTTGAGATTGGTTTTGACTTGATCCGTTGAATTTACCACTCTTGTTACTTGATTCTCTTCCCTGTAGATATTGGTTTTGTTGTTTCTGGTAGTAAATGTTACTGTCCAAATAATGTTTACAGTCAAGAATTTCAAAGTTGTTTGAGAATCTTGAAGCTAGAATTATAGAAATAAGCGCTTGCCATAAAAAATAAGCCCATATTTTGCCAGAGATAGAAGGTAAACTTGGAAAATTAAAAGAGTGCTCATCCTCTCTATTCCAAATACTTCACATCAAAATTGTTTTTGTTTTTCTGGGGCGGGGAGCTGTAGAATCTATCGTGGATGGAAGTTTTTTTGCAAATGGGGCCATGGGGTAACTCCGGAACGGTAGGTTGCTGGAACCTGTCTTACTATTAACTTTTTGTAAACTAGAAACATTTGAAGGAAGTCGGCCTGTTTATTAAATATACAGTATGCAAGAGCTAAATCTGCCTATTGCTGGTCTTTCTTTAGGACTGGAATGTTATCTAAATTATTAATCAGACATTTTAATCAACTCTCGATGTCATCGCTAGCCTGCGATGTTTATTGGATTAGGTCCGATTTGCTGTTCGACTTCCATTCATGATTTAATCATGAAAAGTTTAATCGAGACTATGTTTTTTATACTGACTTTAGTAATGATGATCGAGGATAGGCTGAAAATTCAATCGCTAAAATCGCGGTCCAGAGTGGATCAATTTGACTTAAATTTTCAGCAAATTCCCTTTACATTATCTAGTTTATTTTTTAACTATATTATAGTGAGAACTGCCAGCTCTTTATCTAATCTACCATTTTGTATCTTTAATCTTGGTTTAATTATTTCCTCACGGTACTATTTATTTAGTAATTACTTTCTGTAGATAGTGGAATAAAAAAAAGTACTTCAACAAGGTCTCGTCTATGTTTAATATAGACAGAACAATGGGAGCAGAATTCCAATCTTACTCATGGGCTGAATTTTCCATAACGATTGATATCTCAAACAATAACATAAAAAATGCGATGAAACTTCTCGCCACAAGTACTGAAGTACTAAGTAGCTTACGTTGACGTTGACAATAATCATTCTGACTTCACGGCGTCTACAAACAAACAAAATATTTTAAAGCCAGCTTACTTTCTTGTATGTACGTCAAATATTCGTCTTCTTCTCTCTCGTATTCCTTTTTTAGCCAAAATATAAACTGCTGATTTTCTGCCGAAATATCTGAATATTTTCTGAAGAATGGTGGATTATCTTTTGGTCCCCAAACCTGGATGGCACTTTTCCGAAAAGAATTAATCATACTAAAGTCCACTTTCTCACAATAACATGCAGCATTTACCAGAATCTATAAACTATGGAAAATAATGTAATGATTTAAAAATAGTACGGTAGGCACTAGTTCTACTAGTCCACAGTTTCAAGAATCTGTCCAGGCATAATTAATATGATTACCGTATTATGAACTGATTTTGGATTCTCTATCATTAGCCCATTAGATTCATTAAAGGCTCAATACCATTCTTGTTGTAACAGAATAATATGTCCCAATCTTTATTCTGGTCAACAAATTGTACTATTTTACAGTATTCCAATTAATTGATGATACAAATTTCATCTTAACACACCCAATTTAAAAAATTGGAGAAATTCAACTAAATGATTTGAAAAGCCTAACGTAAACCTTTTCAAATGTGACTTGGATTTAAAAATATTTTCGAACCCTCCGGACAAGTAAAATAGGATGTAATGGATAATTTACACAACAGGTAGAAAACTTAAACATCTAACAGGCCTACTTAGAATAAGGCTAATATTTATTTACTGGAGCTGTCAAGCCAGCAAGAGTGTTATTGTCCCTTTAACGCACCATTTCGAAAATGACAGGTTGAATGCGCTAAAACTTGGACAAATTTGGGGCAACTGTGTTAGGGCCTACAATTTTGACTTTGAATGCAGCCAAGGAATTCAGTAATGCAACTTTGCTCGAAATAGGCCTACTACTTACGAATAACGTATATATTAGGATAGTCACACTACACTTACTTTAACTTAACTTAGTATTATAGTAAAGTTAGAGTTAGAGAACAGCTCAACGGACCATCGTATCGTGACCAAATGAAATAGCCTAGAATTCTAGTAGAATAGGCCTAGTTTTATATGTGTAGACTCTTCCAGACGTGTATGACAAGAGCCAGTTTAAACCTATAGCATTAATTATAGTCTTAGTACTATACTCTTGTGAAATATAGGCCCAATGAATGCTGGTTTAGAAATTGCGTCCAGACAGTGCAAACTGCAAGTAGAAATTTATTCCACTATTGAGCAGACGATGCTAGTTTAGTCCTAAGGGCAGTAACTCTAAACGACATCCCTAAATAATGTGGTTGAAGCCCACAAGAGACTTCACTCAACTTCACTGCCCACAGCCATTTCCCATTTTAGTCTAATCTTTATAACTACACACAGGGCGCAATATTTGAAAATTATCTGTTAAAATGGGGAATTGAATGTCCTGTCTTTAGTTCCTGAATCTGCACCAACTAGAAAAACCTACATTCAAATGAAAGAAAGTAGTGATTAAACGAATACTGATATTATCATGTAATGTGTGGGAACTTCTTATACCAGCAACATTTTTTCCAGGTCAATAGAAATATCATTCTTTCAGTTTCAGATAAAATCATGATGGGTCAAAAACATGACCTAATTACCAACATATCTTTAAAAATGGATAATTCAAAAACAGTTTTTTTTCATAATTTTATAAAAAGTAGTTTATCCAATATTCCATTATCATTATGAAGACACATTGACATTTAGGTTACGGTTGATTTCTTTATTTGCATTCCAGTAAAAAGACAAAAAAAAATCCTGAAAACATATATTATTACGTCTTTATTAAAAATACAGAATTCCAATTTGAACTAAATATATCTGCTATCCTGCCAGGAGTACAAGAACTGAAATCAACCTTTGAAAAATTGTCTTTAGATTTCACATCTCCTAATCCAAGCTGACCATATTTGTTCCATCCACATGACATAACATTTCCATTCTCTGTAAATACAATCACAAATGACACTGGATGTAAAACTTTTCTCCACAGATCTGGGCAATCCAATAATTGAAATAAAAATATTAACCATTATATATTTGTCCTAATATTGTATAAAGTGCTGTTCTCTCCTGTCTCACCCTAGTCACAAATAATCATATTCACTACAACTGACCTAACAATATACATGTATGTCTTGATCCACAACTAACTTTGGTGATGGTTTCATCTATTTCTATATAATGAGGAATAGTAAGTATCGCAACACTATCAGTAGATTTATCTTGACCTTGTAAAGCTGGACATGGTAATCCAAGCTGTCCACTTTCATTCCATCCCCATACATATAGATCTCCATCGTCTGCAATAAAATATCAACATTCTGTGAAAGAATTAAAATAATGTCTGGGGCTAACGGAGCTTTAACAGAAAGCTAAAAAGGGAGCAGGCGTTTGTTTGCAACTCTGCATATTTGATTATTATTTCATTGTCTAGAATCCAAATTGATCCCTAATTCCCAAAGATTCCTGGGAAATGAAATGAAATGGGGTTTAACGTCCTACTGTTCTGCTCCTAACCTGGGCTAATGAAGACGGGCATACGCCATACAGTGTGGAGGGAAATTTTGCCCGGGCAGCGGCGCTACGGCCTACTCTTATATTGAATTCCAACTGCCAAGGGATCTTTTTCGTGCACGCCAAATTGTACACGGGACCTCTGTTTTTCGTCCCATCCAAAAACTAGACAGCTGTCCTTGTCAGGCCCTCCGTGCTGCATCCCTGACTAGGGGAAACGACGCCGGCAAATCAGGATGAACTTTCTCGGCCAATGCAGGGATCGAACACCCGACCTCCAGGCTAGTGAGCCAGCGTCTTACCCACTTAGCCACGTGATCCCCCAAAGATTCCTGGGACATTGTTGTCCCCATGATAGGTGTCATGCACAGTGTGAGGTATCCCTACAATTAAAATACAAGGACTAGCCGCTAGGCTTAATTGATGTGATGTCGGTGCACCTCTCGCACAGTTTTCCTTAACTACCTATTGAATAATCCAAAATCAAGCACAAATTTACTTTGATTCACTCACTTGTAACTGCAGTTGAATGCCATCCACCAGCAGAAATTTGTTTTATATTCAGTCCAGCTAAAGCTTCAACTGCCTTGGGATATTTAATCTCTTCTATATCACCATTTCCTAATTGTCCTCTACTGAAATTTGTAAAAAGGTATGCTGGGAGACAGCAGAAGTCATTTAAACCTACAGATTTATTAACAAATGTTGATAAATATATTGTATTTGTATACTGTAAATTAATGAAAATTAATACATTAATTTCAAAGTTCTTTTATGTTGACCCATGATAGGATGCATTAATATCATAATGCATTCAATTTGATCCTAATATTGATTGAAATGTGAAATCTTCTTTTCTCAGAAATTATTTATTTAACAGAACGGAGAGGAAGACTCTAAAATATATCTGCAAATTAAAAAGCTTCATCAGATTTTAATTTGCATGTTAACTATTCAAATATTCAGAAAATTTTAATTAATGTCATCTTCTATTTCTGCCATCAAAAGAAAAACTATAAATTCTTATTTTTCTCAATCATTTTTTCAGATTAAAGTTTGTCAAAAATAATAATGTCATACCTGCTGAGACCCCACGAAAATACTTGGTTAGTACTTGTAATTAACAAATTATGTTCTTTTCCACATGATATGTGAGATACAGTTTGTGACAATGGTATAATGTGGGGTATTGTTAGACATTGGTTTAATTTATTCCATTCCATCCTCTGTAATGTACCAGAATCTGAATAAAACATAAATATACATTTTCATTTTAAAATACTTTAGTTACAAATTATGTCATGGCTGTATGTTCTGTATATGCTAGGAGTTGATTTTTAGGATAGTTCCCACTTCGAGGTCATGTCAAAAGAAAATTACCAAGTCAAGAGGCGTTTTGTGAGTCGATTAGATTAGGTTTTGATTTGCTAGTACGATTTGGTATGATTTCGATTTGATTAGCTATGGTCCACAAATGTGAAATTTGATAATTACGATTTGGTAAGATGGCTGCCACCACGGACACCGATCAGAAAAAAATTGTCTCTGCTAACATGACGAGGGGGGTGTGTGTTTCACGTGTAGTCCAAGTTACCTACAGATTACAGTGACACTGCTGGCACCCAGAGGGCCTAAAATTGCTTAGAGCCAGAGGTGATCTAACATTCTTGTGGACTATAAAGTTAACATTAAAGGAGCTGAATCGCTAACATTTGGGACCTAGAAATTGACAAAAGTGGGTCGCAATGCATATAATACTGTAATATGAATGTATATAAACTGATTTACATTCAATGGTTTCCGTTTTTACTCCAATTTCAAATCCGTTATGTTCGGCGAAATAAGCCAGCAGTCTCAAGCGAGTGCAAATTTCTAGCGTCTGGTTATTCCAGTTTACATACGCCGTTTGATTTGGTGCAATGTGTCTAGCCTCGTCCCTTGAGTCTCTTGATACAACTAGGGCTGAAGCGCATTATGCTACACGATTCGTGTACCAATGGTAAAATGTTTATTTTGTCTTAAATATTGGATATCAAAAGCCCATCTTTTCCCGTTAAGATCACAACATGAATGTTGATATAATTTGACAAATAAATCGTGTTTTCAATGTTGAAGATTTTGGATGATATTGAGTTAGAGACTTAGCTACTTTAAACACATCAAATGCGTTTTAAAAAAACATTTTTTATGGAGAAAAACAACAATAAGCATTAAAAATTACTTACGATGTCGAACATTCCGCCATTTTGAAAACGTCAAATCTAATCGCCTAAACACCTCCTGGGACGATTAGGTCGATTTGCCTAATCAGTTGAGTTAAATCGTCTCACAAATGTAACGATTAGCATAATCAACTTGGTTCACAAATGCGTATAATAGCTAATCGGTCTAATCTAATCGGTTCACAAAAACGCCTAATGACTACTTTAATTGAGTAAAATAACTTCCTCACCATCAATAAGATAGAAACAATTTTCACCACCTATTATCTGTTCAATATTGTTTGATATTATATTCTCTTCTTTCATGCTTTTATCTATTGGTAGCAATTTGTCTTGAAAAACAGACCTATTTTCTCCATAATTGACTAATCTTAATTCACCATTACAGTTGTTATATACTAGATAATCTGAAGAAATTGCTATATGTTTGGCATCAATTATTTTCATAACTTCATCTGCACAGTTGTTTCCAATACCATATAGGGTCTGATTTCCTGGAAGAGCAATGTCTATCTTCTGAACAACAGAACAATAAAATGAAACTCAAACGCAAATGTTATATTGAGTTCAGGCCTTTAATTCACTAATTCACATAAATTGATCTAAATATATTTTTTATTAACTATCGATAATTAGTATATTCCTACCAGTACTTTATTATCATTTACTGGCATGAAATTTGTAAAATAACTGAGAAACTAGTAGACTAGGACCTCACTTCACAATAATAAGAACGACTAATTGATGCTACCTCACACTGAGAACTAGCTATGGTGTTATCTGTACGTCTGTGGAATATAAGTCTCAATCTATGATGTTATCTGTACGTCTATTGATAAAAAAAGAAACTTCTGATTATATCTCGTCATAATCGTGTTAATTCAGTGAGAAATTGACTGAGAAGTGAATTAATTAACCCTAGGGGTGAAAAACTGTGGAACAGTGCGTTTTCTGTAGAGGTACATGTATGTTAATTAACCGACGGGTTAAAAATAAAGATCGAATATTAAACGAATGTGAAAGAAATTAGTGCTAGATACACAAGATTAAATGATACCTGGGTTACAGTGTAATTGGTGTGTTTTATGATAGCTAGTTCTCAGTGTCAATATGCCTATGTGATGGAATTCTCTCAGATGTATAACAATTTAACCAAAATAAACAACCCATTGCAAGCTTTTTAAAGTACTGTAAAGGAAACATTTTAAAGATTTTCCACATTGTTCATGGTGATGTTTAAACTGTGAAAGTTTCAAAAATATGTATTAATAACTTGTTTACAAGAAAACAGATATAGGTGACAACTTTTTAATATGATCATATACATATTACCTGTTTTTTCTGCTAAGATTACAAATATACTAGACCATGCTATACAAACATCTTCTATTTTATCTAGATCTGAACATTCAGATTTAGGGAGATTTAATTTGATTGGTAAAACCCTTTTTGCTTTAGTAAAGTCTGGTAATCTTTTTTGACTATCTGTTACATCTTCTAATTGATTAAAGCCATTGAACCCACATCCAAGAAGATCCATTTTGCCAGACAGTCATCTTTCAATATTTCATCATGAAACCACAATTCACATTCTTGAAAGAAAGTAATACAGTGTACATTAACAGTTAGAAATGTAACCTATACAAAAAATTGTTAGCTATGGCAAAAGAGAAGTAGTATCACATAGTGACATATTCTAGAAAGAGTAATCATACTTCCTTGTGCAACAGACCATTACTACAGTACTGTGGACCACGGGTCACCAGTCCCAACTTTTAAATTCATTGACAACAATCTTTAACTTACAAGTTATACAAGTTTTAATAGAAATGAAATGAAATGGGGTTTAACGTCCTACTGTTCTGCTCCTAACCTGGGCTAATGAAGCTCTTTTAAACATGCATTATGCAAGAGCAAAATCTGCTTATTACAAGTCTGTCTTTAGGCCTGAAATGTTATCTAAATTATCAATTAGACATTAATTAACTTATCCAGACCATAATAAACTCCCGATGTCAAGGCTAGCCTTCGATGTTGGCTGGATTAGATTCCTATATGCCGCTAACGGCCATTGATAATTAAATCAGAAAAAGTGGATAACCGAGACTATGCTGTTTATATTAATGATTTTAGTAATGATGACCGAGACTATGCAAACATTTCACTCGCTTCTTTCTCGGCTCATAGTGGATCAATTTGACTGAAATTTTCAGCAAATTACCTTTACACTATCTAGTTTTTAACTATTATAGCGAGAACTGCCATCTCTTTATCTTATCTCCCATAATGTATCTTTAATAGATATATGATGGACCACAAATTCAAACAAAACCTCTTGGATAGGAGCAGGCTATCATTAATTTTTATGTTTGTAACCAGTTAATCTCGTAGGCCTATACTAAACAACTGCTAGTCAATTTAAAAACAAGCCAACAGTGAGGCTGATGTCCCCTGCCGAAATCCCAAAATAAACAGATGACACATATTAATTAATAGCACATTTATTTTTTTCAAAAGTATCAAACTGATTATCAACTATACACTAAGTTTCATCACTCTCTATCTATACTCGGCATTTCATCACTCTCACTTAAAATTAAAACTAAAGTTATCATGCCCCAAAGCATCAACCAATCAGATTGATTGTCTCTGCTTACCGTAAGCAGACAATGTTCATCATCGAACGCCTACACCAAGTTTGAACATTCTAGCTCACTTAGGAGAGTTATTGTGTTCCAAATTCTTAACCAATCTAATTGCTTATCGCTTTGGTTACCCTCAGCAGAACTTAGTCAAGGTATTGATGTAATAAAGCTATACACCAACCAATCAAATTGCTTATCTCTGCTTACCCTAAGCAAAAAATTCTCATCTTTGAACTCCATCAAGGCATTCACCTAATAGATACCTACACCAAGTGTGAACATTCTAACTCAATTAGAATGAGAGTTAGTGTGTTACAAAGTCTCAACCAATCAAATTGGTTATCGCTCTGCTTACCCTGAGAAGAAAATGCTTATTATCGAACTTAGTCAAGGTATTGATGTAATGAAACTATACACCAAGTTTCATCACTCTCATTTAATAAGAACTAAAGTTATTGTGTCCCAAAGCATCAACCAATCAAATTGCTTTTCTCTGCTAACTGCTTACCCTAAGCAGAAAATGCTCATCTTCGAACTCCATCAAGGCATTGACCAAATAAACACCTATAACAAGTTTGAACATTGTAGCTCAATTAGAAAGAGAGTTATTGTGTCCCAAAAAGTGTGACGGACAGACAGACAGACGGACAAACAGACAGACCCATTTTAATAGTCCCCTGCTTTCTTCGAAAGGCGGGGGACAAAAATAAGGTAAATTGATTGTGTAACTGTCAAGAAACCTATAATTATATTAACCTCTGGAGTCCCAAAGAACAAAGGTGAATTTAGCAAGTTTACATTTTTATTGAAAGTGTGATTACTTTCAATCATTTTCAGCTTATTTCCATGATACAAGAATGACTGTGCATTCACTTTCAGTGCAAATGAACCCATTTGACCCCAAATATCTCGAAAATGCCCCCACGGCGGACTGATTACCACCCGGCATCATATTCTACGCGAAATTTTACTCTAGAAAAGTTGGGTCTGGTTTTGTGCCCATTTGATGGACCCACCCCCATCCCCCGCGCTGAGCCCCGGTCTACACATGTAAGCATTTAAGTACATGTTCAAATATAAAGAGAATACATGTATTTATTTATTATTGATTTGTTTTGACATGCTTGTGATATTTTAAGATGCTTAAATTAGGCAATGATTGGTTATTTTATTAAATTTATGTAAACATCATTGTGAAAGTGGTACCTTGGACATTATAACACACCCATCCATGGTGGTACATTTAATTGGCCGTTTTGACCTTTTTTATGGCCGCTAGTTTGCAGACAACGATTATGCCAGGGCCGTTTTGGGGTTTTTTGGTCGTTTTGTCTACGACCCTATTGATCATCTATACAATACGTCATTCTTTTCCTATTGGAATAACCAAGCTTTGTCAATCACAAAGATTTTTGGGGAGCATGACTTCATGAGCACCTTACGCACAGATGTTAACATACACACCTCCATCATGATTAGAATCAAGATTTGCTCAATCGCGCAATCGCGAGACTCGCCGAATCACACGCCTGGACAATTCTGACTATTTGTTATGCGTACTACGTCATTGAATCGGGGTATAATATTCAAGATGGTGCTCGAAAGTACAGTTATTTGGTAATTTTTTCTTCATTTTGCTTCTAATTTATGTTTTCAGATACATTTTCTGCGAATCAAAGCATTTATTTTGCACGTGTTTAGTGATTTAACAAACTGATTCATAGAAAACAATCGTCTGATGATTATTTTCGTAAAACGAGAGAAATCAAAAATGCTAAATAAAAATGATGCAGCACAATTGAACAACTTCACAGTTTAATTAAAGGAGCTAAACCTCGTCTAACAAAATACTTGCCATAACTATAACATTTGAAATTAAAAACTCGAATTAGAATTCACTATTGTTCCATTTCAATCAATATTGACGTTATCCATAATCTTGGCATGAAAATATGGGACCCTGTATAGCGATTACATGACATTTCCGTCCCGTGACATTTTGGACTTACAAAGTTACGCCATTTCAAACTCAAAAAAATATAGCCTAGACATTCCAGACTCAGGCACGTGACATTTTCGACGCGGGTGGGTGACGTTTCGGACTAAGGAATAAGTTGAACACAACTGTCAAATCAATTTAATAAGCCAAAAACTATTTTATAAAATTGACATGCAGGTAACATAATTTACCGCTCGCCATCAAGTAGAGCACATGGAGTCTGGATCACTCGCCGTATAAACCTCTTAAGCAACTTAATGATACATTATGGGAGATAATAGCTCTCGCTATAATAGTTAAAAACTAGATAGTGTAAAGGTAGGGGTTTCAGGTCACGTGACTTTAGCGTGAAATCGGACAGCCAGAGGCTGAAATATACCCCACTTCAATCTACGATTCTGAATTACTACTTTATGTAAATGCATTACTAACAATTGTATTGCAATAGTTTTATATCAATCTCAATATCTGCAAAGATTCAGGCTGAAAAATTATCAAAATGTAAGCAAAATTACCGTTCGTTTACATGAGACGCTCGCGGGAAAATAACACTCTGACGTCACACGGCCTGAGATTTTCCATTGCTACGACTCACTTCATTGGTGAATCCGCACCTTAGTTACCGGGGGATTTTGATATAGAACCAATCAAACGATAGATAACATTTTTGTGATTATTATGCTTGTTGATACCACGTGGTCGGACAATTAGACCCGGAGAAAATTGGATTTATCTGTTTTGATGACTGAAAATTGCTAAATTTCGACTAAATATAAAAAAACTTTCTTGAGGTATCATCCAGATTATAAATATTTGACATATTATCAATCAAATTATTACGATTTTAATAAATTTTAGCTGACAATAACGTGCAGATTTCAGTTTTAAAATTGGTACTAGCGATTCTGAAGGGAAAATACTGCTTATGACGTCACACAAATATGACTGAAAAGCACTCACTTTGGTGCCATGCCACGCATTGACTGGTATAGAGCATTTTAATTTTGATTATATTTTTGACGTCGATCTCGGATTTTAAAATTCCATAACTTTGGATCTAATTAGAATATTTTGATGAAATAAACAAATTTGGGTAGCATTTTATGTATATTTTCACAAAATATTTTTATTTTTTTTTTTCTGTCATTTGAAACTTTGACCTGAAACCCCTAGTAAAGGTAATTTACTGAAAATTTCAGTCAAATTGATCCACTATGAGCTGAGAACGAAGCGGGTGAAATTTTTGCATAGTCTCGGTCATCATTACTAAAATCATTAATATAAACAGCATAGTCTAGATTATCCACTTTTTTTTATTTAATTATCAATGGCCGTTAGCGGCATATAGGAATCTAATCCAGCCAACATCGAAGACTAGCCTTGACATCAAGAATTTGTTATGGTCTGGATAAGTTAATTAATGTCTAATTAATAATTTAGATAACATTTCAGGCCTAAAGAAAGACTTGTAATAAGCAGATTTTGCTCTTGCATAATGCATGTTTAAGCAACGGCAATACTTCCAGTGTGTTGAATACTGTTGAATGTACTATGTTTCTATACTTGATATAAAAAAAGTAGCTGATGAATTTATTAGAAGAAATAGGCCAATTCAAATAAAAAAGAAAATATTAACATGAAACACCTGGTTATTAAAAACCTCTACTAATAATAAATTAGTTGCACATACAGTTCTTTGATAATTCAACGTTTCCTGCAATAGAAGTGTTTTTTTTAAAATATGAGAAAAAAAACGCAAGTTATCAATCATCAACCTTGGCCGTGTACGGCGTGTGTTGATTTCAATTATTCCGTTTCACATAAAAGACATTAAGGCTTTCACTTGGCAGTGATCGGTCAATCAGTCTCGTTTACTGTTTGTTAAAAGAAAAACAACGAAATATTACTAAATATACCCAAATTTTTTAACAATATTGTATTGTCAAGTTCAATAGTCGCCAATTAAACAAAACAAAAGACAGCTAGCAATGTTAATCTTTTTACAGCGGTCTCAACAATCGCCTATCAATCAAATAAAACAAAAGACAACTATCAACCTCACATAAAGCAAGAAAAAAAAAATAGATATTACTAATAAACACAAATTTTCAGTTCAGCCTTTTATTTATTCGTCCAAAACCAATTCCGAAACGTCGACAGACATAATCCAAAATGTCGTCAAGTATTGAAGTAAGTCCGAACTGTTGTCAAACTGAGTCCGAAAGATCGTTTGTGTTAAAGGAACAATGACACTCTTGCTGGCTCGACAGCTCCAGAAAATAAAAAATAGCCTTATTTTAAGTACTAGATGTGTTAGTGTCTTACCTGCTGTGTAAATTATCCATTAAATCCTATTTTACTTGTCCAGAGGGTTCAAAAATATTTTTAAATCCAAGTCACATTTGAAAAGCTTTACGTCAGGCTTTTCAAATCATTTAGTTGAATTGTGTTTCAACAACCCTTTTGGACTGCAAGGATTACTTACAATTACATGTACCTTCTGTGGTAATTTGTTGTTTTTTTCTGACATTCCATCTTTTCAACAGGAGAGTTACACAGCATTTTCAATTAATGATTGGTGTATTCATTGTTGAATTCAACAAAACTAAAATAACATTAATTTACTCAAGGTATATTTCATACATTGTATTTTTACTTTTGTAGTGTTGATAATAGTGACTACATGAGAAATGGAGATTTTGTTCCAACTAGAATGCAAGCTCAGCAGGATGCAGTGAATTTGGTCTGTTTATCCAAGACGAGATCCAATCCAGAAAACAATGTTGGTTTATTACAGATGTCAGGGTAATTGTTTGTAATAATATTTTAGTTTTTGAGGCAGTCATCTGTGAAGCTGACTTTGATTCATTTAAAGTTTCACCATATTTTAAAGGATGCAGCGATACCTGGGGAATTGTGATTAGTCGCTATTATTGGGTCAGACGATTAAATAACCACCTTTTCTCAATAATTGCTGTATCACAATATATCATGATTATTTTCAAAATAATCGCAAATATGATTTTGGAAAATGCAATTTGGAAACTATTTTGTTTTACCGTATTACAGCCAAATTCTCGTTATTGTCATAGAAACCTACTCCACCAGCCCGATTGTTGACCATTGATTATCCAGTATTAATATTAGAAACAATGGCTGTCAAACAAGAGAACTTTGATTCTGCACTAATTTTGGCAACAAACGATGTCATTAATAATTTAATAATTGCGATAATGAATATTTCAAGCATGGTTATTTGAATCGTAACTATAAATGATATCATCACGATAATCCAAGATATTACGATTATTCATTTTGCAATAATCATAATTAATCACAATTATTTTTGTATGTATCATTCCATCCTTTTACCATTTCACTAAGGATGTAACGGTTAAAAGATTTTGAGCTAAATTATTACTGTTGGAAGTTTTGGCAAGATATGGCATAGATTGTTTTTTTTATTGTAGCAGTGTTTCTTGTTATTCGAGACTAAGCCTCAATCCACCATTTTAAAATTAAGGCATTTTATTGTGATTGTATTTCAGTCCATTTAAATCTCTGCCAAACGATGGTCTAGAGACTTGATTATAGGCTTGTCATGTGAATAAATGTCTAAATAATAGTTTATATAAGATTTGAAATTGAAACCTGCAATAGGCAGATTTAGCTCCTACTTAATGCATCTTTAATGTTATTACTATTTTATAGGACTGAGGTTCTTGTAACACCCACAACAGATGTAGGCAGAATTTTAGCCAGACTCCATGAAGTCGGTCCAAAAGGAAATATCTCATTTGTAACAGCCGTCAGGGTTGCACATGTAAGTTTAATGTTGTTTAAAATTAAAATTTACCACCAAATTACATGTACATTTCTAAAGAAATAGTTTTGGATTTAAATTATCTTCCTGTGGATTAATATTATGTATTGTTTAAAGAAAATTACGTAAAAAATTTGTTTCATTGTAAATTAGTATATTGTAGAATGATTTAACTATAACCTTGTGATATTGTATTGTGACATCATATCAAAAATGCAAGTCTATCATTCGATGTGCCATTGTGAAGGAACAAGCATGCCCATTTTCATGTCAATCCTACTTAATTGGCAGAGCCATAGGCTTTTTATAAGCCCACATTGAAATGTGGTCGTATATTGTCGTCACATCCGTCGTCGCTCCAGCCAGCCTGTTGGCGTACACAATTGCTTGTGGACACTCTACAGGCTAAAGTTAATATCTGATTGACTTTAAATTTAAACACAGTGTTTAATAAGGTCATGAGACGGAGAAACCTATTGATTTTCAATAATTTCCGATAATTGCTGTCAAAGTTAGGCCCTTGACCACTTTGAAAATTCTTGTGGACGCTCTTCATGCTAAAGTTAATATCCGATTGACTTTAGATTTATACACAGTGTTTAAGGTCATGAGATGAAGAAGTATTTGATTTCCAATAATCACTGCCAGAATTATGGCCCTTGATCACTTTGAAGAATGTTGTGGATGCTCTAGAGGCTAAAGTTATTATCTGATTGACTTTAAATTTATACACAGTGTTGAAGGTCATGAGACGAAGAAGCCTTTTAATTTTCATGGTTTGTTTATTTTTCTAGCTTGCATTGAAACACAGACAAGGAAGAAATCATAAACCTAGAATAGTAGTGTTTGTTGGCAGTCCTATAGAAGAAGAGGAAAAAGATGTAAGTTTATCATTATTCAAATACACATATTTCGATAATCAATCATTTATCAAATTCACATTGGTAAATGGTGTATTTTGTAAAATTTTGTTTTTAGATAGAAAGTGGTGCAATCAGATATTCTTTTGCATACCCAGTACATTTTATTTGATTGTAATGATTCATTAAAAATTTGTTTATTAAATAAGAAAAACCTTTAATAGCAATCATGTTTTATTATCCAGATTGTAAAGATGGCTAAGAAGTTGAAGAAAGAAAAAGTGAATGTAGATGTTATTAATTTTGGAGAAGAGGTAAGGGTTGTTTCTGAATAAATTTTATTTGTGCCAATGGAACATACAGTACACCAATATTTTATTTGCCTTAGGTTCTGCACATTGTCAGCTTATTCACGACAAGTCATTGTGTATGCTTAATATGTTGCTTGATCATTTGGATATTCACTCACTCGTAATTTACGCACTTTTTATCAAGGGTTCATGGTCATAAGTAAATTTTCACAACATTTTGCTTGAAGTGTTTAATTCTGTAACATTTCTCATCATCAGTTCTATTTCTAAATACAAAACCATTGATATGGAGAATTTTACTTATCTATACATCTTTTGCCATTGTGTTGCATGTATCTGCTATTTTTGGCGAAAAACGAAAACATAACGTTGGTGAAGTGTCAAAAGGCTGTATCTAATAATTTCTAAAGATTAAGAAATAGAACCTTTTGCATTTCAAAATCTCCACAAATCAAGATACAACATTTGGACACATGATACCCAGAACAGTTCTAATTGGCATAGAGATACACAGCTTAGACAGAAATGTATATATTAATTGGGAGATTTTAAAAATGCAAAAAAGTGTTTTTGACTAATTTCCCGAGATTCGCCATTTTGAAACTTCACCAACGATAAAACTATTAATTTTTTGAAACACAAGAACTTAAAATTTTATTTTATATTAATGATAGTGGTACTACGTTTTTAATATTTTTAAATGTTTTCAGGGAGTAAACACAGAAAAATTGACTAGTTTTATTAATGCTATTAACGGTAAAGATGGGACAAGGTATGTCATTTATTATACAAGGCTTCTAAATCTATAATTTTTATTTTGAATCAATTTTACATTTATTATCGGTATATTAAATACTATTTATACAATATGTAAATCATTAACCATAAGAAAATTTAATAGCGATTTTCAGAAAAGAAGATGGTGTGATACAAAATGAAATAGGGTTTAACGTCCTACTGTTCTGCACCGACTGGTCTGATGAAGACGGGCATACTCCATACAGTGTGCTATGAGAAAAATTTTGTTGCTTTTCAGTGAGTTAAATATTAGCTATAGTAGTCAGTCTAACTAATTCATATTTCAGTTCGCATTTGGTAACTGTACCACCAGGACCAATGTTATCTGATGCGTTATTGAGTTCACCAGTTATTGTAGGAGAAGATGGTACTGGCGCTGGTATTGGAGCTGTTGGATTTGAATTCGGTGTGGATCCAAATGAAGATCCTGAATTAGCACTGGTAAGAGTTATTCTTAATAGAACAATCAGATACTTTTAGTACAAATTTAATATCTTTGGGATATGCAGTTATTGATAATATTTCTGTCCAGTTAACAATAAAAAGGGCCAATTTCAGATCTGTTATAATAACCCATCAGTGTGTCTTGTGATTAATGTACCTAACTACTAATCATTTGCATCGTTTTTCTTTTGTTTGGGTGGTGTCGGGGTCTAGTATGTGGCATGGAGACAAGTCACCTGTCTATTCTAAGCTCATTTGTTTGCTCCAGGTACTCTGTTTTCCTCACAGTTCTAAAGACCCATCTCTATCCTTTGCTACTGCTCCCAGATTATTATATAACTGTTATTTTTCTCGCTAGGCTTTGCGTGTATCTATGGAAGAACAACGTGCTAGACAAGAGAAAGAAGCAAGAGATACAGTTACAGCCTCCATAGCAGATACTCCAGCAGAAACCACTCCAGGTACTTATTACTTTAGAGCTGTGCTATGTTTGTAAGCCTGAACTCCCCACCACTATATAAATGAAAGTCTTTCGGGCTTTCATATACTGCTTTTTCTGGGAATGCCGTCCCCCTTCCTTATTCCTTATACTGATACTCATTATAAAGTTGATGGTTTAATAGTGCGGTCACAGTGTAGGCCTATATGTCATAATATGCCATTGCACCCACCAACATTGCCCTTTTACTTACATGTAGACATCTTTTGGGATAAAACACACATCTTTAAATTATTTGAGGAATGAAAGAACAGAAGTGTAGAGTAAGATAGACAAAGTTTATATGCGAAGAAATGTATTTTAAACAGTGATTTATATGATAGAATATAACATATTATGTTTAATTATACAGCTACTGGTGATGAAGCATTATTAGAGAGTGCTATAGCTATGTCCATGAATGAAGAAGGATCAGCATCAGAATCCCCAGATCTACACACAATGACGGAAGATGAACAAATAGCATTTGCAATGCGATTATCTATGGATCCCAGTGAGTGGCAATACAAATTACTATTTGCACCTAATGTTATTATTCAAAGTCGCTGTTTTGTTAAGCATATCATTTCACAACTGTTAATGTTGTGAATACATTTCAAGAAATCTGGGGAAAAATAGTTACTCTTGTTACAAACCGTTATAGCTCTCTTTATGGAGAATGTAAAATATTAAGAAATGCTTTTCAATTTATCCTTCCAATTCATTATACAGTTATTTTAGCTATCAAATTTTGTTGTTCATCATAACTTAGGTAAATCATGTGTTTTTTACAATTATCTGTTTTGAAGTAACATGTAATGTATGAATCAGTTATCAATGTTTACATACCCAGTATCTCATTAAAAGTATAAGTGCACTGACAACACACATGTTAAGCATTATTCACAATACTGGTAGTCACTATGTGAATAATGCTTAATATCCATTCTCAGAGTTATTTTCTGTTCTTGGTGTGATTTTACCATTTTGAAAGACAAATTCTACATTTTTCGAACCTAAATTCATCGCCCCTACACAAAAACATTTTAAATCATGAAGATATTGGGTACTAATTAGATATTATATATAATAAAATTATTTGTAATGGGTTGATTCATCTCGAGTTGCCATCAATGTTTCTAGGTGCCAGTGATACAGAAACACCAACTCCAATGGATGTTGAGGAGGGTGCTGGAACAAAATCAGGAGAGAAAGCAGTAAGTATTGTTTGTAGTGTAAGAATTTCATATGGTCACTGAAACCTTGTAAACAATCTACAGGTCTGAGATTTTAAAATGTTTTTAAACTTTCTGGGATTGTACAGCTAGTGAAAATTCAGAGTTGCTCAATGATTTTTCAGAGAGTTGTTAGTCCTGTACAAAATCTTGCACATGCACTGTAAGTTGGGAGTTTTCATTATGGGTCAGACTTTTTGAGTTGTTTTTTTTTTTTAAAAAAAACTTCATGGGATACAATGTAATGGAACCTTGGAAAGCTGGTAGCAACCCGTCAAAAACTCTTTGTGGGTATATATTCATTTTAATTTAGTTTCTTTCAAAAGGAAGGAATATATGCATACTAATGAACACCCTTAAGAAAAAATGTACACGACATCACCAAAGATAGAAATTGAGATCAAACCTCCTTTTGTAATCCCAAAAATAAATGGGGGGGTGGATGGCTGAATGTTTAGCGTGCGCGCGCTGTATCATAAAGTCTGTCATTGAGTCGACTGGCGTGGTTTCGAATCCCCGGTTGTACGTGACAAGGAGTAGGGTCGCCTGTCCAACCTCGTGGGTTTTCTCCGGGTCCTCCGGTTTCTTCCCACTGCTAAAGATCCCTATGCGCAAGCGAATTATTGAAATAAAATTAAACCATATGTTAGTCCCGAAATGACCTAGTTTGTGTCGAGTGGACGTTAAACCCCATTTCTCTCTCTCTCTCCCAAAAATAAACGTGTTTTTATTTCTGCTTCAGGAGGATGATGATTACTCAGAAGTGATGAACGATCCTGATTTTTTACAAAATGTTTTAGAAAATTTACCTGGTGTAGATCCTAATAGTGAAGCTATACAAAATGCTATGAGCTCTTTACAAAAAGATGGTGCAAAGAAAGATGATAAAGATTCAAAAGATGGAAAGAAATAACTCCTGTTTGTGTAAAACTTATTTAAAATATAAACAATAAATTACATTTAGATGTATTTGAGGAATATGTGAAGAAGTTCAATTTGCATTCTCTAAGGATGATATATCTCAACACAAAGTGAATTTGTTAAAAACAAAGGTTAAAATAAATGGGTATGTGATTGGTTGCTTAGTTTCTAACATGATCTCTCATACAGTGATGGATAATTTATCTAACTGTAAATATCTTTTACAGGTATAGTGTGTCCTCGGGGTAATTTGAGGGGCAGGGAGGAATATAGATGCACATCAAGGGTTAATATTAGGAGGGGTTAAGCAATGTGATATCTTTAGCATTGGTATCTACATTGTACAGAATTTCACCATTGTGGTCTACATAGTCGTTTCAGTAAGCCAAAACAGAAGATGGATTTGGAAATGAGGTAGAATCCTATTGAACAGGATTTGTCCTATCATGACCCCAATGCTTCACATCATATTTAAAGAGTACAGGCATACTAATGACTAGGAACCGAGAGTGACGTCATCACAGTCATTTTGAAATTGTGACAAATATATCAAAAAGTGAAACAATTGTCAAAGGAACAAGCATGCCAAATTTCATGTCTGTACTTAGATTGGAAGAGCCTTAGGATTGTTCGAAGACCAACACTCAGAAAAATAACAAGAAGATGACTATAGGTTTGAGGATAAATTCCTGGTCCAAAAATCTGTTTAAAGCTGTGGCCTCTGTTGCGTTCACAGGGTTTATGGCAAAGGGGAAATAACTCCAAACAGAGGGCTGCAGAGGCAGAAACCTACTGAGTTTCATTTCCAAATTTCAATCAGTTCTGGATGCAAATATCCGACATTCTGGATTCAAATATTCAAAGTGAGAACAACGTAACGCACATTCCTTACAATAATATAGGCAACTATCCTACGCCTTCATTGTCTTTAACATAGGTATCAGGATATTGAGATATTCAAATGTTTAAAGTGCGAACATCAAAAACAGTGCTAATCAATATAATATCAGGGGTCGGTTTAGGGCCCCCCGCCCCTGCTAAGCTACATAAAAAAATTGTAATACATCACTGTTAGAAGAAAAGTGTTATGGTTGTGTGCTTTATGCTGGATCCTCCCCTGAATATCTGTCATCCATTATCATTTTAACAATATATTTATTGAAATACATGATCGAACATACAATTTTACTCGATATAAACGTAATCTTTCATATCTCAGTGATCTTATATATATATTTATATGGTAAAATTGACAATTGTTTAAAAAGTAAATAATTTATTAAGCAGTTATATATTTGAATAGCACATTGAAGGACTATAACTATTTTAAGACTATTAATGTCAACATATAATATTAAAATCTTTGAGTCGTCAGTAAATGTAAGATAAATGAATAATGATTCACAAACAAAATATAAATTTAGACATGCAGAAATTAATGTAGAAAACAACTAAGATGTATGTACATGTATGTAAGATCATCGAGATTACCCGGTCGCCACACAGTAATTTGATACTTATTTAACATTAAGCTGTATACATGTAGGTCTAAAACTATACTTTTCTGCACAGTATACTGGTTTACTTGCTATGGAAATAGATAGACTCATTGCGGGTGGGGGGAGTCTATTTGGCTTGGACATAAGAATTTTGAGATAATTAGGTCGGTTATATACTTTCATAATACGAATATGGTAACGGTTTTGGTATAGATCATTCGTCTTTACCCCCTTGAGCACTGGGTACATTTATACCTAATAAATTTCTATGGCAAAGGCTTGATCTTTCATCCTTGTCAAAAGAACTGAGCGGACTCCAATTATTAAGAACAATGTCCGAGACTAGGACAATTCAAGCTTGGCGGACTAGGGGGACTTTAGCTCCCCCACCCCCAATAATTTGGCCGCAAGTACACCTTTCTCCAGGTTATTGCACACAGTAATCATGCGGTTAGATACGGCGAGGCCTGTTTTCAACATAGAAGTGAGACTTCTAGAACGTAGACTTTCAGAAGAAAACCCTGTTATGCTCTATACTGATCCATGGGTTAAGAGACCCCAGTTGCGAGGGTCACGATTAGTTAACTGAACAGTCGATCTTTATTTCAGGCCCATAGAGTTTTTCTCACTCTCTTTCCTTGTGTCCCTTATCCAAATAATTCACTGCTATCGGTTAAGACCAGTTAAATTAAACATACATTATGCAAGAGCTAAATCTGCCAATTGCAGTTCTTTCTTTAGGCTTGAAATGTTATCTAAATTATTGATTTGAAATTAATTAACTTATCCAGACCATAATCAACTCTCGTTGTCATCGCTATTCTGTGATATTTAGCGGATTGGAATACATTTTTTTGAAAAATAATTAAACATAAAAATGGATAATCGAGACTTTGGTTGTTTTTTTTATCGTACCGGCTTTAGTAATGATGATCCAGTCTAGCCTAAAATTCAAAAGCTAATATCTCGGTTCAGAGTGCAGCAATTTGACTGAAATTTTCAGCAAAGTCCCTTTACATTATTTAGTTTTTAACTATTAAGCGATTGCCATGCAAGATATGCCCACAGTTTGCAAGAAATGTATGAGGAAGAGGTAAAATCAATAGGATGCATCCTCTCATTCAAACTCGTTTGATCCTTAACATAATTTGTTAAGTTTCATCAGAATGGGACAGCAATTGTAGTCCCTCTGGAGGACCAACAAAATGCACACATTTGACCTCAACTGTAATTATGGTGTAACGGTGATATATTGGAACGGTTTTTACAATCAAATAAAAACTTGGAGCGCTAGAGGGTCCACAAGCTAAAAATGTATATATTATAGGATGTGACGGTCCTATATACGCCAATATCGAAAGAAACATAGATCTTTCGGTTAAAAACATACATTGTCAGTTCCATCAAAATCGTATAAAATTGTGACCTTTAGAATGTCCACAACCTTGGTATTATGATGCATATATTTCTCAAGTTCAGTATCGCGGGAAACCACCATCGACTGTGTTTACATGGTAAGGGGTTTAGAAAAGAAATAAAATTTCACTTTATTGCTGGGTAATTTTTTTTGTCAGAATGCGTCTCTGACGATCTAGACCCCTAGCAGAGCCTAGGCGGCCCCTGGAAACTCGCCTAAAGTCCTAGGATGGCAGTAACAAAAACAAAGGTTCAGAAGAAGAATACTGCAATGGATGGAGTCAAAATCTAATTTAATACTGACAGATATGGCATCTCAGTATTGACATAATCGACTGGCGTTCCTTATCTAATCAAAAAACACATTTCATTCAATTTACACTTATTTGTCATCTAAATCGATTTAATTGTATATTGATCCTAAGACAACGATTTATTTTTTAAAAAAGAATTTGATCAATTTCATTTTTGGTGTAAATGACCAGAAATGTTATTACAGCAGAGACTGAATTTTAAAGAGTTCTCTCGTTTCATAAGGTACCTATAATTTCATTTACATGAGTTTGTGAGACTAGAATGTACCAAAACATCTACCCAATACAGCCAAGTTTTCCAAGCAGTCCATGCATTTTGTCATGTTGTGATTATTTTATAGGTAAACAAAATTTAAACAAATGTCAAGTAGACCGGACGATAAATTCATATACGATTTTTTAACAGTGGCCAACCGCAAACATTTTAAGATTTGTTTAACTCAGGAATGGATGTTCGCGGATCACTAAATCTTGACATGGTACATCCTCTCATGACTCCAATGATTTACCGTTTTGACAGTTAAAAACTGTAGCCTCTATTGTGTTCACAATATTTTCGAAAAGGGCCACTTAACTCGGGAACGGAGGGTCGCGGAACGCTTAATATCGATAGGGTTTGTCTTGTCCTCTCATGAGCCAAACGGATCACATCTAATTTAATCAAGCGATTGCCATGCAAGATAAGTCGATATTTTCAATTAGATGAACGGAAAGGGCTCCTCTTTTCATTTGAAAACAAAACTTATCCTGTATGGGTCTGTTGCATTCATAAGGTTTCCCGAACGGAAGGTCACGAAACGCTGAATATCGAGGGTTCACCCTCCCATGATCACAATGCTTCTTATTGTCCCACGTATCACGTTCACAGGGTTGTTGACACGGTACATCCCCTCATGAATCCAATGGTTCACACTAGATTTGAAACAAATACATTAAAATTGTAGCCTTTCTCATGTTCACAATGTTTTCGAAAAAGGGCGCGTAAGTTACGCCGTAACTCAGAACTTAAGGTTGCGGAAAGCTGAATATAGATAGAGTTCGTTCTCTTATGACCACAAGGCTTCACACCAAATTTAAAAAATAATGTGTTAAAAACTCTAGCCCCTATTACGTTTACAAGCTAATTGTTCACGGACGGGCGGATCGTTGGACTAACGAACAGGATGACGACATAATACGCCAACATTTTTCAATATAACAAAAATATACAATAAAAGAAAATTATAACTGCCAGATCTAAAACAAGAGAAGCAGAAAACATCGTTGTGTAAGTTAACAGATATACAGAAAACAAAATAGTTGCCCCTCGTTTTTTGTTTCCATAGCAATTGTATTATCTTGGTTTTTCTGATGTTACACCATGTGCTATTAGTTCTTCTTTAACACGATTCAAATAACCAGGATCAGGGTAGCCAAAACTACAAAACAATTTATAAATAATTTTAATGATGATTAAAACCGATTGTGTGGTTTCTTTTATACCGGTACTCTTTAAAAGATCATTTTATTAAAACAAAATGAATCACTGTTTTATTATTCATTACCGTGAGTTAAATTCCCTCCCAGTTTTCTTCATCAAACTTTGGGTTGCTACGCTCAGATTTCTATAAAGTGGACACAAGCTTATACGAAATGAAAACCAAATCATTGTTTAATATAGCTAGCATCTATGTATATCTGGGAGATTTCTATCTTAAACTTTCCAGTTATGGTCATAATAGTAAATAGAACTGAACCTGTCTGGTCCACCACGTGTCCTTGTTTTATGGTGAATATCATTCCAGAATACAACATCTTTAGCCCCCCATGTCCTGTTATTGGTACAATATTTCATAAACAATTTAATTTGCGTTTCAAAATAAAATTATACCATAGCTAATATTTTGACAATGGAGAATAATTAATCAAGACCATAATATTATTCTACATATGAGTTCTTTAGCACAAATCCCCGCCATCCATATTACTACAATGATAACTTTAGCTTCTAGAATGTCCACAAGATATTTTAAATTAATCAAGGGCAAAAACTCTGACAGTAATTGTTGGAAATTGTTAAATCTATAAACACTGTGTATGAGTTTACTGCCAATCAAATTGTAACTTTAGCCTCTAAATTGTGTCTACAATTCGACATTTCATCTTGTTTTGACCTTTTCAAATTCATTTGAAGATTAGTTGTCATCATCTTTTATTGCTGACTCACTAAAAGCTGTTCATATGACTTCCTGTTAGTAAAGTTCTGTTTTTGTGGAGTAAAGCATTGGGCCGTTACTCTCCCACACATTTTAAGACTTATAAAAATAAATCAGGTAACTGGCTATACAAATTAGTAAGCATATTTTTATATCAGAAAATCAATAATATTTAAAATGTAATTAATACTACCTCTGTCATAAAATCACACACTTATACATTAATTACAATATCTAGTTAAAGAATAATATATTAAAATCGACCAAAAACTCACAAATCAAGTTAAAACAAGAACCATTTCCACCAAGCAAAATCCGCCAAAAGGTAGCTATGTTGAAATGAAAAACATTTCAACCAGGCAAACTTTCCTGTTTTTTAAAAGTTGCACATAACCTTTGTTTAAAAACCGGACCTACTTAACCGTTTCACCTCAACATTTGCAAAGTTCTGTTATTGATGAGGTCAATTGGAAAAACAATTTAAATGGGAGAGAGCACGGAAAATCACCTTTGATGTATTGTTTAAATCCTGACCTATTCCATGTAACGGTAAACAAAGATATTTGACCTGATTTCAATGATTTGCACTGCAAAATTAATAATATAATATTTACTACATTGGTCTCTATATTTGACTTCAATACCGACTACTGTAAATAATTTACCTGAAAACATCTTGAAACTATAGAGTTTTTTTTTTTAAACTAGTGTAAGAATAGTATTAATTTGTTCAAATTTAAGTCCCTACCTCGCACGCATCAGTGGTTCAGAAGAGATGTAAGCCCTTTGGGTCTGTGTACAAGGCAAAAAGTCAGTTTTTTAATTTTCCACATAAACTTGGCATTGGTGAACAGAATGTCTGTCATCACAATATTGGCTTAATCTACAGAGTAATCTTTTTAATGTAAAATAAAATATGTGAGTGCCCACACCTTAATATAATCTAACAATCAATATAAATTTGAAATTGATTTGATGAGAAAATCAGTCTATATGGTACCGAAAAGGAATTTTAGACAGATTGATAGAATGGAGTCTATATGGTACCGAAAAGAAATATTAGACAGATCGATAGACTGGAGTGATTACTATATAAAAGCAAACAATATAGGTGAAGCAGAAAATATCGGTGTGTAAAACCAAAATTAAATTTGTAAAAAACAATTATAAATAGCAAAAAATCTTTTTCCCTCCTTTTTTTTTGTTTCCATAGCAATTGTATTATCTTGGTTTTTCTGATGTTACACCGTGTGCCATTAGTTCTTCTTTAACACGATTCAAATAACCATGATCAGGGTAGCCATAACTACAAAACAATTTATAAATAATTTTAATGATGATCAAACAATAAGATACAAAGACAGAGAGTCCACAGCCAAAGATGGGGACACAAAATTTACTCAACAATTTTACAGTATATGGAATTAGACCCATTAAATACATTCTTTGCTACTGGATCCGGTCACCTGGAGGGTTGTGAGTATTAAACTAACAAGCCAACAGTGAGGCTGATGTCCCCCGCCGAAATAGGAAAATAATTAGAGGACACATATAAAAATCAAATTGCGTATCGCTCTGCTTACCCTGAGCAGAAAATGCTCATTATCAAACTTAGTCAAGGTATTACTGTAATGAAACTATACACCAAGTTTCATCAATCTCACTTAATTAGAACTAAAGTTATCGTGTCCCCAAGCATCAACCAATCAAATTGCTTATCTCTGCTTACCCTAAGCGGAAAATGCTCATCTTCGAACTCCATCAAGGCATTGACCTAATCAACACATACACCAAGTTTGAACATTCTAGCTCAATTAGGAAGAGAGTTATCGTGCCCCAAAGTATCAACCAATCAAATTGCTTATCTCTGCTTACCCTAAGCGGAAAATGCTCATCTTCGAACTCCATCAAGGCATTGACCTAATAAACACATACACCAAGTTTGAACATTCTAGCTCAATTAAAAGTTATCGTGTCCCAAAGCATCAACCAATCAAATTGCTTATCTCTGCTTACCCTAAGCGGAAAATGCTCATCTTCGAACTCCATCAAGGCATTGACCTAATAAACACATACACCAAGTTTGAACATTCTAGCTCAATTAGGAAGAGAGTTATTGTGTCCCAAAAAGTGTGACGGACAGACAGACGGACAGACAGACAGACAGACAGACAGACGGACGAACCCATTTTAATAGTCCCCTGCTTTCTTCGAAAGGCGGGGGACAATTAATAACAAATAGTTAAAGATGCATTATGTAAGATCTAGATAAAGAGCTGAAAGTTCTCACTGTAAAAGAATAAGCCCACATTTTCCAAGAGATGGATAGAGAACAAGCTAGAAATAAACACAATTTTTTGTACAATCAGGGCAATAATCCAAGAAAGTTACGGCCTGAAATGTGCAAATATCAAAAGGGACTGAGATCGTTGGGATATAAAGATATGTTTTAAGTTTCAGCAAAATTGGATAAAAATTGTGACCTCTAGAGGGTCGACAACCTTCATACTACACACTTCTACACAATTTGCGTACAAAGAGGGTCCATATTGTCGGGCAGTTTTATTTCAATTTTCCCTTCATTATGGTGGAATGGTGATGTATTTAAACGTTTTTTAAAATTGTGACCTCTAGAGAATCTGCAAGCTAAAAATGCGATTTTTCGAACAATCCAGGAAGTTAAGTTTGGGTATCCTTGATTATCAAAAGGAACCAAGACCTTGGTGTGTAATGGTGATAGATTCACACGTTTTATTCTAAATCAGATAAAAATTGTGACCTCTACAGGGACCACAAGCTAAAAACGTGATTTTTTGTTCAATCCGATATGCGCGAACATCGAAAGGAACCAATATCTTTGGGTTATAAATATGTATTTCAAGTTTCATCGAAATCGGATCAAAATTGTCACCTCTAGAGGGTCCACAACCTTGATTTACAGATGTTTACACTATTTGCATACGATGGGCAGTCATTTTATCCGACAGTTTTGGCCCGATTTTCACGAAATTCGAACTCAACAAACATTACGGTATAACGTTTTTTTTAAATCAGATAATAATTGTGACTTCTAGAGGTACAACAAGCTAAAAACAGTATTTTTCATACAATCGGAGGCCATAATTCAGGAAGTTTCGATCCGATATGCGCGAATATTGAATGGCACCAAGATCTTTGGGTTATAAACTTTCATACCAAGTTTCATCAAAATCGGATCAAAATTGTGGCCTCTAGAGGGTCCACAACTTTGATATACCAGATGTTTACACTATTTGCATACGAGGGGCGCCTATGAAATTCAAACTCAGACAAAATTATGGTGTAGGGTGATATATTTGAATGTTTTTTTTAAATTGGATAATAATTGTAACCTCTAGAGGGACCACAAGCTAACCAGCGGCTGCCAGGCAGGATACGCCCACATTTTCGAGAGATGGATAGAAAACAAGCTAAAACAAAAGTGATTTTTCCTACAATCAAGGGCCATAATTCAGGAAATTACAATTCGATATGTGCAAATATCGAAAGGAACCAAGATCTTTGGGTTATAAACTTACATTTCAAGTATCAACAAAATCGGATAAAAATTGTGACCTCTATAGGGTCCACAACCTTGATATACCATATTTTTACGCAATGTGAGAACGAGTGGTGGTCATTTTGTCTGTCAGTTTTGGGCCGATTTTCACGAAATTCTAACTCAGTCGTCCTTAGGGTGTAACGGTGATATAATAATACGTTTCTTTAAATCGGATAAAAATTATGACCTCTATAGGGTCCACTAGCTAAAAACGCGAATTTCTGTACAATCAGGGGCCATAATTCAGGAAGTTACGGTCCCATACGCGCGAATATCGAAAGGAACCGAGATCTTTGGGTTATAAACTTACATTTCAAGTTTCAACAAAATCGAATAAAAAGTGTGACCTCTATAGGGTCCACAACCTTGATATACCATATTTTTACGCTAGTTGAGAACGAACGGCGGCCATTTTGTCTGTCAGTTTTGGGCCGATTTTCACGAAATTCAAACTCAGTCGTCCTTAGGGTGTAACGGTGATATAATAATACGTTTTTTAAATTGGATAAAAATTATGACCTCTATAGGCTCCACAAGCTAAAAACGCGATTTTTTGTACAATCAAGGGCCATAATTCAGGAAGTTACGGTCCAATATGCGCGAATATCGAAAGAAACCGAGATCTTTGGGTTATAACCTTACATTTTAAGTTTCAACAAAATCGGATAAAAATTGTGACCTCTATATGGTCTACAACCTTGATATACCATATTTTTACGCTATTTGAGAACGAAGGGCGGCCATTTTGCCTGTCAATTTTGGACTGATTTTCATGAAATTCGAACTCATTCCTCCTTAGGGTGTAACGGTGATATAATAATACGTTTTTTTAAATCAGATAAAAATTATGACCTCTATAGGCTCCACAACCTAAAAATGCGATTTTTCGTACAATCAGGGGCCATAATTCAGGAAGTTAGGGTCTGATATGCGCGAATTTCGAAAGGAACCGAGATCTTTGGGTTATAAACTTACATTTCAAGTTTCAACAAAATCGGATAAAAATTGTGACCTCTATAGGGTCCACAACCTTGATATACCATATTTTTACGCTATTTGAGAACGAACGGTGGCCATTTTGTCTGTCAATTTTGGGCCGTTTTTCACAAAATTCGAACTCAGCCAACCTTAGGGTGTAACGGTGATATAATAACACATTTTTTTAAATCGGATAAAAATTATGACCTCTATAGGGTCCACAAGCTGAAAACGTGATTTTTCGTACAATCAGGGGCCATAATTCAGGAAGTTACGGTCCTATATGCGCGAATATCGAAAGAAACCGAGATCTTTGGGTTATCAACTTACATTTCAAGTTTCAACAAAATCGGATAAAAACTGTGACCTCTATAGTGTCCACAAGCTAAAAACGTGATTTTTCGTACAAACAGGGGCCATAATCCATGAAGTTTCGATCCGATACATGCCAATATCGAAAGCACCCGAGATCTTTTGGAGATAAACCTATATTTCAGGTTTCGTCAAAATCGGATAAGAATTGTGACCTGTAGAGTGTCCACAAACAATTGTGGACGGACGGACAGGGGCGACGGCATAATACATCCACATGAAAATGTGGGCGTATAAAAAACGTGTTTTTGCGTACAATCAGGGGCCATAATTCAGGAAGTTTCGGTCCGATATGCGCGAATATCGAAAGGAACAGAGATCTTTGGGTTATAAACTTACATTTCAAGTTTCAACAAAATCGGATACAAATTGTGACCTCTATAGGGTCTACAACCTTGATATACCATATTTTTACGCTATTTGAGAACGAAGGGCGGCCATTTTGTCTGTCAGTTTTGGACCGATTTTCACGAAATTCGAACTCAGTCGTCCTTAGGGAGTAACGGTGATATAATAATACGTTTTTTTAAATCGGATAAAAATTATGACCTCTATAGGGTCCACAAGCTAAAAACGCGATTTTTCGTACAATCAGGGGCCATAATTCAGTAAGTTACGGTCCGATTTGCACGAATATCGAAAGGAACCAAGATCTTTGGGTTATAAACTTACATATCAAGTTTCAACAAAATCGGATAAAAATTGTGACCTCTATAGGCTCCACAACCTTGATATACCATATTTTTACGCTATTTGAGAACGAAGGGCGGCCATTTTATCTGTCAGTTTTGGGTCGATTTTCACGAAATTCGAACTCAGCCGTCCTTAGGGAGTAGCGGTGATATATTAATACGTTTTTTTTAAATCGGATAAAAATTATGACCTCTATAGGCTCCACAAGCCAAAAAACATGTTTTTGCGTACAATCAGGGGCCATAATTCAGGAAGTTACGGTCCGATATGCGCGAATATCGAGAGGAACCGAGATCTTTGGGTAATAAACTTACATTTCAAGTTTCAACAAAATCAGATAAAAATTGTGACCTCTATAGGGTCCACAACCTTGATATACCATATTTTTACACTATTTGAGAACGAACGGCGGCCATTTTGTCTGTCAGATTTGGGCCGATTTTCACGAAATTCGAACTCAGTCGTCCTTAGGGTGTAACGGTGATATAATAATACGTTTTTTTAAATCGGATAAAAATTATGAACTCTATAGGGTCCACAAGCTAAAAACGTGATTTTTCGTACAATCAGGGACCATAATTCAGGAAGTTACGTTCCGATATGCACGAATATCGAAAGGAAACGAGCTTATTTGGGTTATAAGCATACATTTCAAGTTTAAACCAAATCGGATAAAAATTGTGATCTCTACTGTGTTCACAAGCCAGGGGCCATAATCCATGAAGTTACAGTCCGATACATGCCAATATCGAAAGGAACCGAGATCTTAGGGTGATAAACCTATATTTCAAGTTTCATTGAAATCGGATAAAAATTGTGACCTGTAGACTGGACGGACGGACGGGGTGACGACAATATACCTCCACATGAAAATGTGGGCGTATAAAAACCGATTTTTCTTACAATTTGAGGCCATAATTCAGGAAGCTACAATTCGATATGTACGAAAATGGAAAGGAACCAAAATATTTGGGTTATAAACATGTTTTAGAAGTTTCATCAAAATCAGATGAAAATTGTGACCTCCAGAGGATTCAAAACCCTGATACACAATATTTTGACACTATTTGCGAACGAGGGGCGTCCATTTTGACTGTCCATTTTGGTCTGATTTTACAAAATTTGAACTCAACCATCTTTAGGGTGTAACTGTGATATATTCAAAAAATTTTTTAAATCAGATAAAGATTGTGACCTCTATAGGGTCCACAAGCTAAAAACGCGATTTTTCGTACACAGGGGCCATAATTCAGGACGTTATGGTTCGATATCCGTGAATATTGACAGGAACAGAGATCTGTGGATTATAAACAAACATTTCAAGTTTAAACCAAATCGGATAAAAACTGTGACCTCTACAGTGTTCACAAAAACGTGATATTTCGTACAATCAGGGGCCATGATCCATGAAGTTACAGTCCAATACATGCCAATACCGAAAGGAACCAAGATCTAAGGGTGATAAACCTATATTTCACAAACAATTGTGGACGGTCGGACGGATGGACAGAGGCGACGACAATATACGTCCACATAAAATTGTGGGAGTATAAAATGGAATATAAAGAAAATTTCAAGGGAGCCACGGTGGTTCGTGGTTCAGTGAGCAAGACGCTGGCTTGCTAGCCTGAAGGTCGCAGGTTCGATCCCGGTGTTGGTCAAGAAAGGTCATTAGGATTATATGGCATGGTTTCCGCGTGTCAGTGGTGCAGGGCCCGACAAGGATACGTGTCTAGTCATTCGGATATTACGAAAAACCAAGCTACTCATTGGGAGTCTAGAGACTGAACACCAATCCCTTACCAACTAGCTAGTCTCCTGGCACTGACCGTGAAACTAACAAGCGGTTGTCATTTAAGATATGCCCAAATCTTGCAAGAGATGGGCAGGAACTGGTAAAATCGTCACCTCATTCAAACCCTTCATATCAATTTTGAAAAAAAAAATGTGTTAAAAACTGTAGCCTTTATCAAGTTCAGAAGGTTTCCGGCAAATTAGGGCAACTCTGGAATAGAAGGTTGTGAAACGCTGAGTATCGATAGGGTTAGTGCATCTAGTGAACCCAAAGCTTCGCACCAAATTTGAAAGTGATCTGTTAAAAACTGCAGCATCTACCGTATTCACTATTTTTGTGGATATAAAGGGCATAACTCTGGAACAATAGGTCGCATAATGCTGATTATCGACAGGTTTGTCATGACACCAAAGCTTCAAATTTAATTTGAAAAGAATCTGTTATAAACCATAGCCTCTATCACATTCACAAGAATTTTGAGAAAGAGGTCAGATGCACACCAAAATAACTCACTAAAAAATTAATTTAATTAGAAGCGTTTGCCATGCAAGATACGCCCACTTTTTGCCAGATACGAACAGGGGCTATAATCCAGGAAGTTACGGTCTGATAAATGTGCGAAATTCAAACTCAACCATCACGAAGGTGTAACAGTGATATATTCGAACAGTTTTTAAAATAGGAGAAAATTTGTGACCTCATGAGGGTTTAAAAGCTAACAAGCGGATTTTCGTACAGTCATGGGCCATAATCCAGGAATTTACAATCTGATATGCACGAATATCGAAAGGAACTGAATCTTTGAGTTATAAACATATTTCAAGTTCCATCAAAACAGGATAAAAATTGTGACCTCTAGCTCAAATCGTGATTTTTCTTACAATCAGGGGTCATAATGCATGAAGTTACGGTCCAATACATGCCAATTTTGAAAGGAACCTTTGGATACACCTAAATTTCAAGTTTTGTCAAGATCGAATAAAAATTGTGTCTACAAACAAATTGTTAACTGAGGTCCAGACGGACAGGGGCGAAGTCAATATATGTCCACATGAAAATGTGGGCATATAAAAACAATATCTCAAACTTTCCAATGGTCATAACAGAAAATAAAACTGAACCTGTCTGGTCCACCATGTTTTCTTGTTTTAATGGGTATATCATTCCAGGTTACAACATCATTTTGTCCAGTTGTAACAGATTTACCCACAGTAAAAATCAATCTTCTATCCCAGCCTGTTTTCAATAAAGATAAGACTTCTTGACCATCTCTATTATCAGGTAAATAAGCTGTTCTTGTTGTACCTTTAAATGGTTTACCAGGGTTTGGGTGTTTCTCCTGTAACAAACAGTTAGAAGATATATAATGTGACTGAATATTACCATGTGATCGAATATTACTTTGTGATGTAGGCCAACATTTAGTATACGAAAAAAAAAGATTACAACAAAGCAAAGATTTCCAACAATAAATATGGATAGAATAGATCAGGATTGATAATCATATGTTGTGATACCGACTGTGTTATAATATTTGAACAACCGGTATTAATATTTTTGGAGACCTATTTCTTAATTTTAATGAGGACGCTTCTGTTCAAACTGAAATGAAATGAAATGAAATGAAATAGGGTTTAACGTCCTACTGTTTTGCTCCGAACTGAGCTAATGAAGACGGGCATACGCCATACAGTGTGCTATGAGGGAAATTTTGCCCGGACAGTAGCACTACGGCCTACTCTTATATCGAATTCCAACTGTCAAGGGATCTTTTACATGCACAAAAATGTGTACAAGGGACCACGTTTTTTCGTCTCATCTGAATGACTAGACAGCTGTCTTTGTCAGGCCCTCCGTCCTGCATCACTGACAAGGGGGAACCATGCCGGAAAATCTGGGTGCACTTTCTCGGCCAATGCTAGGGTGACCCATATGTACTCACAGAAATACAGTCCACCGCTGATGGTTCGAGACTACCACTGAAGCGTGCACATTCGCCGTGAGGAGACCAACTTTCTGACAGTATGATACTATAAATAGCCATGGCACGTGCAATTCTCTACAAATCTATCAACTATTACAGCCGTAAAAAATTTATTGTTGACGATTTTGAATAGCAGTAAAATTAAGCTTCTTGGTTATTACAGCAGATTTAGAAATTACGTTCGTTTCATTTTTTAAATCGCTTTATCATTAACTGTACCGTTAAGAGCGGCATCTTTTGGTTTAGTACAAATAATATCTCTGAATCACTCGGGTTAGACAGGAACATGATACTAGCAGTAGTTTCATTTTACTTTTACAAGCTTCTTAAAACGATTGTTGAGCTACCTAACGTGCTTATTTCTAAATTCAATTTCTTGTTCTAGCTTTCTGTTATGTTTCGTAAAAAAGTAGTCTTGATTATCCCGACCTGTCAATCAGACGTAGAATGGTCGATAGGCTGGTTAAGCAACTAATTTCAAAACAAGGGCACGTAACCTAGCTTTTACTCAAAATTTGTCTTGATGTTATGGACGACTCTTGGAACCAGTTTTCAGTCTATTATTTATACACGATTAATGGTCATAGCTTATTAAGTACAACATGATCGTTTTTTTAGTGACTATAATTGTGTGAAACTGATTTGAGGCTTGGCATATATATAAATATTGTGGCGTAATTGTCGAGATATATGGAGATATTTATTTATGGTGGGTCACCCTACCAATGCATGGATCAAATACCAACCTCCTGTTCACACTGACAAATAAGCAAATTTCACTTAATCTTTAAAGTTTGGATGCCAGGCAACGAAACATATACCCACAGCAGCTAAGTTGTCAGGGCAGTCAACAAAAGTTGTCGCATATTTTTTCTTTTGTCGGTAATGAAACATTTATAATACATTAAAATCTGATTAAGAGTAACAACTCATTCAATAATTATCAGAAAATCATTAAAATTTGTTTGGCATCTAGTTCTGCCTCATGCTAATGTTAAGTATACAAAACATTTAATATCATGGATTTAATATACTTGTTAGTCTCAAGACCTTAAACTCTGTGTATCAATCTAAAGTCAATCGAACAATCACTTTTAATATCATGGATTTAATATACTTGTTAGTCTCAAGACCTTAAACTCTGTGTATCAATCTAAAGTCAATCGAACAATCACTTTGTCCTGTAGAGCATCCACAAGATTTTTCAAACTAATAGGTGTCTTTGACTCATGACGGTAAGCACTGTGTATGAATTTAAAATCAATCGGATGATAACTTTGGTCTCGAGAGTATCCACAGGATTTATCAAAGTGATCAAGGGCCATAACTCTGGCAGTAATTATCGGAAATCTTTGAAAATCAATTAACTTTAGCCTCTAGAGCGCCCACAAGCAGGCGGATGGGGCCAACGACCACATTTCAATGTGGGCGTATAAAATGGGTCATAATCATTAATTTCCAGTCCTTTGTTGCCTCACAGTATTTTGGATTAGTTTCAATTCACTGCTTACTGACCAATCATAGTACTGAATCAACCATTATACATGTGTTCAATAATCTGCTGAGCTTAAACAACCATAGCAAACTTTTATTTTTGACTTGTCCGCTACATTCTACACTGTGGATCACTATAGTCTCCTTAGAAGCCTTTGTTAGTGCTTCTATATTTCTGACTGCAGTATTGAGTTTGCACCATGGGTTAAAGATATTGGTGTTATGATGGAAAAACACATTGAACATTTATGTACGTCATGTTTTAACTTCCAACCTTGTGTATTGGAAATATCTGTCTTCAGTAACTTTCAAAGACAAATAGGGAATGACTTACCAGCTGTGATAAAGTGTTCAGACAGGATTGTTTAATTTAAATCTAGATTTAAGACACAAATGTTTAAAGTGTATTATTTATACACTCACAGTTGATCCGAGTACCTGTCAATATTATCTATTTTTCGTTAGAATACAGAAACAGATGGACAATCTCCTTTAACAGATATAAGTCTGGAAAAGGAAGAAAATTTAGATGTCCCCACTTTTACAGACATCTAAATATACTGACATGCAATGAAAATGCACAACAGATTGGACTCAAAGTGCTAGCATGACATAATGCAGCTGAAATGTGATTTTTGGAATGATTGTAGGATAGAAATTTATTGATGCAAGAAACTCAACAACTACCCACAGAGGTCATAACAACTCTACTTTACACTGAAATGTAGGCCCAAGGTTTAAAAATCAAAAGCCAGTAATGTGTGTACGTCCACCTCTAGCAGCCTCTTATGGCTGCTTGTGTGATCCTTCTAGTTGCAATGCTGTTTGCAGTGGCCCTGGTATTCATGCACCCTTGAATCAACATAATGGTGAGAGTTGCACTTTTAGCAATCAAATTCATTAGCTAAATAACTTAACTTTCAAGGAATCACAACATTGTAGTTAGCAAGGTATTAACAAACCATCAAAAAGTTCAGAAACTTTAAAAGTCAAGGTATATTTTGCTGATTGATATCTTACCGACTGGATGCCATCTCTGAATATGTAGTTGATTTCTATAGTACCATATTTCTCATACCCAGGAAGATGACTATATTTATTTGTTGTAACTTTCATGTGTCCTTCTGGTTGGGTGCCTGTCTGTATACCACCATAAACATTTTTTCTACAAATAGGACAGAATATGCTACTCTTTATTGCTTGATCAATACACGGTCCACAGAAAGAATGACCACATGGTAAATTCTTCCTTTCTGATATAACTTCCATACAAATACTACATTCTTCATCTTTTCCGACTTCATCATCTTCTTGATGAATCAGATTTTGGTGCAATTTACTTAACTCTGTCATATTCTCCTCTGATTTCACAACCAAATGTATTTCCTTCAAGGTGGATGGTATTTTCAATTTAATATTTTCTTGTAGTTGTTTCAACAAAACATCTAACAGCACAGAAGTATCTACATTTCCATTAACTATTTACAATAAATAGGTTATTATTAATAGAAAGAAATTATAGTCCTGATTAGAAATCAAATCACTTTTTAGGAATCAATACAAATAAACCGTATATTTAGATGAGTTGTGGAACAGCATGAATTACTGTTGCTACCCAGAATATAGCCAGATCAGAATAGGAATTATTGCTATGTTCTGTTTTGATAAATTTTGATTTATTACTTGTACTTACTAGCATACATCAAAATAATTTAATAATTATCATAATGGTAAAATAATTTACTATAATAACCAAAATATTGATAACAATTAATGTCAGTACCATGAAATACAAACAAATGGATTAAAATATCTGACCTGTTGTAACTGAATTAACTGAAGTCTTTCTGGTCTCTGCAAAAAGATTACAGATTAAACTCTCTAATTCTTCTTCTTTTGGTTTAATTGAAGAAACAAGATGGAAGATATATTTAAATGGTAATGAACCAGCTGATGTAGTAATAACAGATCCAGCTTTAAACATATTTTTGTTCTTAGTTTTTATCTCTGTTCTTTCATCTTCATAACTTTGACCAGCTCCTTTAATGAGAATTTTGGTATTGGCATTAAAGTTGCTGAGTTGTGTATCTTCCCAAGTTGTAATAGCATCAGTCTTAGAAGATGTGACTGCATCTGCTTGGTACATATGTATACTAAAATCAGGGTTTAAATAACATATCATATATGTTTTAGATTCCTGTTCTTTTATTACCATTTTCACTTGTGATTCTTGTGATTGGGCAACATCTGACCTGTCTGGCTTACTCTGAGACGATGTTGCTGAATTTATGTCCCCATACCTTGTTCCAACTGATATATCCTCTATCATTCGTCCAAGGGTTTGTTTTTGTAAATCATCCAATGGATTTTTCAAAAACATTTCGAAACCACCTTGAATAGATAAAACCATATCCTTTTGAACATCGACAAAGTAGATTTCTCTGAGATTGATGACATTGTGCAGGTTATCAAAACTATGGACAGCTCTTACATACATCTCAATACAGATTGGTTTTGGTACTCCAAATATGGCTGCTGACAGTAAAAATGAAGATGTTAATAGCATTCAAAGATCATAGAAAGAAATCTTATTGAGACTTTACCAAACTTTATAAAAGAGTTAAAGTTTTTTGCATTACTTTTGTCCAAATTTTTACAACTTTTAATTGTAGATCTACTTTTGCATTCAGAGGAAATATACATATTATTTGATTATTTTATGTAATAATACCTGATGATATTGAAGGAATAGCTATTGACTTATAACCATCTTTATCAGCTTCTACCAGACATCTTATAATGGTTTTACATAAATCATCTTCACAATCCTTCTTATTACCACGATAATCATCCCATCTTGGTCCTACAGCATGATAAACTTTTTTACATCTCATATTACCTCCAGTTGTTTTACAAATACCAGTTACAGGAATTTGTCTATATCGACCAGCCTTAGATATAAAATAAGCTACACCTCCACCATGACTCGTATAACCATAAGCACCATTAACAATAACATCTACATTCAGTTTAGTAATATCTGACTTCTTAACAATGACCTTTATATTTTTACTAGGTGTATTGTAAGTCTGTTCTTGAAGTTCTGTCTGTTGTGGAAGACTACTAAAACTATCATCTCTTGTTCTTTGTTGTTTTTTATTAGTTATCGTGACTAAACCTACAGCTATTTTAAATTTGTAGACGATTTCTTCAACTTCATGAAAATTTACTCCCAGTATATGTACAGTACTTGTATCATCATCAACACCAACATATACAGATTCTTTATAATCATGATTCCAACTAAACTCACAAGCTTCATCAAACTTATATTCTGGTATTTTTACTTCTTCATGACGGATATCTTCTATTAAATCTTTTATCTTAAGAATAGTTTTATCAGTAGTAGGTTCAGGAAGATAGAAATCTAAACTACCATCACGTTGTTCTGAATGAGACATTCCCCTAACTATTTCTTTACCAATGATTTGATTTATAGCTTGAAACACAGATTTCTTTATGTTGTATTTTTTGTATTGTCTGGAGGCAGTCGCTTCTTTTGGTCTTGCTCCTCCGAGGTACTCCCCTGATGACAACGATATAGATTTAGTAGGCAACCGTTCCTTTGGTCTTGCCTCTACCTCTTGCTTTACTGGCGTTACACGTTTTGTACTAGTAGAGCACTGTGGCGGAAAAGTGGTATTATCTTCTCCCTGTTTCTGGTTAATAGGATTACCCTGTCCAGTAACATGACAATCTTTAGTTGTCTGAACTGTCATATGTAAAACTTGTTGCTTCTGGGTCTGTATCCTACCATGAACATTTTTTCGGCAATTAGGACAACATATGCTGGTCTTCATTGCCAAATCAATACATAACTGACAGAAAGAATGGCCACATGGCAACGTCTTTCTGTTTGATATAATTTCTAAACAAATGCTGCATTCTTCACCATCTTGATAGACGAGAAAGAAAACAAATACTGATTAATACTGATGTTCAGTTAAATAAGGTGTGGTTGGTTTGTGGAGAATTTAAAATCTGTTCAACCGATCAACAAGTTTTATTGGTACAATGGTGCTAAGTCTGTTAAATTGTATAAAATGTGTAAAATGGTTCAATGGAATTTGGTAAATGAACGGGATATACACATGGCACAATTCTATATAATGCAATTAATGTTCATTACTGTCAAACAATTTTATTTTACAGAATTAGATCCGGTGTATAAAATGTTTGGGAGAAAAACAGAAATTTTTAACCCGTGGTGCCGAAGAGCGGCCAGCGTTCAAACTTCTCTTGTCTTGTGTGTAATTCATTTCAAGTCGCATTTCTTGATCGTATGAGGGAGGAGGGAGCTGGATGAAATTTAAGATAAACATATTTTGGAACATTCCAAAAGGATTAACGGAGGAGAATTTTTGATTTAGGTCCTAGGCCGCGAAAACAACCCATTTTCAAGCGCTATTTTTCAGCCGTCCATACCCGAAACCAACCGTTCATGACCGCAACTTTATGAAGCTTGCTGGGAACCACGAGGATGTTCTAGACCTAGTCGAAATTATTTGTTTTTTAGTGGGTCAAGAATAAATAAATAAATGATTGCAAGCCTATCGATGTAATTGTGGTATTCATTAACTACTTACCAGATTGACCACCAGTTTGGTGGGGATTAGGATTATTGTAACGTTTCTCCAACATGGATTCGGCTAAATTAATCTGTTGTTTACAACCTGATATGTATACTTCAGCCATCTCATTTATCGTGACATTTACTCCAGAAGAGGCCTCTAAATCCTCCTTCAATTTTTCTGTAGTAGTTGTTCTCCACAGATTATATGGTTTGATGTTTATACGATACGAACCGGCTATAAGAATCTAAAATTCAAAACAAAAAATACAGTACAGGATTCAATCTGAAACCAAAATGTCCTTACTCGGATCTTAAGACACAGGGCGCGTGTCATATTACCACTGTCCACTAATTACACCTCGGTTGACTCGAATATAAATAAACAATCTTACCCAACGACATAAGGATCTGTGTGACCCAATATGTTGCCTAAAAGGGGAAAATGATTCAGTCCGTTTTTATTTTGATATGCAGACTGTCTAAAAATGTACTGTCCAGATTTTATTCTTACATTCAAATAATAGAACTTATTTATCACCAAGTTTGGGGGTTTTTGTGGGTGAATAAAAAATGGTCATTTGAAGTTATTTATGTAAGCCAATAAACTGGCAAACAAAATAGCAAATATAGCCTAACGTGCTCAACAAAGGTTCAATGTGCTAGGCAAAAGTCACTTTACTCTACAATTAATAATAATAATAATCGTTTTCTATAGCGCTGAACATCAGTCAGTCTGACTGCTCCGCGGCGCTTTACAATGTAGATATGATTATAAAAAAACATACATGTATATACAAATAAACAAAAGAATACAAAGGAATAGTCAAGTTACAATATACAAATGGAAAGTGAAGCATTTAAATTATAGTTCAAACGTTTGGGTAAAAACAGGGTTTTTAGGCGTCGTTTAAATATAGCCAAGTTTGGACTATTTTGGACTTCAAGAGGCAATGTGTTCCATTCTGTTGGTGCTGCGTAGCTCTCTCACCAAATTTTCACTTCTGTACTGGACACACAAGTTGCTTTTTTTATGAGATGAACGTAAGGAAGGAAAAGGTACATATTGTTTAATCAAATCGGATAAATAGGATGGTTCCAAAGGGTCGTTTAAACAGTTGAAAGTGATTGTGTTAATTTTGAAAATAATGCGTTGATTAACCGGTAGCCAATGTAACTGTTTTAGAAAAGGTGTAATATGGTCAGATGGTTTGGCGAGAGATACAATTCGAGCTGCTTTATTCTGGATTTTCTGTAGCTGACTTACAAGCGTTTTTGGAAGAGAATACAATAATGAATTACAATAATCTAAAGATGACATAACAAAAGCATTCATTAACATTTTAGTGGCATCAAGGTCAATATTGGTCACAATTACATGTAACTATGAATACAGAAATTTAAAGTTCTAGTATAGGAAGTCGTGAGTCTGTAATAGTAATCGCAGAGGGGGCGCACAATACACCAACAAACCCCACAAGAAGAATCTGTGGACAAGACTCCCTAACTACACTGACATTGCAAGCAATTTTTAGCAAACGCCATATATCAAATCAAGTGATAATATTTGAATACATATATACAGTTATTTTTACGTATAGCTTCCTTTCAATGTAAGTTAAATATACGGCACACAATTAGTTATTTCTACATTTCCACGCATGGGGGGGGGGGGGGGTAATTTCATCTCACCGCGTGATCCAAAATTAAACTCATTTTCCCTTATATATTTGGTACTATGGTCTTGCTTTGGGGGACATTCGATCATTTTTGAAAAAGAAAGAAAACAGAAACACTCACTCCTGGCTGTATATCCTCGAAGGAAAACAGTTTAATATGACCATTCTTGCATGCCTTTTCTTTATCTACAATGATTTATTAATAACAGTACTTAAGTACATTTATACCATTCTGGGGGCTACCATGTAATTAAAGGGACTTTTATTATTATTGGTTGGATTTAATAAGGTTATGCAAAATTTCTAATTAATTTTAAAAATCAAATCCTTTTAATAGTTTCCAAAAACAGTCCACCTCCACCCTCTTTTTGTCTTCATTTATTAGCTGTAATTAATAAACGGGTAATTCCTATTTTATTAAATTATTTAGTCATTCTGTTCATACAAATTGGATTTCGTCTGATGCCACTTTAAACAGAGCCAAGAACCATTCTTTTCATCCATACAAAAATTACCTGTTCCAGATTTAAAAGCGACAAATGCCTTCAAAGGACTATCTTCATATGGAGTTATTATGCACATAGGTAGTATGTTGATGGCAGTCATTTCCTGACGCAAGGTATATCCAATATCAGCTGTGTCGGAGTCAGTATTCTCTGACTGGAATTTAAAAACAGCACACCTTGACTCGTGGTTTTCCATACCTTTTTAAAACTATAAGTAGAGGTTAATGACTGGAGTAAGATGTTAGTTACACGATAAAAGAGACCTAAATGGACATTAAGACTGTACTACCACGAAATGAAAACGCACCACTGCTTTAACTGGAAAGGCTAATAAGACCTGATGCTGCTGAACAATGTGATTTTTGGATGCCCGTAGTTTGGACATTTACTTACACAAGGAAATCAACAACAACCCAGGGAGGTTACTTAAGGTAGACACAATGGTTAATTCTTCCCAAAGCACAAATTATGTGCCGTCATTTCTTTGAAGTTGTCGTTTGATTCTATCGGGTATGTAAGAGGGTAAGGGGATTAAAGGTATTCATGTCTAGTGGTTTGGGTTTTGCTCCTATTTTATTCTATCAGGAATGGAAGAGGATAGGGTGATTAAAGGAGGCAAGTGTCTAACTCAACATCATTCACGGTCTTCGCAATGGCGGATCCAGGAATTTTTGCAGGAGGGGGTTTGCTAGATTCCGGAGACAATTTACCTTTTTTTTTGGGGGGGGGGATCCTGGTTGGTTCTCATCCCCCAGTTTTGAACATTTTTGCGAAATACATGGTCTTTATCGTCATTTTGGCGTATATCTGTGGTAACCAAAAGCCACTTTGACAAAACACAGAAACTGGGATTTTACAAAAAAACATACTAAATATATGTACCTACTACGCAACGTTTTAGTTTTACTGATATACAATAAAATCAGTTTTGCGCGAATTTGACAGGAAACTTTAAGAATGCAAAATAAAAAAACAAAAACCGACCGCGACTGTGTGGAAGACCAAAATATTAAGAAAATTCATCACATAAACTATTTGTTTATTTTTTTCCAATACGCCTGAGCACAGCTAACTTGACAAGAGCCTAAATAGAGTTCTGCACAATTCTGACAGTAAACACGGAAACAATTGAATGTAAACCAGTTTATATACATTCATATTACATTATTTTATGCGGCGCTACCCATCTGTGTCCATTTCTAGGTGCCAAAGAATAGAATATAGAGTTAGCGCCTCTAAAGCTATTTAAACTTCACACACCCCACACACCTCACACACCCACACACACCCACCCACACACGCGCTGGCTCGCTAGTCTGGAGGTCGCGTGTTCGATCTCTGCATTGACCGAGAAAGTTCAATGGGATTTACCGGCGTGGTTTCCCCATGCCGGTGGTGAAGGACGGAGGGCTTTGACAAGGACAGCTGTCTAGTCATTCGGATAAGACCAAAAACCGAGACCTAGTGTATACATTGACCTTCACGTAAAAGATCCCCTGGCAGTTGAAATTCGATGTAAGAGTAGGCCATAGTGCCGCTGCCCGGGCAAAATTCCACCATCGCACACTGTATCGTGTACACCCGTCTTCAATAGCCCAGTCGGAGCAGAAAAGTGGGACGTTAAACCCCATTTCATTTCATTCCCCCCCACACCCACACACATGCACGCATGCACACACACACGCAAGCTAGGTCATTTCGGGCTTTACATATGGGTCAATTTGAATAATTCGCTTAACTCTGTGACATACCTTTTGATCTAACGTGCGCGCGTGTTAAACCTTTTCAAGAGAAAATAAATCCACTTAGACCTTGCCTTGATACTTCTTCGCTTAATTTTGGACAAATTATAATATCGTATGATAAATAACCCAGTGCGCATTTTTCGGGGAATGCAATTTTACCTGGCAATAATCAGGTTTACATATATAGAATATGATGCAATACTACTAAGCTGTGATTGGCTGTTGACAACAGAGAGGTTTATACTTCTAGTTTCTGTTTCGTTTTTTTCTGTAGAGGAAATTTGCCGAGTATTCAGCACTTAAAACGAGTTGTTTTAGAGGTTTGGATGCAGAACTGATCGGAAAATTTATTCAGGTATGTTGTTTAAAATAAATGAACTAATACAGGTATTTTTTTTAAAGTATACTTGTAGTTATTACATCATGTAAGTCGATAGAGGTGGAAAGACCATACGCGTATAAGAAATAAATAAATTTAAGTCACGGTCAGTCTAATTAGACTTGTTCATATTGAAATACAATGTTTGCATAGCTCAAAGATGCAATACGATCAACTATAATAGAGGCTTTTTTAGGGTAGGAATACTTCCGGATAGTTTAAAAGTTCCCCTGAAACCTCTCGTACATGATAAGACGGAGAAGCGAGGACCGGCACACCAACCCGCTGTCTTCTTAGTAAATGTGTCCAACCTGTATGTTAGCCTCAAAATGCTTAAACCGATTTATGTCGTTTATTAAACTTAATTATAGAGGGAATGATAACAAAACATTTAAAAACATAAACAATGACTAAAGTACGTTACAAATCTATGTTAACAAATATATAGCCTACCTCAAGCACTGAACCTGGGCCTGTTCGTTGTGTCGCTAATTAAAGAGATAGATTCGCGTTTGTATAATAATAATAAAACAGACCCAGAACATTTGATTTGGTTCATTTGGTTCTAGCATATGATATTTTAAACGTGATTCATACAAAGAATACTTAAGAGTGAAGTATGGGTAGTGACATATAGTCCCCTAATCAACAGCCAAATCAAAAGATAAATCAATTAAGTACTAATTCATACTGGAATTTAATAGTTTAAATTTCCCAGGTTATACTCACTCGGAGATAGCACTCTCGGAGATCTGTAGTTATATAAATATTCAGGTGTCGTCCTTATCCAGCCCACCTGCTATAAATCTATTTTCAATGTAAACAAGGAAATAGAAACTATGGAAGCACACAATATTAATAAATAACTGCCAATACAAAAACATACTAAACCCTTTGGTCAGCCTTCTTGTCTTCTATTATACATGTCTTAGATGTGTTTTAAAACAAGTAATAGTGTTATTGCGAAAAATCGTTTTCAGTATGATTATATATCTACTGCAAATTAAGTCAACAGTATGCAACCACGGTATATTATTCAATGTCCGTAATGGTGTTCCATACTTGGAATTTTCACCGATCGATTTTCAGAGAAAATTCAGAAAAATAAAATTGACGCAGATCATGCTTTGGCACTTCTTCACTTATGCAGAATAAATAATAATGTCGTATGACAAATGACCCAATGCATTTTTCGGGGAATGTAAAATTTACCTGACAATATGGTTGTCAAGTGTAACATGCTTTAAATATAGAATATAATGTAATAAATACTACCACTATGATTGGCTGTTAGCAGCAGAGAGGTGTATACTTCTAGTTTCGGTTTCCTTTTTCTGTAGAGAAAATTTGCCGACAGACAGCAATTAAAAACGGGTTGTTTTAGACGTTTGGATGCAATTCTGATCGGAAAATCTATTCAGGTACGTTGTTTAGAATACATGGACTAATAAAGTTTTTTAAAAGGTATCTTATGGGTGTAGCAATCAGTGGTAAGTCTATAGAGGCGAAAAGACAAGACGCGTATAAGGAAATAATTAAATTTGGGTCAGACTTGTTCATATTAAAATATGAACTAGAGGCCTTTGGTGTGGTAGGAATAAATCCGGTTGGTTATGAATGACGATAAAACGTAGAGGCAAGGACTGGGACACCAATCCTAGCTGTCTTCTCGCATTGGAGGAGTGTGTCCACACAATGCGGGAAGCGTGAGGTTGATCAACTATTTTTAAAGTGGAGGAATGTCTAAATTTCTAGTCTTTACTACCGAGACAGGCAATTGCTTTACAAACAATATTTCACGCAAAATATATAATTAACGCTGATTAATGTTGTTCCTATAATAAGGGATGCAGAATGACCACAAAGTAAAGATCGCTTCATTTTCACACATTTGATAATTCAAAGCCTCCCTTCGTTGCAAATTGTCAAATATAAAATGCACAATTGTCTGATTTCTAAGAACTTACAATGTGTAGATTAACTGCCCAATAAGAGAAGTATTTTCAGATATTATGTATAACAAACTATTATAATTGCCGACCATTCTGATTGATTATGTGAGGTTGAACGAAGGGTTGATCGATAGTCTAAATTCCCAGTGATCAAAATAAATCGGGATTAACCACAAGATTATGGAAAATGCGCATTTATGAACGATTTTGGAAACGAGGTAATTATTATGATTTTAAGACGATACGGGGTTTATGTAACTTTGTGATGACAGTAGACCAGTTTCGTAAATATATGGTTTATTTACATAGGAACAGAATATAACATTACTACATAGATACAACATGAACTAAACTACATCGGGACTAGACTATACTGGAGCTATTACTACTACGACAGGAACAGATCTAACTGTCCCTCTGCCAAGGCAGCGGCTGAACTCGGGTGAGTCCAAACACTCGTCCAAGTCCCTGTTGTCCTCCCCGCCCCTCTCTCTCTTACTAACTGTCAGCCAACGCCTGGTTATATACCTTCGAACACATGGTCGTACATGCAATTGTCTCTTTTATCTCGTCACGGCATGACTACTGGCCAGTGCACATTCCTTTGTAGTCATATGGATCTTGTACACAGAGCATATAATACGGGATTAATTACATGTTTAATTAGATCATCGCCAGTCCGTGCCTTAAAGGAGCTAAATCGCTATACTTGGGACCTAGAAATTGACCCAAATGGGCCGCAACGCATATAATAATGTAATCTGATTGTATATAAACTGATTTACATTCAATTGTTTCCGTTTTGGCTCTAATTTCAAATCAGTTATGTCCAGCGAAATACGGAATATGTCTCAACCCTATAGCAATTTCTAGCGTCTGGTTATTCCAGTCTATTAAGCAGGCTCTCCGGTTAAATTTGTCTAGCCTCGTTCTTTCTGGTCACTTGTTGCAAATGACGCTAAAACGCACTATGGTACACGATTCGTGTACCAATGGTAACATGTTTATTTTGTCTTAAATATTGGATATCAGAAGCCTGCCTTTTCCTGGTAAGATCACAACATCAATGTTGATTTGAATTGACAAATAATTCGTATTTTCAACGTGTAAGACTTTGTATGATATTGAGTTAGAGACTTAGCTACTTTAAGAACAGTGCATGCAAAGTTAAAAGGTCAATATTATATATATTATCAAGAAGCATGACTGGAGGTCACTAAGTTCTAAGCACCTAAATGACCGTTCAATTTGATGAAAGTTAAAAGATCACTTTGTCACATTTATATAGAGTGTTAAAATCTACTGGACGAGTTTGAAGCAGTTATGAAATCAGCTGATAAAATAATCTCTACTTAGTCTAATGTTAACAAATGAAATTTGTTTTTTATTTAAATATTAACAGTAATTTTGTTTTATAATATATTTACTTTCTACCAAATGTGGAAAAAACTGTTAAAAACATTTTTATCTGGTTTTAGCCAAAAGGGTTATTCCTTTTTAAAAGATTTTGTTACACCGCCAGCGATCCCCACTAGGATTTTTTCAGAAATTTATCGATATCCTTAAAGATCACATGTCGCAACCAAAGCTTGTGGTCTCTGAGCGGTTTAGATTATGCAGCCATTAAGATGTGAATTTGTTATCTTTTTTGGAGATTCACTATTCAAATATCAGAAAATGTTAATATCAAGACGCTTTAGATATCGTCTATATCATGGCACTAGCCGACAATGATGTAGAAGAATCTCACTCTCGTTCCGGAGCAGTGAAATATGTAATCATATTAACAATAAACCTAAAGTTGCTCCACAGACGGGGTGTCCCACCTTTTATTTGTTGCTTGGCTAATACACGCAATCCACCACATTGCCTGTAGAAAATAGCCATGTATACTGGATGTGGTAGAGTAGAGCAAAACACTGATTTAGAATCAAGGTTAATTTAGAATTACCGGTAACGTCTAAAGACATAGCCACAACAACATCACAGTCACCAACTTTATCAAGAGTACTTAAATAAACTCTTGTCAAAATTCAATGCCCTACTTTGATCGACGTTTAGAACATTGAGAATAAGATCTCGCCTTTAACATTTTTTGTTTTGATACAGAACACCATCTGGGATAACAAAATGTGATAATACGTCGAAGCTATAACACTGGCCCTAAATCGGATCTTTATGAACATTAAGGGTCATCTTCGGACTCTAGAGATGGCACCATTGTCGGGGCTACGCCTGTCTCTTCATTTTACGATATTTATTTTATTCATTTCTTTCTATTTTTTCTCGAATTGTCCTTCAGAATTGTCAATGACTCCCAGGTCCTACAAGGAAACATAAAATAATTCTATGACCCAGATGATTTCCTAACTTTATATGATGGACAGAATACATTTTTAATCGCTCTGGGTCATCCGACATCAATCTATCTTTGTTCTTGAGGTTGACTTGTGTGTGTTGATCGTGCGGTCTGTAATTAGGCTGGAGCTTCAATGGATCACATACTTGGAAGTTATTTTTTCCAAGAGGGAATCGCATTATTTTAGGGCAGATTGTTAACTTAATGATCAGTATTTGTTTAAAGACCACGTAAGATCAAAAATCTAAATTACATGTATGTATAGCCCATGGTTACTATATCAACTTTACGGCAACTTCTCACCAATCTGATTAAAATTAAGTCGACTGTTAACGTTTAAGTGTCCGACACGCCAAAACGCTTTTCAATTTTTCAATTACAACCTTAATCCGGTTGATTGGCTGGTGACGTCACAGGCACTACACATAGGATATACATTATCTATACAATATCTCACCGTTTGTACAATATAGCACTATCAATACACACGGCAAGTTGACAAGCGTCTGTTGACGGTCCAATTATCACGCGACTGGCCTAATCATAATCACCGAATTATCGTCTTTCATTTGTGATTGGAATATTTTAGAGTGAATTTCAAATGCCGTATCATGCCGTAGATCCATTTAAGCTGCCTTTGTTTAAATAGGCCACGTGTCAAATGAAGACGACTCAAGAAATTAGCACATTTACCGGTAATTTGGATAACCCCGTAGTACTTGATATACCAAACGTTCAGAAATACAAATGGCGCCAGTCATTTGTCGATATATTCATTATTAGCTATATATAATAATAATAACCATTTCTATACATAAAGAACAACTTTTATCGTAACTCCATTTGAAATTTACAGTGAATATGGAATTTTCCGATGACTATGCATAACATGTACAATAGATCGCCCTCATTTCTCAGCCAATCAACGCTGGGAATCTTATTACCATTTACGGTTACATGTACTACGGGTGTAGTAAATGAGGTTAAACTTCGGCACGAAAATTGCACGGGATCATACGTGGAGTTCCTGGTGCCGTTTGGTGAGTGATTAAACTGTCAATGCAATTGTAAAATACTTTTATTAAAAAGAAGATAAACGATTGTTGTTTAAACGCCAATCAACAAATAATACGAGGCTACTTGATTACAAAAACACTGGTGAGCAATAATTATTGGGTAAATTATAATTATAAACAACTGATGAGTAAAACTTAATGGTTTTATACAATTAATGTGTGGGTGTACGATTCTACCATTAGTTCGTTCATGAGGTATTATGCACACGTTCCACTTAGAGCGATGTCTTTGATCTGGCCGGCGTAAAAAAAGATAATTACCTAATCAACATTCTTAATCCAACTAACACTCACTGCTAACACCGACGTGTAAATTAATTTATGAACCATGCCTGTAGAACTTTTATAGTCGGATTGATTAATTAATGACAAATATTAACGACACTACACTTTATGTGGAAAAGCGAAGTGCTCGCAGTAAAAAACACATAGCTGGACCGGTATATTATTTACATATTAAAAGTGTTCGTCCAATAAGTTCCATATTGTAAAAAATTAATTAAGAGTTCAAGACTTCAAAGTTTAAAAGTTGTAGGCAATCTAAATTGGATCTTACGAATTATTCCGTAGTCAATTGTTTTATTTAATTAAGAACTAAGGGAGATTAAGGAATCAGTCAGGCGTTAATGAGTACACACGCCGGCTGTATATAGGTAATTAAGGAATAAACATTCCGAATATGCATTCGGTCACTGTGACGTCACTGGCGTCTGAGGGGATTAAGAGTGTTTTCGATAATTGGCAAAGTCGTTTTCACGGGAGGTCCATTTTTACGACTTTGAGTGAAGATAACTGAATTAATTTCAATCAGATTGGTGTGAACTTGCCGTAAAGTTGATATAGTAACCATTGGCTACACATATCCAAAAGTTCCCAAACCCATCTTATGTGCACTTCAAATAAATGTCGATTATATTGCGTTTATTATGTTCATTCTTGTAAATTGATTTATTTCAGATAAGCCGATATATATTTGTTACGAGATATACAATTTTAAGGATTATACTCCGGCGGCGTATAAACAAAGAGGAAATGGCGGAGGCTGGTGCCGAAGGTATGCATCGTTACAGTTTTCAATTATACATGTTTAATAAAGAAAATCAAAATACATACACAAAATTTTACTATTCCCCGGTTCCATGTCTATGCTTCTATTTTTTTTATATTATATTTTTTTATGTTTTTAGTTGTAGAAAAATAAATGAAATGAAACGGTATTCCAAGTTTTAATTTGTTAACATTTCAGTTACCGACGATAACAACTGCTCAGTGATATGTATCTCCGAAAGTCCACTTTCAGAGAGCCTGTTCCCAAAAATTAAATTATATATGCAAAATAAGAAAAGATCAAAGGGCGGTAAAGTTGTGGCTTTAAAGACAGTTAGAAATGGAATATTGATAGAATTTGAGTCATCTGAAGGTAGGCATCAGATACTTTAGCATTACTTATTCACAAAAACGTATTTGTTGTTGTGCAATGTCTAGTCCTTTTCCAAGACTATTAGAAGTCCGTACATACCCGTTTTCACTTTTTGTGCAGCTGCTAGGATTTCACAACTTTAAAATAAATCCCAGTAACACCAGAGTACGTGGAAACAAAAATTAAAATTAGAACACTTAATTTGAAAATTGAAATATATCTTACTATGACATTCCCCTCTTGTCGATTTGCATGTTATGATTTAGATGACAATCTGTCTTCGTTGAAAATTTTTCGTTCGTTTGAAAAGCCGATGTCGAGATATTCCAGACTTTGTCCGTGAAAGCTGGTATTCGAAATAAGGACAGACCGTAGTGCCTCTATCCGGACAATATTTCTCTCATAGCACACTGTATGGCGTATGCCCGTCTTCATTAGCCCAGTCAGACCAAAACAGTAGGACGTTAAACCCCATTTCATTTCCAGACTTTGTTCATGCAACGACATTTATCGCCACAAAGTAAACTAAAGTTAAAAAAACAACCGAGGTTAAAGGCAATTTTATTTTGAAAATAATTTAAAGAGGTTAAGCCGATTTTAAGATGTGAAAAGGAGTTCTTGCAAATCGTAATAATTTACCGTAATCGATTAATCAGTATTGGTTGAAAAAATTGTAACATTTGAAGCATTGTGATATACAACACCTATATCAATATCTTTTAGACTTACTTTCTAATTAAATTTAGATATCAAATGCTGTTTTAAAAATTAGGGAGTTTGTAGGGTACAGTAAGCTGTTCGTATCTTTGGAACCTTAAAGAGATGATAATATGTCTAAAGATTATTGTAATATGAATGTATATAATGCGATTTATTTTAATGTTTTAAAAAAATTATTTCCAATCAATTATGTTCTGTTTTTTTAATTATTATTTGGTGGTTTGTTAATCAACTATTTCTAATTATTTCGCATTGTCTTGATGGGTATGTTTTTCTTTGTTCATTACTAATTGATCCGAAACCTTTAGAATACACGACTCATGTACTGATTATAAAATGTTAATTGTATCTTAAATATTTTCACGGAAAGATAACAACATCAATATTGATTGAAATAGGTCAATACTGAATCCTAATTCGTGTTTTTAGTTTAAAATATTATGGAAAATACTGAACTAGAGGTTTAGCCTCCTTAAGGTACGTCATTTTACTCCATGCAAAGACTTGCATTATTTGTTTTATGAATTAATAATGATCTTTCCACTTTAAATACAGGATTTTATTAATATTTTAGCTGCAAAGGGTGTTGTCGAGAAAGGTAGTCACAAAATAGATACCCATACATTACAAGCTAGAATGTATAAGCCTCAGCCCCACTATAAAACTAAGCTGTTGGTTCGTGATATACCAGATGAAGTAGATAAGTTTACTCTGGAGAACTACATGGAGATAATAACAGATAATGGTGTGGATAATATCCAGTACGGAGAGGACCCCAGTACAGCAGTGGTAACCTTTGAGGGAGATATAGGTGAATAGTCTTCATATTTGTTAGAACTCGGTGAACCCATGAACGTTGGAATAAGGCACTGACTCACTTTAACACAGAGGGCCGGGTTCGCTCCTACTAGTTTTGACCATAAAAGTACCCCAAGATTTTCCAGCGTGACATCCCCTTGGTGTAGGAGATAGGACCTGGCAAGGAACAGTGTCTTATCGTTCTGATGGTATGGAAAAATGATGTCCTGTTTACTTAAAGAAACATCGACAGTTGGAAGTTTAAATTAAATTAGGCCGTAGCCCCCACCCCACCCCCGTCCGATCAAAATTTCCCATTTAGCCCGGGCGATTCAGAAAGTAGGGCGTGAAACCCCATTTCATTAAATTTAATTTATGTTTTGTCAAACTCTAAATGAGAAGTGACATCATACTCGACCTCTTGTCGTCCCTGAGAATGGATAAATACATGTATTACCTACATTGTAAAATTAGTCATCCATTTCGAAGACATTTATGATTAAATAAGTGATTCGGGTCTTGAACAAACTGTACGAACGGCGACCTTATTTCTTTAAATAGTTATATTTTACTTTTTACTCATCAGAACCCTGCAATTTCTCAAAACCAAATATTGTTGTCTTTATTTCTAGATTTCACGATAGTTGAAGAACAGTTATCAGACAACCCAATCTCCGACAACGAAATTCTAATCGTAGAACGCATAGAACTGTCAAACGTAATAAAAATAAAAGATGTTAAGTCTGATACAAAGGATGAAAGCTTGAAAATATATTTTCAAAATAAAAGAAGAAGCGGAGGTGGACGTGTTGTTAAAATAGAAAATGTTGAAAACGCGAGATTAATCCATTTTGAAGATTTCGAAGGTAATTACAATTATAATTTTAATTAGTATTATTTCAAGTAGGAAACTGGAATTCTTTAATGACTTTATTTGTTAAGATTAATGGAGATTGTATCAATCAATTTATATTGTCAAATCCTTTTTGTTAGAAGTCGTTTACAAAAATGATCCTAGTCATATATGAATGGGTTTCCAACCCCCCCCCCCCAAAAAAAAAAACCCCAGTGATGATAACTATATTTCACAGACATACCAACGACATAGGCTTTGATATAATGTGACTATATGTGCATACCATACAACTAGCTACATGGATATAGTTGCAATTTTTAAATATCTTCTCATTTTTTTACTTCTTTCCCAGTCGCTGAAAATGTTTGTAAGAAACCTCACACGATTAACCATCAAGACCTTGAAGCGGAAGTTTATTATGAGTGCCTTGGTGTCGATGGTGGATCAACAGAACCGATTGTCTGTGTCATTCCTGACCCCATAGACATTACAGCTGATGTAATATCTGGAGCCAGGGTCATGCGCCTGTTACTAGAGCGTTCTACTGTTCTGGATAGTTTGAACGATCGACTTTCTGACCATTTAGCAGCTATTGGTAAAGATGAGGATAAGTTGAAGATATCGTGCACAACCACTGAAAAAACAAAAGAAATGGGGAGACGATTAAAATCCTGGAAACATGATGTTATGGCAACCCTTAAACAATTTATCGATGATATGATAGAGGATAAAATTATCCCGTTAACGTTAGATCTAAACCAAAGTGTTGCAGAATGGATTAGGAATAACCTGAAGCAGCCACTTCACGTAATCCACAAACTGGATGCAGACAACATAGCCATTACAGGAATAAAAGATGCCGTCCAGCCCCTGGTACAAGATCTGCAAAAATTCATTGATGAAGAAAGTAAGAAGATTGACCGTATCAAGAATTTAAAGGATAAGGAAATCAAATTTACTACTGCCGAAATGAAGTACCTTAAACGGACTGGGAACTTTGAATTATTTGCTGAAAAGTTTCCGGAGATGATAATGACCATAGATAAGGATAGACTCTGTGTTAACGGTACAGATGAAGAAATCAGCGCTGCTGAAACAATGATGAACCATGTTGTGTCAGCACTTAAAAAGTATACAACTGCTTTAACTCCTGACCAGATAAAGATTCTCGGAGAACCTTGTAATGAAGAGGACATATACAGAACATTAGAAGAGAAGCTTGGAATGACAAAGGGTATCTGGTTATGGGGAAATGGTGTCATGAATATGTATACGTCATCATTTGGAGATTATAAAGAGACGGAAAACACACTAGGCGAACTAATACCAATAGAAACTGTCACGGTTGATGATGATAAGAAGTTATATGTAAAATCTCAGATTTGTAATGATAAATTAGAAGAAATAGTCAAAGACAATTTGACTGAAGTTGTAATTGATGTTTCTGACGATGTTAGTACTATTACCATTACTGCCCTAGCACCCATCATCCAAATTGTAGTTAAAAAGGTAAAAGATGTCATCAGTGGTGCAAAGTTGATAACAGAATCGGTACGTTTTCCGAAAGAGAACACAGAACGTTATTTTAAAGAGAACGAAAAGGAAGAACTCCAAAATATCGAAAGTAAATTTAATGTGATGTTTAAATGGGAAGATAATAAGCTTATGGTTTCTGCAGTGGAACAAGAAGATATTAACCGAACACAGGACTATATCGCAGACGCTGCTGAACGCCACAAAGAATTAACTTTGTATTTCAAGGGACCAGGGGTAGAAAGTATTTTGCATACAGCCTATGAGAATGGAGCGATGTATTATCCTGGAACAATTTTGGAATATAAGGGGTTAGATACTGCGGAAACTGTTGGTTTTGCAGTTGAATCAGAGTTCGTCATTAATGGTTCCTCAACTACTGTAAAGATTGGACATGGTAGTGCACAATATCTCCATTCTGATGTGGTTCTAGTTCCAGTGAAAATTGATATGAAACCTATTGGAAAAGTTGGAAAGATCGGCTTTGATGCAGGTAAGGAATGAAATCGTATAATTTAAGACGTATTATATGTTACTGTTTTATGTTATTTGTCTCGATATTTGTCATGTGCTCCGAACATATTTTAGTGATGGGGGTTCTTCGTGGTTACGAAATGTGGAACTATTATAATTCCTATTTGTAATATATCTGTGTAATTTCCAGGTCCTGGAATTACCCAAACATCAACCGGAATGAGGAAAATACCCGGTGAAGTAATCAAAACCCGGCCTGGAAGATTCTACTCGCATGAATTGATATATGGTATATATCCTGGAGTAAATACAGATGATAAAGAAATCTGTATGAGTACAATCATCACCAATGTTTTAACACATGCTGATAAACAGGGATATACATCTGTAGCCATACCTTGTGTAAATTTGAATCCGGTTTCGCTACAAAAAACAATCAGGGAGAATTCATACAGTGCAGTTGAACAATATTTAGCAGATAATCCGACATCATACATCCAGACTGTTTGGTTTTATGCGGATGAATCTGAAGACGCAAAGGGCTTTACAGCATTTGCAATGAGTACAAATGATAAGAACACCCGAAAAGTGAAAAGACGATTCAGGAAGAAGGGAAGGGAAGCCGAGGGTAAGTCTTTTCCCCAGCTGATTTGAATTTTTTTATAGGTGTGTATTTTATGTATGAGTATCGAGTTTTAAATAAAGGAAAATTGTAGACTATACCGAATATGCTTTCTAACATCTATAGTAGACGTTCCCTAAAAGCCCATCGAAAGCAGAATCAAAATATAACATTGTATCACTGCATATGAAATATCTTTATATTACAGATACGCAAGAACCAGCAGCACGGATAACTCGTATGTTTTTAGTAGTTTCTGACATAATTTCAGAAGAGGTAAATATAGAACATAGAAATATTGCAAGAGCGAATTCGCTTTGACAATGCTTATACTTAAGGTCATATTTTGAACTGCTTAAATAGAAAATTGAACATGGAAAGATATTGGTTACGATTTGTGTCAATGCAATTTTCTCGTAAAGTTAGTTTCTCACTCAAAATTTCCCTCATAGCACACTGTATGGCGTATGCCCGTCTTCATTGGCCCAGTTCGGAGCAGAACAGTAGGACGTTAAACCCCACTTCATTTCATTTCATTTAGTTTCTTCGACAGTTCGTGACTCTTTGGAGACACACAATTGAAAGAAATTACGCGAATTAGTATGGTAGCCGATTGGTTTCAGGTTAAAATGTCGGGTTAAAATGTCGTGATGTCGGGTTGTCGGGCTATATATTGCACTCAATACTATGATTATGTACACTGATCTTGGTGTTGGTCAAGAAAGTTCCCCGAGATTTTGCAGCGTGGTGTCTTCCTGTCGGTAGTGCAGGACAAAGGTCCTGGCAAAGAACAGTGTCTTTCTCCTGTTGTGATTGCGGGTTGTCGCTTCGTTGTGATTTCACGTTGTCACTTTGAAGACTTTCAGTATACAGTCAAAAGAGGATTTATGAGTATCTGTGCCAAATGTTATTTGACTGACGGAAATTAGACTAAGATGGTTTCAAGACACTCGCGATGACGCTGTGGCTATTTCGCTCGAATGTTTTGAATATATTCAAAATTTTAGTGACAGGAGAACGATGTCTTGCGACTCAAGTGAGGAAATTGAGAACCGCCATTAACGTTTCCAGACATTTTGGAAATCCCTCGCGAATGCAGTTCTCAATTTGACGCCAACATTCGTAGCCCTGTGATATACTTCCAAGATTTGGATAGGTTTTAACTACAAGTCGTTAGTTTAGATTAATCTTAATGTTAAAATGGCTATATATAATCAGTACCCAACAGTCTCTGAAAAGCAGATAATTAACGAAACATAATCTTATTCTTTTATCTTAGGCCGGGGCACTGGTCAATTCGTCAAATGGTGAGCTTAATTTATACTATGGTGCGATATCAAGAGCTTTATTAGAACGGTGTGGTAACCAATTACAAATCGACTGCAGAGAGCATTATAAGAATGGGTTAAAGCAGGGTGATATAGCTGTAACAAATGCTTATAATTTGATACAAACCAAAAAGATTTATCATGTAAATTTACCTAGATACAATGAAGATGAAGAACTACAAGTACGTTGTTACCCACATTATAACTGCCGTCAACTTTGTCCTTTCGTCCGTCCGCCCATATGGTTTATCAATAGAGGATACGATATAACTAAAATGCAAAAAGAAAACCCAAAGAGCGTTTTATGAACGTTTAGATGGACAGCAAATAGTAAACTATATTGGGAAACCATAAATATTTTACTTAAAGGTGAACAAACTTCAAATGACCTACCACCAATTAGAAATTTCAACTGTTCTTTGATTCTAATGAAAAGGCTAAAGACCTTAAAAAAAAGTACCTTTGTTCCATTTCTATTTAAAAGACGAAACACAAAGAAAAATCCCTTTTTATCTGATACAAGCATTAACGCCATAACAGATATATGAATTACCGAACAAGATATAATTGATATTATTTCCACATTAGATATAAACAGGCAGTGTATCCAGAATTGATAAGCAATCGCGTGGTGCATATCCTTTAACAGGCCACACGTTATCCCACCTTTTGAATAACATCTATTTATAGACCCGTGTCTTTGCTGTCCAGGGCAAGGAAGATCTTACAGAAGTGACAAAAATATGGAATCCCTATAAATACACTAGAGTGGCTTAGTAATTATCTATTGGTATAGTCGTGGGAAGAAATCGGCGGACGCGGAGAAACCCCAAGAGGTTCAACAGGCGACCTGTACTCACAGTCGACGTGACTGTTAAAGGTTATGCACCAACCGGTTGCTTATCAATTATATCTAATGTGGAAATAATATCAGTGACAGGGCGAATGATCTAAGGCACCTAAATACTTGGCAGTTCATGAACATCTCCATTATTATTATTCAAGTGACAGATTACTTATAGAAAAATCCACATTGTATTATTACCGAAATGAGACCTAAGTTTCCACTATAGCACACTGCATGGCGATTGCCCTCCTGTATTAGCCCGGATGAAGCATAACAGTTATAAACACCCTTTCATGTTATTTCATTTTCATACTAGTTGAATCTAACCCCACTTTAGTTGTAGTCAAAAATCCAATTGTTTAATAAAATACTCTAGTCATTTGTTTACGGGTTTTCAAATGCCCGTAAGTTTTAGCCAATTATTAATCTTGTTTCTGCTAGTGTGATAATCAGGGCCATAATCCGGCGTAAAATAATGTGAACATTCAATAAAATATATAGTCATAGATTTTAGACCACTTTATTTATAGCACTTTAAGTAGTTTGCATGGATGATAGTTTATTAGTCTGTTGTTCAGTTTTTAGCAAAAGGCGTTCAGCCCAACGAGGAAAGTTAGAGGGACGGGCAAAGAAACGGAAATTGATATTAAAGCCAATGGGACAAATCTAAGGTGGCAAAATCTTCGTAACCTCCAAAACATTAAATTATGAATTGACAAATATATACCAATAATGCGTTGTGGTTGGTTTAATGATTTGTTAGATCTAATATATACATATGTGCATATAAGTTACACATAATTTCTATTTATTTTTCAAAAAAGGTTTTGGAAGGATCCATTGAAAAATGTTTACATCAAGCAGTTAAAGATAAACTAAAAAACATTGCTTTTCCGGCTATCGGGTCAGGAATTCTTGGCTATCCTCACGATAAAGTTGCTGCTAAACTGTTTGAAACTGTTCACAAGTTTGGAGAAGAAAACCCAGACACAACTCTCACCGATGTTATTTTTGTCATGTACCATAAAGATGAAAAAGTTATCAAGGTATGATTAAATTATAACATAATTATTATCAGTAATAGTATTTTTGTGAGAGCATGCATTCTGTCATCTATAGTAAGAAATGGAACGGATTGATAGAATTGAAATTGTTCAAAGTAAATATATTGTACGTACAGGTGTGCTTAAAATAGAGGTATAATGCCTTTAAAGGCATATTTCACAAATGGAGAATAAAATTTAAAGTACCGATATATAAGAAAGTGTTGTGTATTTCAGGCTTTTCAAGACAAAGAAAAGATCTACAAGCAACAGTATGGTGCAAAAGGTAAGCATTGTAGTTGTGCTTGCTTTTTACGCTGCTGTATCCATAAAAGTACAAGACAAATAAAATTGATAACAAAACGAGAAATCGTGTAGAGAGCGATCTCAATTTTTACGCGGTTTTGTATTTGATTAATAATGTCGTGAAAGATGGGGTGAAATGAATATTATACCATAAATGCCGTGTTTACTTTACAGTGTATAATGAAGATGAGTATCTAAAGAGTTTGCTGGCGGGCGACGATGAGCCAAATTCAAGAGTAAAGATTGGAGATAAATTACCACTAGCAATTTATAGCAAGTCATCAGCACTACTTATAAATATTTATGCTAATGACTCCGAAGCTTTGACGAAGGTCGACTCAAAGTGTTCATCTATAATTAACCGTGATATAAATACCAGAGAAATAACTGCTAATGCGTATTTTAAAGATTTAGATGATGACCAGGTAAATATATAAATAAGTTTATAACCTGTATTATAACCTGTATAAATATGTTGTTTGTCACTATCTTTGATTTAGTGAAATTACACCATACCGATGGAATACATGGTGATTGGGATATCCCTGTCAGTTTCAAAATAAATCTATATATTGAGAATAACTTCATAATAACCATTGCAGGTTTTACCAGATATTTAATAGTTATATTTATTTTGTATTTGGTGTAGTATTTAAAGTAGCTAAGTCTCTAACTCAGCATCACCGAAAGTCTTCGACATTGAAAACACGAATAATCTGTCAATTTAAATCAACATTGATGTTGTGATCGTACCGGGTAAAAATGGGCTTCTGATATCCAATGTTTAAGACAAAATAAACGTTTTACGTGTACCACAATGCATTTGAGCGCCATTTGTAACAAGGGACTCGAAGAAGGGGGGAAGGGGATAGACATATTCCACAAGTCATGTCAAACAGTGACGTTATATTCTTATCTCGAGAGCATGCGCAAAAAATACTATTGGTGTAGACTGGAATAGCCAGACGCTAGAGATTGCCATTCGATTGAGACTTCTGTCGTATTTCGCCGAACGTAACTGATGTTAAATTAGAGTAAAAAACGGAAACGATTGAATGTAAATCAGTTTATATACATTCATATTACATTATTATATGTGTTGCGACCCATTTGTATCAATTTCTAGGTCCCAAATATGAGCGATTTAACTCCTTTTATGATGAAGTCGACGATTAATGATTATTGCGTTTAACTACGGATGTTATAGAAAAATGGTGATTTTATTCCATTCTATAATGGACTTAATTCTGTTATTTTACGGGATAAACTGTGGAATAACCCATAATATGAAGAATCATATTTTGTAAATTGTGTTGTATTAAATGTCATGTATATCTAATTTCCATTATTTATAAGATCTATAAAGTGTATTGTTATTCATCATACGTTAATCAGATTGTAAGTATTTTCATAAATGTATAAAAATATGTTTTAACGCTCAAGTGCTCTCATTTTAATCAAAGCAGGTAAAGGTAGCTATTATTGTTCAAGTGAAAAACCGAACAGGCCCCTGTCGACCCTCTAAGCCCTGGCTCATCTAATTTAACTGATAATTCTAAATGTTTTACATTTTTCTAAATTGGGTTGGGTTTGTTAATTGTTTATAATATGATCTAAAGTTAGACAGGGAAGTTATTATTGTTTTGCAGAGTTCATATATAATAATAGCTGTAAACGTTTTACGGGGCGTTATATTCAAAGCCAATCAAAATTTCGAAATACTGACTAATGGTCCCGAAAGATTAAACGTGTATTAGGTCTTTTTTCATAACACAAAAGACAGTTTGATCCAGCCTATTATCCCGGGTACCGGTTGTAGTTGTACATGTATATTTCATTAAATTGCAGTTAGCTGAGCTTATGAAAGGGATCTTTGAAAAGAAGCTTGAAATAGAGTCAGTTATTGATAGGAATACTGGAAGTTGGAAAACAAGAGGAACCGCTAATGATACACTTGTCATCAAAGACATTTTCAGTGAAACTAAATCAAAACAAGAAGACGAAAAGGCGAAAGCCAGAAATCTGCAGTTAACCCGTCAGTGGCATTTTACGGAAAGGGATACATCGGGGGAGACATTGGTACCGTATGATTATTTGCGTAATTACAAGATAGAAATGGCCTACGTTGATGATAAGAAGGCTGTTAAAATCAAAGATGATGATGGCGAAGAATATGTCATTGATTTTGTGTCAATGACGGAAAAGCGTATTCTTCCAGATAAGACACTAGATTCTGCTGGTACATTGGTTGTTCGGAAAACACCGGTACAAGGTTAGTATTCTGTAATTATATAATAATGGGCTAGCATAACATACCTGTAAAACTGAAGCTAACGACACGAAATTGTTTTACGAAAGTTTTACAAAAACACCAGTAAAACAATTGAACATTGTGTGATCGAAAAGTGTCGGGTGGAATTGTATTGAAAGAATTTTAGTCTGGAGAAGTTTGCCAGATTATACTAGGAAAATAGTTTTGACTTAATAATTATGAAAACTTGACAGCCACAAAAGCTATGGATTGATCCGTGTGGATATTTTGTCGTTTCTGAAATGTATCAGAGAATTAGTACGATAAATTTTTCGATGTTGAGGTTCGTAGGTTTTTGCATTAATCTTAAGTTTTGTATTCCAGAGGCCTCTGGTAAGCCCCCTGAAGAATGGGGTGATATGAAAGGACGTAATTTAAGAGTCGACAACCTTAAAGAAGACACCACTGAATACTTACAGGTCAAGAAAAAATTGTTTGACAGTATGTCATCTTCGACTTTGACCATTGAAAAGGTTAGAAATACATTTCGGATGTACTTCCCATTTAATTCCGTGATATCAATATCTATAGATTTTATTGCCTCCACAAAAATCCTACAAAACAATATTGAGGATTTAATCAGGTGTATCATAGTCGGTCGAATATGTCAACGAAACCACAAGCTGACATCATCTCTGCTACACATACTTTGTTTTGGCCTTGATCATCTACGTATGATTTCATATAAATTTGCAGCTCTCAAATTTTGTCTTAGAATGTTAGACGAAGGCACAGACTAAATGAGTCTTATTGAATACTCGGCAACCAAATCGCAATATATCAGGAACACAGGGATTTTCTTATACGTTTTATATCAAGCTGGATACAAAGTTTACAAGCATAAGTCTACATGAAACTCAAAATAGCATAATCTCAATTTACTCCGCCCGCTCTGGCTACAGTACCCAAACTTCTGAAAACGCTACATCATCTTCTCCTAAAGAATCTCAATGGGTCTAAAGATTTCTAACTATTCCTGGTCTTTTATATCCGATGATAGCTAGTCATTACTTAGCAGGTGTGGTTTTAATAAACAAAAATGGAATTGGTTATTTTAATATATCAATATTTCCGTAGTATTACGTGATGTCTATCTAATAAAACTTGTTTATGAAGTTGAAAGCAGTAATGGGTCGAGGCTATAATATTACTGAACATAAAAATTATCTTATTTAATTTCAGATTGAATCTATAAAGAATGTATCTCTATATCGGCAGTACACGGCATTGAAAAAACAAATACAGGCCGAAAATCCAGGTATTCTAGTGGAAAAACAATTGTTTCATGGTACAAATCGTGATGCAGCCAAGAGTATAAATCGCAATGGTTTCAACAGAAGTTATTGTTCTGAGAAAGGTAGGCTATGTCCACCTTCCATCTTTTGGGGGACGTTTATGATGTCTTTTTTGTTTTGTTTTGGTTTTTTTTTTTTTTTTTTTTTTTTGCTACACCTTGTTTCCCATTATTTTATACCAACAATTGATGGATAATATGCCGTCAGTTGCTACACTTTATATTTAGATTTAAACAATTGCGGGCGTATACTTAGTACCAAGAACCAAGTGTTACGTCATCATCACCATTCTGGAATTGTGGCAACATATCAAAAATCGAAATCCATCAATGGATGCACAACTGTTAAAGGAAGAAGCATACAGTTATGAGTAGCGCTTGGGGAGACTAGGGTCCGTATTCAAGGGTTTTCTTAAAGTTCAGTAAAAATACTTAAACATACATTAAGCAAGAGCAAAATCGGCCTATTGTAGGTTTTTCTTTAGGCCTGAAATGTTATAAAAACTATTAATTAGACATTAATTAACTTATCCAGACCATAATCAGCTCTCGATGTCAAGGCTTGCCTGCGATATTTGTTGGATTACAGTCCGATTTGCTGCAAAATTTTCCTTCGTGATTAACGATTAAATGGATAATAAAGACTATTAGTTTTGTCTTATCGTCTTCAGTAATGATGATCGAGGCTAAGCGGAACTTTCATCCGCTTGGTTCTCGGTTCATAGTGGATCAATTTGACTGAAATTTTCAGCAAGTTGCCTTTACATTGTGTAATTTTTAACTATTATAGTGAGAACTGCCAACTCGTTATCTAATCTCCCATAATGTATCTTTAATTTTTCCACTTAACTTAGTGTGTTACCTTAAATCGATATTTAAACTTAACTGTACACTTAAATTATGGAATACTCTCATTCGCCAAAAACATGAATTTTTAACTTATGGAATAACCTCCACTGCCAAAAATCACGAATTTCTAACATACGAAACAAGTTATGTCCCCTTAAGAGCACCACCGTACTCTATTAAAATGTAAGATGTCATTATTAGGAAAATGCTTGTCGAAATATTATATTGTAACGCATGAAAATAGTATGACTATAATTTATGATAAATTATGATAAATTATGATAAATTACCGTTTGCCGGAACAGTTGTTTTCGTAGATTTTTTTAAAAAAAAATTCAATTTCAATAGATTTCAAATAGTGCACATTGTATAATAATGATGGATATTGTAAACTTTATTAACAATGTATCACGAAAAGAAAACAACATTATTAGCAATTCGCAAGGACCTTTGGCTTTTAAGTTAGATTGAACAAATCAATCAGTGTTGCTTATAAATCTATCAGTTGAGAAATGCATAGACATTGTATAAGTGCGCACTATAGATTCTCAAAGGCCAGGCGATGACGGTTATACGTTACGTGTACGAAATATGCACGCGGCGTTATTTTTACCCGAATAAATACTACCGATTAAAACACAATAGGTAAAACAAAAAATTAATTGTAAATCATTGGTGGGACGCTTTGGTCAGCCGTCATCATCATATTTGTAAATTTATATACAAACGAAGACAAGAACATGTTGCAATCAATACTACTGCCAATGGCATGCGCAGATACCTTCAAATATGTATGAGAATGAGATGTAAAATATAAATCGTGCCTTGCTTCTCGTGTTAGTATAAATATTTTCTGAAACCTACAACGAAATGTCATAACAATGTCAAATTTTACAAATGAATTTAACGCATCAAACAGAAGTGGAAAACATGATAAGCAATACGAACATAAATGATCGAAAAATAAATATCCTTGACCATCGCGGTGGTAGTAACCTTATACACTATGATGGCACTACAACATCAAAGCTGATGATGAAAAAAAAGTGTGAGGCCAGTCACGCTTGGCGACATATTCTTAGTTATAATCCCCTAAATTTTAAAATCGCCATTACGGCCCTGCTACTACATTTTGTACTTCGGCTAATAGAAGTAATTATAATTTCACTTAACTTTAAGTTACCTCCCACCGGTCACTTAAAGTTAAGTGGATTTTTCACACTGAAATTGGCCTTTGAATACCACTAAAAGACTAACACTTAAAAGTTAAGGCAGCTTAACTTTAATGGGAAATTTGATACTTAACATTGCCTTTGAATACCACTTACCCTTAAATTACAGGAAGTTACGTATGTTTAAGGCAGCTTAACTTTAATGGGAAATTTGATACTTAACATTGCCTTTGAATACCACTTACCCTTAAATTACAGGAAGTTACGTATGTTTAAGTTAAATCTAGTAATTAAGTGGCTATCTTAGACTTAAGATATCCCTTGAATACGGACCCAGTTCTTGATCTGAAATCACTGCACGCTTATAATGATCAAATCCTGGGCCACGATTTTGTATATCGGTTAACATAGTATCGTAAATTTCGACAGCGGTTAAAATGGCGCTGCGTATTGACTTCGTAAAGTGTATTTCATCGTGGTGTACCTGACACAAGATCCTAATATATATCCCACTACAACAAATTGGGGGATAGTCTCTAATCGTTATTTGAAGGATTTTGAATCCCTTGTAAACTACAATATTGTGAAAATTGGATTTCAATTTGAAATGAATATCAGTCCAAAAATAGTACAATTCCGTTGAGGACAAACGGCCAATCAGCTTTCTGTAAACTTGTACCAAGTTACAGGAATTCGAGTTACACCCCAAACGATTAGAAATCGGCTACATGCAGCCCATTTGCATGCGCGCCGACCACGTGTTGTGCCACCATTAACCTCGCCAGCACATGGCAAACAGACGTCAATGGTGCACTGTAAGCCTTTTCTGTAATTTTTACAGACTTGTTTCTGTAAAACGCCTACAGCGCAGGTCTGTTATCCTGATTACAGACACGAGTCTGTTAATATTTAAGAAATACAGAATTTCGTCCGTAAATATGACATACGGGTGTTTAAATTAAAGTGACGTCATCGGTCTTCCTGGGCGCCATTACTGCGAAGACCGTTAGTTAGCGGCAAAGAGGAATCCCTCAACATCGAGCACAATAGTTGAACACTACAGTCAATACCAAACATTGCAGTTTTAGGTAAGTATACAGTAGGGACACATCTTTGTTTGACATAGATTGATTCTTAGCATTCGTAAAAATGTACGGTAACTGATTTATGAAATAGTAGGAATAGACTCTTCTACTTCTAGACAAATGGACATACATGATACTCACATACACTGTCACAGTGTTAGTGTTAGCACAGAGTAAAAATACACTCTGGTGTTAGTGCTAGGCCTAATATTTTTTCGCATTTTTTTTGGAGGCTTCAGTTCTAGTTGAGGCTACTCGGATGACATAATAATAACATTGATATAGAAAAAAAATGTATGAACTATGAAGGGCTAACATTTCTGGGCTTCATTAAGTTCATAGTCTCAGGTCTGTAGGCTAGGCCTACCACTGAAAACCATTATTAAGAATTTATTGAATTGTCAATGCATTGTCTGGATAATGATCTTTAATTTTTTATTTTACTAATTTTTTTAGGCACAGCTTATTGCATCCTTGAGTGTCATTCCTGTCATCTATAGAGTGGGCTACCCAGCCTTTCTCTGGGTTAGTAAAATTTTTTCAAAGGTAGGCCCTACCGGTAAAGAAAAATTATAAGATTGAACTTACTGAAGATAATAATTTTGGGAGTTGAGCGCATTGTTAATGAAAACCAACACTTCCTGCCCACTGCTTGGACCTTGAAATTTGAGGGGTGGTTGGACGAATGGTCTAACCATGGAGCTTATATAAGATCCATGGTCTAACATGGGCCTTAGTTACGTCAGAATGAAGCCTATGTCTTTGAGTCAAGTGGCGTTGAAAGGAGTAAGATTGCCTGACTAACCGTGTTCATTTTTTCTGGGTCGTTCGTTTTCCTCCCACTGTTTATAAAAGACCTACGGTTAAAGCGATTATTGAAATAAAATTCTATGTTTATTAGTCCAAAAATGACCTAGTTCGTGTTGTGTGTGGATGTTAAATCCCATTTCTCTCTCCCAGCTTGAACCTTGGGGTAGGTCTTATTAGCAACAGGTGAATCCTATTTTAGTCTGCTTTTAGATTTACCTGTCATAGGTGCAGAGTCGCCACTGCTTAGTCCAAAAATCTGATCAGAAACCCAAGATGCGGTAACGATAGAAGAAAGCATGGGTTTTAACCCGGAAAGCAATGGGTGTTACGTTAGTTACAGCTACTACCAATATGAATCATGATCAGAAAAGTTCAACCTAACTTAAAGGAGCTAAATCTGTATTCTTTGGCCCCGAGAAATGAACACAATGGGTCGCAACGATAATAATCTATTATGAATGTCTATAAACTGATTTACATTCAGTCGTTTCTGTTTTTAGTGTAATTTGTAATCAGTTATGCTCGGCGAAATATGTCCAAATTGAATGGCAGTCTGGTTATTCCAGTATACACTGATAGTATTTGTGATATGTTTAGTCTGCTGGGGGGGTTGGATGGCTGAATGGTTAGCACGTGCGCGCTGTACCATAAAGTCTGTCATTGAGTCAACTGGCGTGGTTTCGAATCCCCGGTTGTACGTGGCAAGGAGTAGGGTCGCCTGTCCAACCTCGTGGGTTTTTCTCCGGGTCCTCCGGTTTCCTCCCACTGCTAAAGACCCCTACGCGCAAGCGAATTATTGAAATAAAATTAAAACCATATGTTAGTCCTGAAATGACCTAGTTTGTGTCAAGTGGACGTTAAACCCCATTTCTCTCTCTCTCTCTTTAGTCTCCTGTTTGTGGACATGAAACTTCATTTTCTCGCACATTTAGCTCCCTTTTCCTTAATTAAAATGTGTTCTTTTGAAATGGATGTCATAAGAAACAACCTGATTGAGAATATTTGTTTTGCAGGTGCATTTTTGAAATTAACCCAGATAACGCACAGAAATCATGAAAAAGAGGAAGACTCGAGTGTGCCAAAAAGTGGTATAACTAATCACTAAACTGTCAAACTTTAAATGGACGAAGTACAGTTACAACAATAGCAACAATATACCGGTACTGTGAGAAGGTATACGACGGTATAGATGCCACATTTTGGTTCAAGGTGCTTTAAATTCTGGACCACGGTTTGGTTAACATGGTACAGATATTTTAACTGTCCATTTTCATCCGATGCAGAATACTCCCCTGTAGTTCATGTGACAAGAAGGAGAAAAGATGGCTTTCGGCAATGAAACATGTGTCCCGCTGAAAGTACATTCCCCTCCGGCGAACCACAAATCACGGATATAGGAACATTTTGAATCAAAAACGTCAGATGGAAAAGCAGTGGCTAGGGAGCTGGAAACACGTCCAAGAAGAAATACTGTGATATGTATCGTTGCAACCTATGATGCAATAATGTTCATGCATGCAAACTTTAGGGATAGGCCTATTGAGTTTATGGTTAGTTTTTATACACCAGCACATAGTGTGTATAAAATAGGTGATAAGGGACCGAGCCACAACCCTTTTATGAGTGATACTTTGTAAATGAGACTTTAAACGCACTGCAAGAAATCTTTTTAATGAATCTTCTTAATTAAACTTGATCTTCTTATTGTACTTTTGATAAGATGTCCGTTTACTTTAATGGAAAAATCTTTTGGTCATTTAATTTGTCCATCAACAATTTGGTACATTTGTAAAATTATCCTCAGTTCATTTTGTCTCTAAATATGCGGCCGTGTTGCATAAACATTAAAATTGTGTAACTCTCATCTACACATTTCATTTTGGGACTGGTTCATTAACTTTGTCAGTAGTCGAGTTCCATCTAAATTTTTATCTACGAGACTGAATCAATTTATGCCATTCTCACTAAGGAATGTACATGCTTAGGCAGAGTTATTGTGGAAAATTTAATGATATACATTTTCAAACAGAGATTAAGCTTATCATTGAAACAAGCTGTACATTTAAGGTGGAATAATAGGAATTCTGCATTGATGCTGTTCTTGTTTTAAAGTCATGATACTTTTGGGGTTCAATAATTGTTAGATTTTAAATTGTTCATTTAAACATTTAGAATGCAAATTCATTAATTCCAAAAATTTGAATGATTTCATTATTTCATTAGATCATGTTTTACTGTTATAATTTACTTTCATGTTGTTGATGTTTTAAATAATAGATTTGAGGTAAATATTACAACACCTTGGTTAAGATTTTAGAAAAAGATTTGAGGATAATTCTATTGTAACACACTGATTATATATTTGTAGAATAGATTCAGAATGTTGTTGTTCTACTATAAAAAAAATTCATTTGAATATTATAATGTAAATGTTACATGTACAAGAATTTGAATGGATAATTTCATTATTGTTAAATTTATATTTTGTTGCTACCCATTATTTGATACATCCATGTAAATTTTCACATACATTTTTTAATTGCTGGGAATTTTTGTTTGCTTGTCTTGTGAGAACTTGATAAATATTTTGGAGAGTTATTTCCCTTATTAATAGGGCAACAAATTCTCTTTTTTTTTTTAAAGTCGTCACTATTCCATGTACAAATGTTCATTATTATTAATGAAGAATTATGAAAGGAGCTTTGTTTTTGTTGAAGTATACAACCAAACTGCTTGACAGCCAAAAAATATGTTAGATCTCTAAACATTCTCCATATTGTAATATCAAATCTGCTCTTGATCAAATGTGTTAAAAATATGAATTTGTGGTTGACAGGTTTTTTTTTTTTTAAGGCAGTTGTTAGCTTTACTTACTGACAGTAATCTCCAATTTCCAGTATTTTCAGGTCTTTTATTATATCTTAAACTATCATGTAAAAGCATTTTTGAGGAATTAATTGTATCTTATATTGTTTTGAATAATTAAATTCTGTTTTAAATCTTAAGTAAATGTCTTTTTGATGCTTATCATACCATAAGTTTTTTACAGCTGTAAAACATTTTCCGTAAAATTTACGAACAAATGGCTGGCAGCTAGGTTGCCAATCTTTGGACGTAATTTTTACGACATGTTCGTAAAAATATATTTACGGTGTGTCGTAATTTTTACGTACATTGGTTGGCAACCTAGCTGCCAGCCATTTGTCCGTAAATTTTACGGAAAAAGTTTTACAGTGTGTAGGCAGCGTAGAAATTGGGGTAATCGTCGATGGGCGCGTGTAATGTTCTCAGATGAGTCCGGATTTACTCTGGATTTCACCGATAGGCGTGCTCGCGTTTGGAGGCGTGTAAATGAACGTAATGCTAACGTTAACATCAGACAGCATGACAGATTCGGGCGTGGGTCTCTTATGGTGTGGAGAGGAATCACCATGACTGGCAGAACGGACTTGCATATTGCTCAAGGAAGGGTCACTGGTGTGTACTACCGTGACCACATCCTGGCACCGATAGTTCTGCCCTTTGCTCAACGTGCACGTCGACGTTTCATCTTTCAAGACGATAATGCCCGTGCCCACCTCGCTCGTGTCGTGAATGATTACATCGGGAGACGTGTTCGTCAACGTCAACGGACAATACTGCAAGAATTGGCCGTGGCACTGCAAGAGGAGTGGGTCAGATCGCCCCAAATCGTGATTGGACGGTTGATTACGAGCATGCCACAACGAATTGCTAAATGTCTGAGGATTGATGGAGCAATTACTCATTATTAAGACAAAAATCAAAAACGTCCATTTTCACTTTTGATAGTGTATCTCTTTGCAAGTGAAATGGGGTCGTCAGATAAGCCGCCCATATGAACTGTTTATGTTCATGTGTAGGCAATTGACCTGTTATTAACATAACACTGGTTACCTCTAATAAAAACAGCAGTGCATTTCCGCAGTTTTGTATTGTTTCTGAATATCCCCTACTTTTTTTGAAGAGTATATATGAAAAGATTAGACATGATAACAATATTGAATGATTTTACTAGATAGTAACTTTATTACAGAAAATGCATTGGGTATTGGTGTATATTTTGCTACAGAGAGTGCTTATTCAACCCGGGATGATTATTCCCAAAGAGATATTAATAATGGGTTGAAATATATTTTTCTGTGTGATGTAGTGGTTGGTAAGTCACAATTTTGAAGAATATAATTTTATCTGTGCCTGCAAAAGTTATTAAATTTACAAAACAAATTTGATAGACCATCATTATCTTTTGCGTGTTTAAACACTAATTCTTATTATAATAGATATCGTCATTTGACAGTAATATTAGTGGATTACCCTTCTTACGACCCTTTTTGTACGCCCCATTAAACGACATTACATGAATCAATTATTGATGCTCGTGTAAATTTTATTTCAGGAAAATCTACTGTTGGCAAGAAAGGAATGCGTGTGCCACCAAATATAGAGGGCAAGACCACGCCGTACGATTCGGCAGTCGAAAGAATAAAGGACCCGAGAACTTTTGTTATATTCAAAGATAATCAGGCCTACCCTAAATATCTTATATCTCTGAAATAGGTCTAATACGATTTGCATTGACATGAAGCTATAAAAACTCTGTAATTTTATAAAGCTTGGTAAATAATGGATGTATTGAATGTTTAACAAGTTTTCAATTTGCTACAATATTTTCACATTCCTACCTGTCTGGCTTTTATATGAAGAGCCTAATCCAGGTTAAACGTCATCAGCTATACAGTTACCAATTATTTGCGCTTTGTTTTAGGAATCGCGGAGTTCATACAATTTGTAATTTTTAACGTTATAGGTTACGCGTCGTACAAATTTTAATATTATAATGGTTTTCAAGGAGTTTAAAGGCGATTCTTAAAAAAACCATCCATAATTAGGTTAGTGATTCGATTTTCGATAATTGGGTGAATCTGGAGTTATTTTAAATATGTTATTCAGAATTGATTAAACTATATTATGGGTGAGAGTGATAATTCTTCTTTAACAATTGTCTACATGAAATAATTTTGGAAGCCTATAACAAAATTCAGATTCTTGTTGTAATGAATTGGTATGAAAAGAATCGTCTTATAACAGAATCAAAATTCTAAATAATATCTCGTTTATTTACGCCCCCTAAAAAATGTGGTGTCTCTGTTAATCTCAATGTCGATTAATTCGTATTTTCACCATTGCTTGTGTACTCTCTGAAAGCTTTTATTAACTGTTGACCATTATCGTTATATCCATGCATTATCATCAAAAGTAGAAAAAAAAACAAAAAAGAAATCCCGCTATTTATTTGTAGTATATCTATGTATAATTTAGATTATGGTTTAAATAATAATTATTTAATGTACTATTTCAATGAATTGTATGAACACATAATCGTATTATGCACCCCATGTCCATGTATTAGGATTTCTTTTGGGGTAAAAAAAACCTCAAACAAATAAAAACAACACTAAAACAGTGCCGAACATGAATATGTATGAAATGTTATTTCCAATTGTCTTATCCAATGTTAATTAAAGTAGTTTGTGGAATTTATCTGGAAAAAACACCGTTGACTTTTATTGACTCGAGATTCTACGGACTCCTGGAATCTGGTTAAAAATATCATGCGAAGAGGAATTTACCTTGGGTCTATCTAACATCGACCTGTGTCGTTTGAGTCTACTTGTTTACTATGGTCCTAAAACCACCCATTTGCCTGGAAATCTTCAGTTTGTGCTAGCAAATATCGCGGGTTGGGAAATATTACCGGAATATACCGGCAGGAGCAAAATTTCAAAAAATAAATAAAGTAGTAATAATAAATTAATGAAAAATAGCACGCCATCCCCGTTACATAGAAAATCTCCTAAATGTTCTAACATTTTATACCCATAACCGTTATTACTAATATTGATGTGAACATTTTTTTGCTTACGCGCTAATATCATTTTTTAATTTTTGTTTTTCTGTTTAGACTGTGTTATATTAGTATTTTGAAATTTCAAGTTCCTATCTTGAACTTGTAACTTACATTAGTAACCTGAAATTTCAACATAGGAACTTAAAATTTCGACATAGTATCTTGAAATTTCAACTTAGTAAACTTGAAATTTCAAATACCGGTAAGTAACTTGAAATTTCAATTGATTAATTTAAAATTTCAATTGATTAATTTGAAATTTCAATTAATTAACTTGAAATTTCAATTTATTAACTTGAAATTTCAATTTATTAACTTGAAATTTCAATTTATTAACTTGAAATTTTAATTTATTAACTTGAAATTTCAAGTTACACGTTTGCGTTGTATTTTGATCGTACATTACTTTATGTTTAAATAGACATTATAGTCTCTGGACGTCATTTGAAGGATAGTTTAACCCTTGCAAACTCCAGTATTGTGAAAGTTGAATCTCTGAAGGGACGAATATGATATAATAAGACTTGTATACGATATCACCCTCGGGGGAACCTGATGTTAAATCCTGCAACCAACAATAACGGCGTTATGTAGTCCACAAAAGCCAACGACACCCGTGAGTTGTGACAAACCTCTTTTTAATTCGTTTAATCTAAACAGGGAGGATATCTACTGTTGACATGTTTATTTCATTTTATATTATACTATTCAAAAAAAGTAGGGGATATTTGATTTTGGGGGCATAATACTAAAATATGCAAATGACTACGAAAAAAGTCACTATAGAACCTAACAGAAGAAACATTTCCAGTTACATGTGACGCCCAAACGCACCAATAGCTACCGCATGGAATGCAGGTGATGCTTGGGATCATCATGGGGGTCCAACCCAAGATTTGCACGACTCTGACTTTGAATGTTACAGTCATTGTGGCATTGAATTCCAGGGTGGAAACATCAGTTTAATTGTTTTAGTGACCAGAAAACAAATTTTGATATGCGTCGGCTTACCCAAAATGAAAGGTTACGTGCCCTTGGCATGCTACAGATCGGCACAACACAGGCGGTTGTGGCGCGGACGATGAATGTTTCTCAGTCTGTCATAAGCAGGCTATGGTCCAGATAACGTGATACACAATCTGTACAGGACAGACCACGCTCAGGTCGACCAAGGGCGACAACTCAAGCCCAGGATCGATTTATCCGTACCTTGGCCTTGGGAAATCGTGTCATCACAGCAAATCAGATCAGCGCTCGTCTTCAAACAGACACTGGTGTGAGAGTGAGTGGCCAGACGATTCGGAATCGACTGCATAGGGGTCACCTTCGCGCCCGACGTCCTCGCGTGATCCCTTGTTTGAGAGATCATCACATTCAGACAAGACGTCGTTGGTGTAGGGATCGTCAACACTGGGATAATCGACGCTGGAGCAATGTGATGTTTTCAGATGAGTCAAGGTTCACTGTTGATTTTTTGGACAGACGTACGAGGGTGTGGCGTCGTCGAAACGAGCGCTTCCAAGACGTTAACGTCATCAGACATGATCGATGTGGGGGTGGTTCTGTTATGGTGTGGGGAGGCATCACTGTTGCTGGAAGAACGCCTTTACATGTTGTTGCAGGGCGTGTTACAGGCCAGTACTACCGGGACAACATCTTGGCAGTCCATGTTGTGCCGTTCGCACGACGTCATGGCCGCCGTTTCATCTTCCAGGATGACAACGCAAGATGTCACAGGGCCAGGATCGTTACAGGTTACCTCCAACAACAGAACATCACCACATTACCTTGGCCAGCACTGAGTCCCGACCTCTCCCCCATCGAGCATGTCTGGGACATGCTTGGACAGAGGTTACGTCAACGTCAACAACGTCCTGCCAATGTCCAAGAACTTGCTGCTGCGTTGCAACAGGAATGGGACAATCTGGACCAAAATGACCTTAGACGTCTCATTAGGAGTATGCCACGTCGGATCAATGCTTGTTTGGCAAACAGAGGAGGATTTACCCGTTACTGACTTGGTTGTGATGCTGTGGTAACTTTGCTGTTTGACCCCGGGTATCATTTTACCCTTATAATGGTCAGTCTGTGCCTTACTTAGTCTAACGATCATTTGGAATAAATCGATGAATGTGAACTTCATTTCATTTTGTCATTTGTTTCTTCGTCAGTTTCATTAGGTGACTTTAATAACACTTAAAAATCAAATATCCCCTACTTTTTTTGAATAGTATATAAAGGGAGAGAGAGAGAGAGAAATGGGGTTTAACCTCCACTCGACACAAACTAGGTCATTTCGGGACTAACGTATGGTTTAATTTTATTTCAATAATTCGCTTGCGCATAGGGGTCTTTAGCAGTGGGAGGAAACCGGAGGACCCGGAGAAAACCCACGAGGTTGGAATATTATAAAGGGAATAATTTGGAAATGTAAACTACAAAGCAGACCTAAGGCCGGGTCCCCCTGGAAAAAAATCGGCGCCCTTTCCATTGGACGAAATACGAAGTCAACGACCAACTTGCCCATATCAGTATGAGCGCCCCATAAAGCCGAAGGACATTGGTTTGGCGCTCACGACGAGATTGGCAAGGCGCCCAAACAATGAGACTTGGTTTTATGGGCGCCTCGCCAATCATGTCGTTATATATGAGGCGCCCCCACCCACAGACCCCCAAAATGGCGAGGCATCTCATAATGAATCACAAGATTAACACCACAACTTGTTTGATGGGATGGGATGCCCAAAACGGCGTGGTCTGTGTGGTGCCTTACCCCGGAGGACCGCCCATAATGGCATGATTGGTGGGGCGCCTTATAATGACAATATATGATTTTCAGGCCGCACATAATGCATAATTCCGACTGAGATTTGTTGGGCGCCCACGACTTGATCAGTGGTGAGCCCAAATAGGCATGATTGGTGGGGTGCCTCATCTCGGAGGGGCGGCTATAATGCCGAGATTAGAGGGTCGCACACGACGAGATCACAGGCGTCCAACCAAGAAACCGACCGCATACCGACGCCCGAAGAAACCTACCATAAGAAAGCCAACTGGAGGTCGTAGGAAATTTTTCAGTTCAAATTCACAATGGGGGTGAGATTGATGCAAGCCAGCACCAGGTGTGATAATCTTCAAAATTCAAACAAGTCACACTCTAACCCGATTCCGAACTTTTCGTTTTTATGCGCCCACATTTTCAAGTGGACGTATGTTGCCGACGCCCCTGTCCGTCCGTCCGTCCACAATTGTTCGTGAACACTCTACAGGCCACAATTCGTATCCGATTTCAACGAAACTTGAAATATAGGTTTATCTCCCCAAGATCTCGGTTCCTTTCGATATTGTACGAAAAATCGCGTTTTTAGCTTGTGAACACTGCAGAGGTCACAATTTTTTTTTATCCGATTTGGTTTAAACTTGGAATGTAAGTTTATAACCCACAGATCTAGGTTCCTTTCGATATTCGCGCATGTCGGACCATCACTTCCTGAATTATGGCCCCTGATTGTACGAAAAATCGCGTTTTTAACTTGTGGACCCCATAGATGTCACAATTTTTATCCGATTTAAAAACTATGTGAATATATCACCGTTACACCCTAAGGATGGTTGATTGAGCTCGAATTTCGTAAAAATCGGACCGAAACTGGCGGACAAAATGGCCGCCCTCGTTCGAAAATAGTGTCAAAATATTGCGTATCAGGGTTGTGGACCCTCTGGATGTCACAATTTTCATCTGATTTTGATGAAACTTGAAATGCATGTTTATAACCCACAAATCTCAGTTCCTTTCGATATTCGCGAATATCGAACCATAACTTCTGAATTATGGCCCCTGATTTCGATGAAACTTGAAACTTTATAATCCAAAGTTATTGGTTCCTGTCGATATTCGCGCATATTGGATCGTAACTTCCTGAATTATGACCCTTGATTGAACAAAAAATCACGTTTTTAGCTTGTGGTCCCTGTACAGGTCACAATTTTAATCCAATTAAAAAAAAAACGTGTGAATATATCACCATTACACACTAAGATCTTGGTTCCTTTTGATAATCGCGGATACCCGAACTTAACTTCCTGTTTGATATTTGCACATTTCAGCCCATAACTTTCTCGATTTTTGCCCCTGATTGTACAAAAAATCGCGTTTGTTTTTAGCTTGTTGTCTATCCATCTGATGCAAAATGTGGGCGTATCCTGCCTGACAGCCGCTGGTTCTTAAATAAATTATTATAGGTACGCTAAAGTCGTATTCCTTCCTTCAGAAGGAAGTCCGAGATCTC